GTTAAATTTGCTCCGGTACGATGGAGCAATGTTCTTCTAATGTCTCTCTTTTCTGGCTTCAGGCGTTTGATGGCTTCGAGTCGCTGGGCATCTCTCGTCTGTTGGAGCCCTCCGACATGGTTCTTCTGTCCATCCCCGACAGGCTCATAGTCATGACTTACCTCAGCCAGATCCGCTCACATTTCACCAACCAGGAGCTGAGCGTGCTGCAGATAGAGCACAACAGCAGTCAGTCCAGCTACGGCCTCGCCCTCTCCGGTCCCGCCCCCACCGAGGTCGACGCTGCCGCCTTCTGCATGGCCAGGCTGAATGAAGGCGTCAGCCTGGAGGAGGGAGGGAGCAGCACCATTGCCGTTCCACCGCCCAGAACCAAACGAGTAGTTAAAGGTATTACACCCATTTATCCCCGCTCTTTTGCTGATTTTCTTATTTTTATGTCTCGGTACATTTAAATACATATAAATGATTATTTCTGTCTTAACTGATTATGTCTTGTTTAATTAACCTTAACAATTGTACCTTTAATTGGCTCTCCATAACCGACTGTATGGGCTGATTTATGAGCATTCTTTTCCACCTGTTAAGCTAAAGTGTGGCATGACATGTGGGATCTTCACTCTCTGTATTTGTTAGCTGAATGAATCTTCTTTGGATAGAAAGATAGGGAGTCAGACTTGATGGAGGATGCGCTCTCTCAAATCTTCCTTCCATTTTCCGCAAATGCATTCAGCCCTGCTACAGTCCACAAGGTACCCCGAATTTCCACATGAAATAAACAATCGATCCAGTGCAAAATAGAGTGGAGCAAAGAAAAGGACATTTCACAAAGAAAAGGAGTTGCCTGAGCATTTTTCTTGTTTTCTTGAGAATCCGAAGTAGCAATGTGTAACAGTGAGATGGGTAAACAAATCTTTTAAAAAGAAGATGTAGCAACAGATTGTTTAAGTTATTTTCATGAAAGGATTTTCCAACTTTAAAGACAACAGATTTGTAATTAATTGTGAAACTTGGGAAAAAGTTTTTCAAAGGATTAATTTTACATTAAGAATGACTTAATTTGACCCAATTTTTTAACAAAGTGTTCACCAAGGCTTTAACTGGGATTTGTCTTTTGCAGACGAGTCTATAACACCAGTGGCCCCCCCAAGATCGATCCCCAAAGCACCCAGATCTGGACAAACACAGGTAACGGACAAAAAGTTGTCCAATCAGAACGAATGTCTGTTAACTCAAGCTCACGTTTTCATTTTCCAGGGCAAAGATACAAAGACTGACTCTTCGCCAGACAACCCAAATAAAACAGGTAGGCACCTCCTGAGGTTACATTTCTACATTTCTGAACCCGATTCGTCATGTGTCCTCTTGGACTTATCTGTCCCGTGTGTGTGTGTCCGTTCGCAGGGCAGCAGAGTGCAGCTGAGACCCAGCCTCCCAAACAAAATGAGGAAACTATGGTCAGTTATGTGTTCTGCACTTTCCTCTTCCTCTCAGCTTCAGTTCTACATCTCATTGATTCTCACGACAATGTAACAGTTAGCTTTTTCTCAGGGTAGAATCACAACTATTTCCCCCAAATCTCTGACACATCTTTAATCTTTGGCCATCTTTTTCCCCTTTTTTTTTCCTTTTTTTCTTTTTCCCTCCCCTATTTTCCAATCCGCCTTCCTCTTGCATACCTTTCCCTTATTTGCCTTTGTGGCATCTTGTGTATGTTCACGTGTGCTTGTGCACGTGTTTGGGATGCGGCCTGTGGTCAGTGTCTGCAGGACACCAGCCAGTATGTCTTAAGTGAATTGGCAGCGTTGGAAACGGAGCAGAAGCACATCGACAGCAGAGCTGCGGTGGTGGAGCGCCGCCTGCGGAGCCTCATGGAAACAGGTGAGGGAGTCAACCACAGAGACATTAAAAACAGCGCTATCAATCTGTCATTTGGTTTGAGGATAGTCCCCTGACTGATTTGGTCCTCCACTGCCCAGAACATGTTGACATTATTGAATACTACATCACTTATTATTTCCTCTTGTAAATGGAATAAGACATAAAAAAAAGTATTTTAAACCCCATTTTTGAATATATAAGAACATGACTCAAGGTTTTGATTTCCACCTTAACAGCGACACAATTCTTGATAAACACCTTGAATTTCTGGATTATCTCTTTATTCCTGTAAATAAAAGGACTTTTCCATCAACCATTCAAGTATAACTGTACATTCTGTTCTGGTTGCACAGGAAGTGACCGCGATGAAGAGGAAAGGCTGATACAGGAGTGGTTTACTTTGGTGAACAAGAAAAACGCTTTGATTCGCCGGCAGGACAACCTGGAGCTTCTGTAAGTGCTCTGGAAATGTCGGCGTGCAATGTAAACATCGCTGATCTTTGATTCCGCTGATCGCTGACTTATCTCCAGACAAGAGGAACAGGATCTGGAGAGGAAGTTCGAGCTTCTCACCAGGGAATTACGGGTCATGATGGCTATCGAAGGTCAGTGGCCGATGGCCTTTCCACTGGGGCTTTTTTTCACACCATTTATTTTCTCGGTGTTGGTGTTGGCGTAGCTAGTTGCTAGTTTATTCCTATCAAACCGTTTCAGCATGTCCCGTTACCCCTCAGAGCTACAGAACTGTGATCATACGTTCAGAGCAGCCCGTAACACTGCATAACAGTAACCACAGAACAAGCTGCTGTGGGAGCATTGCCTTTAAATAAGTGCTCTGCTAATGTTTTCCGCTCCTTGGGTAGTTTGTGTTTTTGGGTTTGCTGGTGCAGCCATCGACAGAGCATTTACTGGGATGTGCTTACCACTCCAGGCATTCGGGGGTTGGCAGGAATCAGTCATAAGAAAACAATGCCCACAGTGTATTCTTTCTTTCGGGATGACCAAAACAAGTTATTAGGCAGGAAATAAACAAATGATTCACACGGCGTCGCAGAAAAGTCATAAAGTCCAGGATTACAGCATAGGCCAAGCATTCAGGGCCAGAGACGTCTGTGGGGGAGAAAACTTCATTTAGCATTTACTTGCAGATAAAAACGTCACATAACTCACTGCTGGTGAGGCGTTCTCTGTACAGCAGTCCCACTTACTCGTGACTGGATCGAATCTGTCGATGCCGTGACCGTCTCAGAATAGCAACGAGATAAAAAGCAGCGATAAGAGATTATGTGAAAATTCCGCCGATTGTCTTGCAGATTGGCAGAAGTCGGCCACTCAGCAGCAGAGGGAGCAGCTGCTCCTCCAAGAGCTGGTGTCACTGGTCAACCAACGGGACGAGATCATCAGAGACATCGACGCCAAAGAGAGAGGGTAGGACGTAACAAACCATGGGAAGATAACATGCCGAGATTCAAGTCCAATCATCATTTCCATTCCTCGTTATAAGAAATGAATTCAGTCACTACCGATAGTTATGAGCTCTAAACTGCGATATGTGTTTGTGATTGTGTCTGCAGCGCGCTGGAGGAAGACGAGCGCCTGGAGAGGGGTCTGGAAATGAGGAGGAGAAAATACAGCAATAAAGACAAATGTGTGTTACAGTGAGAGTAGCAAGGACAAAAAGCATTTGCTCGGGACGCTTCGAGGTCACAAAGGATTTTTCTCTTTTTTTTTGCATCTGAAGATTAAAAAAAATGCCTTTTGGGACTTTTGGGCTTTGTATTTTCCATTTTTTAAAGTGCTTTTATCTATCCAGAAATGTGCCCTGATTATGAGGCTGCAAAGTGTGTGTGTGTGTGTGTGTGTTTTCTTAAAATTGCACATCAAAGGTTATGTGTGTCTTTGTGTAATTGTATTATTTGAATTCTCTTCATGTTTTTTTTTTTATTTATTTCATTGCTGTGTCAAACTTTTACTGAATATATGTTTTGTGTGAGTGTGTGTTTGTATTATTCTATTCAGTATTCAAACACTGGCCTACCCTCTTTTTCTCCGGGGGATGCAGTGGGTGAGCCTTTCACATCATGACAAAAGATTCTCGGAATTGTGGCCAAATGTGCCTTGCATTATGGGTAGCAGCACACAGTTGCTTATTATGGGCGCACACAATGGGGTTTGTTCTCTTTCAGGTGATGTTTATTTTGCCTGTCAGTTCCCAGTTTCCAGGCTCAAAAAATTGTGAACAAGTTTAGACATTTCAAGAATTAGAACTAGTGCTTGACTGATAGAGCTGGACTCAAAAACACAATGTTAAAAGTGTGGGATAGAAATGTTTAAATTCAGGATGTGGATTTTATTTCTTGATCTCAAAAGAAAGACTTAAGAATGCTCAAAGTGATTTTTAGCTTGAATTATTTATTTGAGGTTGAACTCTGCTGACTTGTGTTCACCACATCCTATGCAGAGGGGATGTTCACACAATGAGACTCTTTCCTCATTTCTGGACTGTTTGACTACTTTGTGCATGTGTTTTCATTCATGCCGATAAGTCGGTACCCCTCAGACACTGCACAGGCTAGAAAAAAGGGCTGTCTATATTCATGTTGACAGTTTGTGATGATCAATAAATATTGGTTGTTTGCTTCTATTTGTCATTAATGACATTTCATTGTGTTGAAAAAGCCTGTTATTGTCACAAATATGATGCAAAACACTATAAACATGACAGATTTTTGCTTGGTGTCAAAGATTAAAATGCAGCAGTCTGTGTGCAGAATTATACACTTTTAATTTGAATTTTAATTGGAAGTGACTTTGCAAGTGACATCATAATGGCTTGTGAAATAAGTAAAATCTGCCATGTTAGATAATGGAGGGCTGCTGAGGCTAGTAATACTACTGTACAATAGATACGAGTGACCCCAGGAAGTTACTCATCAAAGGGGCTTAAATTAATCACCCTTTGATTAATTTGTTTTGCCGATCAGTTGGTACTGACTTTCATTCCCTGATGAAGGCCAGCACCAGGCTTTGTTGGCTTCATAGGCACGTAAAAGGTGGAATTCAATTGGGAATTCAAGATAAATCTACGTATCAAAAGTAAGAACCACTGCCTGATTTAACATGTAGTTAGTTTGTGTAAAATTAAACAAAATAGAGAAAAGGTTAAGTCAGAGTTGAGTCACAAACTTGGAGATACATATTCATATTTCGCGGTAAAAAAAAAAAGTAGTGCTTTTGATCTACCGGTTTCACGGTATCAGATAGTGAGCCATCTTCCCTGGTGGTCTAGTGGTTAGGATTCGGCGCTCTCACCGCCGCGGCCCGGGTTCGATTCCCGGTCAGGGAACGGAACACTTTTGACCAATACATCCATAAACAACATACCGTAGTTGACCTTACGTGTTTTGGTTTATCTGTAAAATAGTCAAATTAAGCAATTTCTTATAAAACTCAAGTTTTTAGCTGTCTTTTGTATTAACATATTCAATATATATTTTTTTTTGTTTTTTGTCTTTATGACTTAGAAAAATGCAATATTCCAAGACTGTTCAACAAGGCTTCAAAACTGTCTTTAACCCTTTAAAGCCTGATCCAGGATAAATAGGAAGAACATTGGATTTTTTTTGTTTGAATTCTTTCTTTGGTCCCTCAACAACTTATGAAGAAAAAAAATAGAAATGATTTTGATCAAATTAGCGTGCAATAAGTCAAAAATGTATTTTGGTGAAGTCTTCTACTGGCTGTTATCAGGTATATCTGAATGTGTACAACAGGAGTTTGAGCAAAGCTTTTACCATTGAATGATACAAAGAATCTCAGATCCAAAAGACTTCGGAAACCGTATGAATCAAATATGAGACATTTGGCATTACAGGGTTAAAGGGTTGGGATTTGTTGAAGGCTTTATGTTGTTTTACAGCTGGACCTGCTTCTTTTGTGTTCTCTTGTATTGCCCGTGTGTGGAATTCAATTGTGAATTCAAGATTAATCTACATTTTAAAAGTAAGAACTACTGACTGAATTAACAAGAAGTAGTTAGTTTTTGGTGCTTGTGTAAAAGTAAAGAGTAAAGGGTAAGTCATAGTTGATTAACAAAAACAGCGTTTATTTTCAAAGTGATTGAAATAGACGTAGAATATGTCGAGAATGGTGTCGACCTGGAGATGCATATTCATGAAAAAAATGTGGCGCTTTCAATCTACCGATTTCACAGTATCCGTTCAAGGCACATCTTCTCTGGTGGTCTAGTGGTTAGGATTCGGCGCTCTCACCGCCGCGGCCCGGGTTCGATTCCCGGTCAGGGAACGGAACACTTTTGACAAACGCACATATATACATCATGTCGAACTTGACCTCACGTGTTTTGGTCTGTAAAATAGTCAAATTAAGCAATTTCTTGTAAAGCGGAAGTTTCTAGCTGTCTTTTGTTTTAACATATTCAATATATAATTTGCTTTTTTATTTTAATCTTTATAACTTAGAAAAATGCAATATTCCAAGACTGTTCAACAAGGCTTCAGAACTGTCTTTAAAGGGTTGGGATTTGTTGAAGGCTTTTTGTTGATTTACAAACATACCTGCTTCTTTAGTTTTCTCTTGTATTGCCCGTGTGTGGAATTCAATTGTGAATTCAAGATTAATCTAGATTTTAAAAGTAAGAACTACCGACTGATTCAACAAGAAGAGGTTAGTTTGTGGTCCTTGTGTAAAATTAAAGAGTTGATTCACGAGAACAGCGTTTATCTCAAAGTGATTGAAATGGACGTATAATATGTTGAGAATGGTGTCGACCTGGAGATACACATTCATATTTCGCGGTAAAAAAAAAGTGGCGTTTTGAGTCTGTCGATTTCACAGTATCTGATTGAAAGCCATCTTCCCTGGTGGTCTAGTGGTTAGGATTCGGCGCTCTCACCGCCGCGGCCCGGGTTCGATTCCCGGTCAGGGAACGGAACACTTTTGACCAATACCTTAATAATGCAATACTCAAGACTGTTCAATAAGGCTTAAAACAATTTTTAAAGTGTTGGAATTCGTTGAAGGCTTTTTGTTGTTTTACATCCTGCTTCTTCAGTGTTCTCTTGTATTGCCCATGTGTGGAAGTCTTTATGAGAGCTTTATAGTTAATCGGCTTGTCTCTCCAGTGCAGATCTCAACATCATTGAGGTCCACTAATTTGATTTGACAGAGAAGACGGAGCTAATCCAAAGCATGAAGAACCTGTGCTCCTTCATAAACCCATTAATCACCTGGAAAACCTCCCCGCAGGCTCCTTTTTGATCACGATGAACTCAGTGAATGGACTTTTCAGGTGGGAAGAGTATGCCCACATGAGGTGTTGGGTGAGTGTATTGAGCTGCCTTCTGCTGGCCTGTGTCTACGTGGGCAGTTTGTATGTCTGGAGGCCCGTCTTACCAAGGTACGCTTCTCTTTAGAAGTCATGTGGGATCACTGTGCCGTAGCCTTTAATCTGGGGCTGTGTTTGTGCGTTTGCACACAGAGACCACCCAAGTGCGATAAAGCGCCGCTGTGCCAGCGTGCTGCTGGTCTCTGCCCTGTCCCCGGCTCTCCTGAGGGCATGGATGCACTGGGCTGACGTCAGCGTGAGTACACAGCAGTGCCAGTTGAAAAAAAGGGACACATTTTACAAACTACTTTGATTTCATTCAGATCCACATACTCGTTTAAAGGCTGTATAACTGTCAGAATTCAGAGCAGTATGGAACAATACAAAGAGCAAAGAGATGGATGAATGATTACCATTCGTGTTTAGTCTTTCCACTAGTTTCAGCCTGCTCCTGAAGCTCTATGATTTCTGAAAGTGATCATCAAACCAAATCTGAATGGTTGTTGCTGCTTTTGTTGGCAGCTCATAAGCATCACTAAGGAAACATTGCATTGGTTCCAAGGTGTTTCAATTTAATTTTTTAGACTATTATGCTTGACTGAAATGCCTATCGGACATAGATATACAACAAACTCACAAGGGAATCAAAGCAAGAATGCATCATCATTCAGGTTTGTGATAGGATACTCTCTTAGAATTTAAACATTGTTGATAAAGTATGTAGAGTTGCTCCATTAATCAACCTTAATATGCGTTTAATCTTTCTAAAAGTACAATCTGTGTTTGTAGGTGGAGGTTCCTGTGTGGGAGTTGATGGGAGTTCGTGTGGAAGGCTTTTTTCCAGCTGCCATTCTGCCTTTATCACTGACCATGGTAAGCCAGGGGGTGCTCATACAGCTATTATGAAAGCCTTTGAGGAGTAATCATAAATTCAGTACACTGATAAATGCATGCAGCGATTTCAGCTGCTTCAAATACTACATGAAGGTCGTCTTTCCCTCATAGAGCCTTTTATTTATGCGGCATGGAGTCACTTCAGACATCTCAGGGATTTAATTTCCATTCGCCAGATTACGTATGGTGACTTTACAACATCTATGGAGTTTCTGCTTCTTGTAGTGATCTCCCAAAGGGAACCCATTGAGATGTGTATATGTATTTTCCAGATCCTCATCTTTAGTATTTTTTATTATCATTTCCTCTGGATTTTGTAAACATCTAAGGTTATTCTACATATCAGGTTTTCTATCTAGGGCCAATAGTTCACTCTGCACTGGACAACCCCGACGGCTTCACGGGGGAACTGCAGGCTGCTCTGGGTCTGTTTGTCTTTAAGCTTAATTGTAGATTTTCTTAAACACGTGTGCGTCTAGTTGCGATGAAGGCCATCGTGAAAAGCCTTGACCCTATTTTTTTGCCCCAGATGTTCAGCGGTGGAGGCTGTGCGCGCGGGACGCGCTGTGGCTCAGGAACCAGGTGGTGGCGCCGCTGACGGAGGAGCTGGTGTTCAGAGGGGCCATGCTGCCCATGCTGCTGCCCTGTGCCGGACCCACGGCGGCCGTCCTCACAGCGCCGCTGTTCTTTGGTGTTGGTAGGGAAAATGAATTGAATTCATATTCATCTGATTTTAATTTGGGTCCACAAAGACCTGACAGTTGATGTTGACTGTCCTGGAACTAACTTTCAATATATAAACTCTTGCTGTCCTTTTTGTTTATGTCATATTTGTTAGAAGTTTCCTTTTCAGATTATCTATTTCTTTGTCATTCTAGCACATTTCCACCATATCATAGAACAGCGGCGCCTTGGAAAGGACAGTATGAGTGTCATCCTCCTTGTGGCAGGTCGGTTTGCTACAATTTAAACCACATGTAATGACTCAAGGAAATCAGACTTGAATAAGCTCTTTTTATTTTGTTTTTCAAGCATTTAAAGTTAATCGACTATCTGTTATCTTGCACTGTCACAGGGCTGCAGTTCCTCTACACGACTGTGTTCGGTGCCTTTCCTGCTTTTGTGTTTCTGAGAACTGGTGAGAGTCGATGCCCCATTCATGAGTGAGCGCGTTTGTACAGCATCGCCTTATTAAAAAATCTGTGATCTGCCTTTCTAAAGGTCACCTGGTGGGCCCCGTTTTGTGCCACTGCAACAGTCAGGGCCTGCCGGACGTCGGCTCTGCCCTGCAGCACCCTCAACAGGCGGTCATCCTCTGCTCGTATCTGACCGGAGTCCTGCTGTTCCTCCTGCTGCTCTTCCCGCTGACCGACCCCTTTTTCTACGGTGCCATTCCCGTCTGTAGCCTGGCCACCCCTCCGGAATCTGTGTGTTAAACCAGCAGTACTAAAACACCATCACACTCTCATTACTTGTCCTAAACTCTGGATTATACTATGTCTGATGTTTTCAAATAAAACAGTCTGAAAACTTGTGCGTGGGCTGGTGATCTTGAAAAGAGAAGGAATCTAGCACTCCAGACATTTCCTGCATGGTTTAAAATGTTTCCTACTGTATTGAAACTCAACACTAGTACAACTTTTCCTGGCACCCAGAGACAAAGAGGGCTGTGTGTATACGTGTGTGATTGTGTGACTGTGTGTGTATGTGTGTGTGTGTGTGTGAAGCCGAGAAAAACAGATGGACGCTGGAAGTGAAGGAGTGAGAAGGCAAAGCAGTGGAGACTGCAGCACAGGCAGACAGAGAGATAGATGGATAGAAACAGACATTGTTGGCAACCAATTTTGCCGGAGGAATGAAAGCAGAGAGACAGCAAAGTAAAGTCATGTTTTTAAGACAAATAAAGCAAAGATTGTCAGACTTCAACAGAGACAAGTGAAAAAAAAGGGATGGAAATGGCCTCAGCCAGAAGAAATAACGGCAAGGCCAACAGACGAAGAAAGAAGAGAATACAGGAGGGGAGAAGAAGAAACAAGGAGGAATTGGGAGGGGGTAAAAGTAGAGTGGAAGGACGGGGGAAAGGTTAGTGTCTCCCCAGAGAAACAGAAAATATGGAGTATCACAGCTGAGGGTGAGGGGAGGAGGTCATTCAGGGTATGTGGCAGTGACAGAGAGGTGAAAGGTTCTGTTGAAAGACGAAGATTTATGGGACAGACGCAGAAGTTACAAAAAGTGTGCAAACTGGGATAGGATAAAACAAAGTTAATTAACACATGTGTTTTTTTTGTGGGTTTCTTTTATTTCTTTACCTTTATTTTCAATATCAGACCAAACAGAAATAAGAATTCTTTCTATGTCTTTAAAGGGACATAATCTGACTTTTCTTCATTAGCGAATAATTTCGGTATATACTTTGGACGGGAAGGTTTCCATGTCGTTCCGCCATTTTGAAAAACTATAATCTCAGAGAGGACATAAAGCACTAGTCTAGCTGTCCGCATTTTCCTTCAGAGCCAGAGTCACATGGCAACGGAATTCGCTATCTTGTTGGAGGAGTAATTACATGCTCACACTAATGATTCAATGCAGTTTGTAATTTCTTTTAAATGACAAACCCCATCACCCGAGAGAAAACTGGATGATGTGGAAGTCATGTTGTCACTACTTCTTGATGCTTGATGGCTACCGTAGTTGTAATACCCATTTGAAAACGAGAGGCACTAGAGAGCACCATTTGTTAGAATGCAAAATATAATTTCACCGTTAGATTGGGAGAAATTCCATTGAACCGCCAGGCTGAAAAAAAAGACGAAAGTCAACCTATCAATCCAGGTCTGACATTCTCTGTGGAACTGACGGGATCATGACAAACGCACCAGGTTTGGAGGCCACACACCCACACCCGCAAGCTCATATGAGCTGGGAAGCACAGCGGAAGCAGCGTTTTTTCACCGGGTTGGATTCCAGACTCTGAAAGAAAAATACGTGCTAAATCACCAGCTCCTATGAACAGCCCAAAAAAACAAAAACAAAAAGCAGCCATGACCCTTGGTGTGCGCCAGATGATTTCCTGGTGTTGTGTCTGCTCTCTGTTTATACCAACACCCCCGCAGAAATATCATAATTGCAGATTTAAGCTCAAGTTCAAGGAGCGATTTGATGTTTGAGGAAAGGTGATTATTTGTGTTCTTGATGAGTGAACTGAAACCACATGCACGTGTGTTAAACACGGAGCTACAATAAGTAGCAGATAAAAGCACCAAGGGCTCCCACTTTGAAGTATTTCAGCCCCATTACAGAGATGTTTCCTGTAAACCCCCTACACAGCGGACGGGGATGGACACCAGGTTAGATTTTGGTAATGTGGAAAAGAAACTCTGGTAAAAAGCTGATTACAGGTTGGTTCGGGTTCAGCGGATGAGGACGAGGAAGTTTGAAGCGGATGAAGTTTTGGGAGGAGAAAAACACATCGCCAGGGACACAGTGTTAAACTAATCAGGAGCTTATCGAAAACACAACATGGTAGATCGAACACCGACGTTACAATTGTTTAACCAAAAATGTGGGTTTTCGGGCTTCTTCGGGATGCTGCAGCTCAAATGAAGACTTTCATTTTTCTGGGCCGTTATTCTTAATCGTGTTACAAACGGAGGCTTTAACAGATCAACAGGTTGGGCACGCTCTGTGTGGGTTCACTGAGCCGTGGGTATCCTCGAACACAAATTCCCAAGGTCCCTGGGTATCAACCCAGCTTTGGTGTCAAGCAAGAAATGTATCTTCTCCAAAGATTTACGACTACTTAGAGAGTGCCGGGTTTAGAGGGATTAAGGGGAGTTTACTCATGTAGATGTTTATTCGCAGAGAAACTGCTGATTCCTCATGGTGCTCTCAGCCCTCTTCGCTCTCGTGCGTTTCCTTTTAGTCATACTTGGAGTCCTTTCAGCACAACAAAGTCTTGAGCTGCTGGCTGCGGGGAGATTTAGGGGACGCTGCCGGGCTGCAGCAAAGCCGACAGCGGCTTTTTTTTTTTTTTTTGGAGTAGCAACAGCAGAAACTCTTTGCCTCTCCTGGGATTTTTTCCCTGAGAAGTGCACCGAGATAAACTATTTGGAACCCTCTGATTCTGGGGCCACCGTCTGAGACGGCCTGTTGGACCCTGCCTCCCAGTAGGGAGGGTGAAGGGGTGGGCAGAATAACAGAGCAGGAAAGAAGAGGCTGCCATTAAAGCTCACATAATAAGTCTGCAGAAGATTTCAGCGCTGAGTTGAGGGAGCAATTCACATTCTTTTGCTTATGCTGAATCAGGCAGTTTATGGTTTCCTTCTTCTCTTTTTTTTTTCTTTTTCCTCCATCCAAAAAGCTATTTCTTTAGAGGCACACCGGTTTGGTTACACCTCGGATGTGGATTGCGGAGCAAATATGTGAAGTTTAATTTATACAAGTCAGAAAAAAAAAGTTGACACAAAAGCAACCTACAAACGAGGCGCCGTTCTGTCTGTTTGTTGCTCTGTCGATTCTTTGTCTCTTGTCTCTTTCTTGTGGAGTTGACATCCTTTCTTTTGGGTCTTAATGCCTTTACCATCACAAGCACAGACCCACACACACACACAGACCCACACACACATACACACACAAATGTCTCTCTCTGTGGATAACTGTATCGTGAAAAGCACTACAAAGAGGTGTAAAATGTCTGTGCTCATCTACGGGTGCACGGCCATGTCTATGGAAAAGTTGAGCGTATCATCTGGTAAAGGAATAATCAGTGGGGAATTAGCCTGTCCCAGTTTTCTGCCCTCTGTCCTTCAGCCCTTTCAGCAGCTTTCAAGTCTGAGTTTCTGTTTATCTTTGGTTTAATTACACATGTGTGAGCGGCAAAAGACTCCTCCTGTCACAGTCTGGCTAATATCACATGCACTGTTTGTGTCATCTTGTCTTTCAGATTCTTTTTTTTTTTTTCCGCCTCTTACTTGGCTAAAGAGCTTCTCAACACTCTTTTTGGCCGGTTCAGTTAGAAATGTTCCATATATGCATGTCACCTTTTCTGAAAAGGTTCCACCGAAGGTGTGCGTGCACTGGGGGGCTCCCGGGTGTCAGCTTCAGCACAGATTCCTATCACATTCTCTTGTTTGAATTAAGCTTTATTGACGTTAACTTCAATAAGGAAGTCCGGACATTTTTAGCCAAAATAATTCCCTAACATTAAACTTCACCTGGCGGCGTATAAAGCCCTCTAGATTTAACAAATTGGACAGCACTCTCAGTCTGCTCAGATGTTTGCAATAAAGATTTGTCGACTGTCTGGGTGTGGATGGAGGACATTTGTGTCTGCCGTGAAAGATTAAACACGCGGACATTGTAGAAGAAGTGGATAAAAGTATCGTCTTTTTTCCCCCCGCAGTAATCACCAGGAATGCATCCAGTCCATTATTTAACCACAAGGCTGCTGCTAATTGCTTCAGTGTGTCCTTGTTTGTGTGTGTCCGTGTGTGTGTGTGTGTGTGTGTGTGTGTGTGTGTGAGCTAAGACACCAGTGGTTGGGAAAAATGAACAAATGACGTGTCCCGTGTTTCTCATGGCACGAGCACCCTAATAGGCAAAAGCTGCACTCCGCTGACCCGAGACCGCAAGGAAATAACAGTGAAGTCAGTCCAGTGACTTCAGAAGCAGAGGCGGTCAAACCTTCTATAATTATCCAAACAGATGCTTTTAATGAATCCAAACGAATAAACCGTCCCGACTTCCTGATCGTTTGTGTTTATTTATAACCAAATAGTGACTCGAATCGCACTTGAGAAATGCGTCAAATTTCAGCTTTTTTTCTTTTTTACCAGGGCAGGTCAAAGACAGCTATGTGAACCTTTATAGTTGATAACCCACATGGGTGGGGGGTTTGCAACAAATAGACTTTTTTCATGGGAAATGGTTGACCTAATTTTGGGGTGAATCCTAATGAAGGCCAAATGAGCCAAAGCATATTTCATGATAAACTTGGACTCTTGTGCTTTCCTTAGATTTTTCTTTAAGTACCATTATAATGTTCGAATTCATATTTTAAAGTCAAAACAACCACCAGACAGATTGGAACTGGATGCAGACGCGGGTGTTTTCCCCACGCTTTCCCTAAATTTGGTTGCCATCTGATTTTTATTTGGAACCATCATCAGGTTTTGATTTGACTAAAAGGCAACGTCTAAAAAACCGATGGGCTATTCTTCAGCCTCGGCTGCAGTCGTTTCATATCTTTGCAAGCAAAAGTTATGTTAACACGAGCGTCCCATCTGCTCTGTGCTGTCGGTCAGCTGCCGGTGGACGCTATCTTAACACAACAGAGCTTCAGAAATCTCAGACGATGTAATATACAAGCTATGATTGCGTTCGAATGATGTGACAATGACCCCCTGGACACTGACTGAGGTCTCCCGCTTGTACAATCAACAGCGCCGCATCCAAAAGCAGATGTGTTAAGTGTTTCTTTGTGGTCATTTTGTGTCTCTTGTGCATCTATAAGTTGGGAATTCAAGCTTTATTGTAGTTTGTCTCCACTGACCTTTGGTGTCTCTCGTGTGTTAGGTTTAAGACTATTTAGAGGTTTCCGTGTAGGTTTGTGCCTATTTGTGTGTGTGTGTGTTTACAGTTTCCTTTATGTTATATTTATTGATCTACCATTGAAGAATTGTTTTTAGTTTTTTTAGTTTTTTGCATTTGCACTTATGTCTGTTTTTGTCTCTTTATTGGCACATGATTGAATTCCAACCAAAAACTGGTAATAGCTACTGTTAACAGAAGCCAGCCTGAGGCAACTCGACTCTAAAATCCTTTCCAAATTCATCATCGGTTCAGACATACAGGGTTAAGTGGCCACTGAAAAAAACATTAAATGGATGACAGCCCCAGAACTGTCACTATCAGCACATTTGCTGATAAAGTCAAATGTGGAAAAACTGAAAACAGTGAACTGTGGAAGAGCCCCACTTTGAGGCCTTTAGTTGTGCGAAAGCTGGACGATGAGATAATAGGATGACCAATGGTGATATCTGGCAAATGAGTAGGAGTCCAGGAGCTGACCGGGGAAGCTGCAGATATTAAACGGAGGGCTCTGTGGGTTCCATTAGAGGTCTTTGGCTGGGGAGCGGGTGAGATTTGGATACACTGTGTGTAGATTAATGTGAACAAAGGGAGCTGGGAGTGCAGGACTATGGAAAAGAGAGGTTTTGTCTGTTCTATCAATTATATTTTTGGAATGTGTGTGTGTGTGCGGGGTGGGGGTGGGGGTGAGAGGTGGTGGGAGGGTTGTATATGCGGGAGGAGGAGCCAAACATGGAAGATAGAATAAACAGACCCAGCGGAAGTTTTGCGATGAAAACCGGTGGTCTGGGGGAGATCCAGCTTGCCTGAATAATGAAATTTTAAGAGATGAGGGGGTGAGAAGGAGCAAGTTGGAGATAAGGAAAAAGACGAGGGCTTTGGGAGGCAAGGAGATGAAAGAGGAGCAGGAGGAGCAGAGAGAGAGTCCTAAAGAGAAGCAGAGAAGAATGAGGGACGTGGAGAAGGAGGCGGGGAACAGGGCCAAAAGGCTCTTTAGGTTCTCCGGGATCCTGAGGTTTTATGTTCGTTATCCCTCAACTCTCGGTGCCTGTTACATAACTTGGGAGGACTGAATAATAAAGCTGTATATATTCTGTCGGCCAAAACCAACAAGCCAGAGAACAGAGGCCTGGGCCCCGGGTTTGCTCGTAGTTAATAACTGCTCCTGCTGCACATTGGACATGACTTTTCCATCTCATCATCCTTTGTCAGTCGTTTTGCAGTGGGTGCTGTGATTCTTTTTTTTCTTTCTTTTTTTTACTTCTTTTTTTTTCATTTGCATAAAACAGACATCCAATAACCAGACAACTGCAGCGGCATGAAACCGGCGAAATGAAGCCGCGGCAGCGTCACACTTTCCACAGAGAGACATGACGAATCTTTATAGAATGTTCTTTTGTCGAGCTGTTGGGTTTATTCGTGTATTATAGACCTCAAGATGCAGTCTTTATGGCCTGGCAGCTTGAAATCTGTAACCCTCCCTTCGGGACTCAAGTCTACGGATCAGAAACGCTGGTTTCATTTGACACTTTTTGGCTTTGGCTCTCTCCACACAGACAAAAAGATTTAAATAGAATCATATTTTTCTTTGGAAAAACACCAGCCTACCCTTTGGCTTCGCATTAGGCACGCTGCTGAGGGTGGGCAGATCGTGTGACAGAATGGAGGTACCCTACAAGTCACTCCTGCTCCCCAGTCATTGAGAGGTCAAGCTGATGCACATCTGGCATTTCCTGTTTCCTCTTCTCCATATGCCCCCAAGTTAAAATCCCTCACACACAGACGTACGCAGGAAAAAAGCGAGGAACCCTCGGACATCTGTGCCCCTCAGAAGTTATTTTATAACGGGGGAATGAAGTCACACATACAATATGCAGGGCCCGACAGGTATTCCTGCTCCATACTCCAATGTTTCCATTGAACAGTAAAAACTTCCAGCTGCTCTGGAGTTGGAACAACAGGAAAAGAGGAGAGGGGGTGTGCAAAAAAAAAAAAAAATCTACACGGTGAAGGTGAAGAGTGGGGGAAAGATGGGGACAGATTATTATTAATAAAAGACTAAAAGAGATTTTAAATAAAAAAAAGAATATGATAGCCAAACACAGAGGGGGAGACAGTCAGAAAACAGATGGTGTTGGAGAAAAGAATAGACAGGAGGAACGAGAAGATACCTTTTGCATCTCACAAAACAGACAAACACTTTCCACCCCTGTGGATGCTGCAGGACTGATGCTATGTGAGTCTGGAGAGGGGACAGAACGCTGCCGTATGGTTTTCATAAGTCCTCTCTCAGAGAGCTCAGCTCCTCCACTATCCCCCTACCCCCAAAACCCTCCATCTCCTCCGACTTCTCCCTTATACACTTGCACACTTTACCAGCCCCCTCTCCCAAAAATGCACAATTCTTTTTCCTCTACGTAGCCTTCCCCCCTTCCCGCCCTCCTCCATCTTTCTCTCTTTCTGAGGTTCCATCAGAAAGTCAACTCTGCAGTGGCAAGAAAGCTCCGGCAGGATCAGACCGAGCACAGGGCTTCTGTCACTGAAATTGACTGAATTCTTCCGGTTTCTCTTTTTTTTTTTTTTTAGCCCTTCTAAATCTCATTGGTGCCTCAGTGGACTTTAATTTGGACTATACTGGACCTGGCTGGACTGTCTGGAAGGATTCTTTTAGGCTGTGCTGAAAACCGTTTTGAAGTGTCAGCAGTACTGTCAGTTTGAATGGAGGTTGATTTACTTTGCACTGGAGGGTTCAGTGTTTGACATATTCAAGACAACTCAAAATAAATAGATGTCTCGCCTTATCCTGACTATCTCAAACAACCTAGAGTAAAAGGACGCTAAAAGATTATTTATTTAATAGCTCAAGTGGGACAGTTTCTTTGTTTCTGTTCGTTGAGGTCAGAGATCACAAAAGTCTCTCTTTGTTTCCATTGTTAGGATATTTATTTTTTGCCATTGTGGGGGATATTCCTGTGAATGGTGGCTTAGTTTATACTGTGAGTATTGGAGGAGGATGCAAAAGATCATCGGGAGCAGCTTCAGCAACATGAATCTCGTATTCATCCTGTGGTTGATGACGCTTTCTGTGGCTCCTGGAGCCCAAGGACAGCGTCTGAAAGAGCCGAATCCCAACCCAGACGGGGAGCAGCCGCAGCCTCAGCTGGCAGAGAGAGATGCGCTGTGCACCCAGGAGGGATGCTACGCTGTTTTCCTCCAAAAGAGAGTCTTCAGGGAGGCTGGGCGGAGTTGCCGAGAGCGAGGTGGGACCCTGGCGACGATGCACACCCAGGAAGCAGCGAGCGTGGTCCACGGTCTTCTGTCGGCCATCGAGGGTCAAGGGTCCAGGCTGCGGCTTCGCCTCTGGATCGGGCTGCACAGACCCCCGCGTCAGTGCTCATCCAACCGGCCACTCCGAGGATTCGTCTGGGTTACAGGCAAAGTTTCACCTACTTACAATACTTCCAGCCTTTTTCCTGTTTTTCAGTCATTTTACTCCACTTCTATATACATTGTTGTTTTAGAAAGATTCATACAGAATTATTCCAAAGAAGAAAAAAAGCTATGTGAAGTTACAATTGCTAACATAACCATGCTAATATCGTTTTATTTTTGCATTCAGTAATATCAGAAGAATAATCCTCCACAAATGTTACAGCTAATAATTTCCATGGTTAACCATCAGATCACCTATAATCTCAGAATCGGTCTGACTCACCTACGTGGAGGATTGGTGGCACCACTCTAGGCTTCCTGCAGGGCGGGGCTGGACAGAAAATGTGCATGCACAGTGAGGAAGTAATTGAATGAGAGAAGATACCGAGCTACCAGGACATGGAAGCCCGAGCTGAGCAGGAGAAGCAGCCTGTGCGGGTTTTAATTTTTGGCCTGACGTGGGCAGACTTAGAAAAGTTCCACTGGTTGTAAACCACAGTTCCAGCTTCTGTACCGTCTTACCAAAATATCTGTGATTGCAGTGGATTTAGGTAATTTGGAAACGTTTAAGTGTCCCACCGAAAAAATGCCATGGAAAACATGAGTGTATATTTTTCAAATGGCTGCTTCACAAATTAGACCCGCAAACAGCTGGGATTTATTATAAAGTCCTGCTGTGGACTGAACAGCATCTATAATCTGGGGAGGGCATCTCTCAAGAATAAGCCCACTTTCAGGCATGACAGTTTGTCATTATACTATGACAACAAACTGTTGAGCTGGACCCCGTCCAGCACACGTCTGTCAGACTTTGCTACCTCAGGCACTGTGCACAGCTGTGTGCAGCCGGGATGGTTATTCTAACTAAAGCTTTTCATTTCAGAGGCAGAACTGGTGCGGCCATTTAAGCTCGGCCCTCCTTGACCTCATTGCCACCCCTCGGCCTGATTCAGTCATCACACAAACCTACTAAAAAACCAGATGTGTCTGCCCTGAAGTACAGTTAGAATAGATATGAAATCATTAAGAGTTGTGCTGCCAGCTTCCTTCTGTTTTTTTTTTTCCATCGTAATTTAAAAGACTGCTTTCTCACTCATCACTCTCAACGCATCTGACCAACATGGTAAAACTGTCCTGTTTTCCCAGCGTATTAAAATTAGAGCTGAAACAGATGGGTTATATTTCTGAGAATAAACAGTGCTTCTTAAATTGCAGCTGCCTCCTCGTTAAAAGCTGCTTGGAGCATAACCTCCCCCCCATTTTTGTTGGCGAATGCCTCTACCCCCCACCAGCGGTAATAACTGGGACAAATGGATACTGTTGCTCCAAAAATAACTGGCACTTGAAAACCTGCGGGTCAGATTTTACTAGTGCGTTTGTGGTGACTCCTTGTGGCAGTCTCCGGCCAGCCACAGAGCAGTGATGCTGACCAGCTGAGTGGACCCAACCTCACAAATTCAGGTGTCAAGTTTCGAATGAAATATCGTTGTTTTTTATTCACCTAGCTCTTCCCTGTCTTTATCTCTCTACAGGAGACCAGGATGGCCAGTTCACCAACTGGCTCCGTGAGGACACCCCTGGGACCTGTGCCGCCCCTCGCTGTGTGGCCATGACGGTCCACACCACTGAGAGTGGACGGGAGAGCAAAGACAACTTCCGGTGGGTGGACGGCTCCTGCGCGTTGCCTCTGGACGGGTACGTGTGCCAGTACAGCTACAGGGGGATGTGCCCGCCGCTGGAGGACGAGGGCAGAGGTCCGGCGGTCTACCAGACGCCCTTCCATCTGGTCAGCGCCCTGCTGACCCACGTGCCCTACGGCTCCGTGGCCACCGTGCCGTGCCCGGCGGACGGCTCCGACCCGGACGCCCCCCGCGAGCAGACGGTGCTGTGCATGCAGCGGGACGACGCCGGCGTGGGCTGGTCCAGGGACCCCCCCCTCTGCCCGGCGGCGGCGGCGCAGGACTGGTGCGGCGGCGACCACGGCTGCGAGCAGCACTGCCACAACACCGACACCGACTACTACTGCTACTGCTCCGAGGGCTTCGTCATAAACGAGGACGGCTACACCTGCAGGCCGGACGCTCTGGGCCCTACGGACCCGCCGCCGGCGCCGCCGCCCTCGGACCCCGAGGGCCCCACGGAGCGGCCCCAGCTCAAGCGGGCGTGCGCGGACATGGGGTGCGAGTACGACTGCGCGGAGACGCCCCGGGGGCTCCGCTGCACCTGCCCCCCGGGCTACCAGATGGCCCCGGACGGGCGGAGGTGCTCGGACGTGGACGAGTGCCGGCAGGACCCCTGTCCCCAGCTCTGCATCAACATCCCGGGCACCTTCCACTGCGTCTGCCACCAGGGCTACCAGCTGGACGACGAGGGCGAGTGCGTGGACGTGGACGAGTGCCTGGACGAGGGCAGCTGCGAGGGCTCCTGCCGGAACACGGTGGGCTCCTTCCAGTGCGTGTGCGAGCCGGGATACGAGGCGGACGGCGCCGGCGAGTGCGCGGACGTGGACGAGTGCGCCATGGGCTCGCCCTGCCAGCACCGGTGCCTCAACTTCAACGGGGGCTACCAGTGCGGCTGCCACCGCGGCTTCGACCTGCAGCCGGACGGACTGACCTGCAAGCCCTGGAGTGAGGATGGAGAATATTCCACGCTGACCCCTGACCCCAGTGACTCCGCTGAGCACAACGTTCCGTGGTCCGGCTCGCTGACTCCCGACTCCATCTTCGAAGTCGACAGCAACTTCGACGTCAAATGGGAGACCGAGGCCCCAGAGGGGCTCCCGCCCGATGTGACTCAAGGGTCAGATAATCATTTAAACCAGGGGGATGAGATATTCCCCAGGAGATACCAGACATCCCCCTCGCCGACTCAAAAGGATACTGCTGGAAACGAAATCGACAACGGCGCGAAGGCAGGAGCCAGAGAACCCGGTGGTGGGGTGGTAGCTGAAAATGCAAATGACTCACCGAGCGGAACGGGGGAGGCAGACCTGGACAGTGCAAAGGACGCCAACAGCACGACAGAGGACGGGTCCGCTTCAGGGAAACGGAAGCAGGATAAGAGCTGGCTGCTTGTGGCGCTACTGGTGCCCCTGTGCGTGTTCCTGGTGGTGATGCTGGCTCTGGGGATCGTCTACTGCACCAGCTGCGCTGTGGACAAGAGCCTGAGCTTTTCAGACTGCCATCGCTGGGTACTTCCTGCAACTCCTCCTGACAGGAGGGAAAACAAAAACCAAGCATGAACCCTAAAATGGACAAACACTCACAGATGTGTTTAGATGCCTTTTAACTTTTTTTTTTTTTTCTAGTAACTGAGGACAGGTCACTAAAACTACAGTTCGAATAAAGTACCAATGGCCTGCTCTTATTCTTTCTGTTTCACAGCCTTTGTAAATAACTCACCATCATCATGTTTTTAAATTTCAATAAAACCATTAAAACGATGGCACACCGTGTGGTTTCTAACAGCAAGTATCTGAAAATAACAGGCTGGGAAAGAAATTAAAGCATGCATGGAAAGATTGTGTGATTATGTTTTAAGAGCTCTCTGGATTTGAGAATAAACGGTAAAAGTCAATAGCTATACGGAGGGATGCAAAAGAGCTCTAAAATGAGGTGGACGATGGCTGGACGAAGCGTAGGGACAAAGCAGACAAACATCTCAAGATGACATCACTTGGCTCAAGGAGGCAAAGAGGTCAGAGCTGAAGAACAGCATGCTGGTCGTCCACCCACAGATGCCCAGGTTCTGGCCAACAGTATTTCTGGGGAACTGGCCAAGCGCCGCCAGAGAAGAACCCAAGGGGTTGAAGAAATGTGCAGCCTTATCCAAAGCCTATTAGCAACTGTGTGGGAACTGTCTCATTCCCACATAGATTTAGATTTACACGTCCCCATCTCACCCACTCGGAGAGCCTGACGCATGTGTGGGAAGCTCCGCAGAAGCAGGGGGACCAGGTCCTGGATGTCTTCAGAATGTGGCAGAGGGTCATCATCTGTTGAAAGTTGGTCTACTACAGAAACTCCAGTCTCCTACAGGACTGGAAGTGGATTTTTGTCAGTTCACACAATAAATGATCATTTTCAGGGAAAGGCGGCACGTAGGGACGTGTGTGTGTGTGCTGAATCAGACATGAAGCTAATGGTTTCAGTAACCTCAAACGTTTCTCTTCCATTGCATTCACAGATTTATTTGGTGTCATTTAGTTATCTTTTTCCAATCTTTTGTTTGCATTGTTTTTTTAAACTTCTATTAGTTATTTTACTTGTTAGCTAAGTCTGACTTGAAAGACCAATTGTGGCCCCAGCAGCTGGACTTTCACCCCCCACACTCCTTCTCCCTACAGACTCATCTGTCATTGTAATTAAGGGATCACACCCTCTGCTCTTTGAGGTCCCCTGTGCGGCAGGTTTTAGCTGTTTCCCTGATGGCATGTGCAGAATCAGACAACATTTAATTTCAATCTGGTGAGTTGAAGCTGAGAAACATCTCCAACCTGTTGGAGAGTGTATCTCGAGAACCAGAGTTGATGGTTGCTGTTTTAATCCATTAGAATTATGTGTCATTACGTGCTGCTTGCTTTAAATAGATGCATGCAATTGATTTAACATGTACCGTGTTCATGTCTGGGTTTTTTTAAAAGAAAATAAATGTGAAAGGTTATTCTGTTCTGTTGAAATGTTTTTATTGGGGTAATCCCCCCTTTTCCGTTTCTTTCCCCTGCCCAAGTAGTCCACGATTCCACAAGGAAAGTCCAAATCAAGAACAAAAATAAAATCCGAGCAATTTTAAACAAAGTCTTAAAAGTCCCTAACAAGAACTAAAAAATCCTTAGTCCTAACAATTCCTAACACAGTGTTCCTAAAAGTTCCTAACAAGACCTAACGAATCCTAACGAAGTCCTAACAATTCCTAACAAAGTCCTAACAATTCCTAACCAAGTCCTAACAAAGTCCTAACCATTCCTAACGAAGTCCTAACAAAGTCCTAACAAAGTCCTAACAATTCCTAACCAAGTCCTAACAAAGTCCTAACGAAGTCCTAACAAATCCTAACGAAGTCCTAACAAAGTCCTAACTAAGTCCGAATAATTCCTAACATAAAGTTCCGAACAGATGAGAAAGAAGAGCCAATCAGATTCTGAGATATTTCTGTTTCAGTAAAGGTCCCTGATTGGTGGGACGATGGTTGCTATGTTACATACATAGACATATAAACATAGACCCGCATTGAGTGCTCATTCGTACGTCACCGGGGCCGCTATCTTGGATGTAGCAAATTGGAGAGTCAGCGATAGTGAACCGGTGTAAATCTCAGGGTTCTTCTCCAACTTCTCCAAAGGCTGTCCTGTGGTGTATGCCGTGGTAGTTTGGTGTCTGAGGCTGTACCCGCATCATCAGAGCTACACCTGCTCAACCTAAAAAACAAAGGAGGGATTGGTTCCGGGGATGTTTTTTCTCTCTCAATATAAATAAGATAATATATAAGATATTACCAGATAAATGTACATTTTTATGCTCTTTATTCATGTCACGTCTACTTTTTGGGATCTGGTCGTAGTAGAAAGGCGGTTTATGAAGTTCAGTCCGTTTTCTTTGATTAGTTTACGGGCAAGTCTGCCACATCCAAGATGGCGGACGCGCTGACGTATCGGTGCACCGGACAAACCTGCTGAATGCGGAGTCTATCTATTTATGTCTATGGGTACATAGCAGGTCAAAGGTCGTCGGTGATTTGTTTGCTACATAATTCGAACAACACGTGAATTGTCCGGTTGAGTACAGGTATATTACAAAACATCCAAATGATATAAATGCATCGTTTAGTCATGGGACCACAGAAAATCCAAACTAAAACACGTGTATGCTCTACTAATGATATTGTGGGCGGTGCAAAGAGGGGGGGAGGGCACGATGCCCAGAGAGCATGTTGTTAGTCACCTTGGCTAAGTTTTCGATCGTGTTTCTACTGTCCGAGCTCAAACAACCGCTTAAAGCTATGCAATATGCTCGAACGACTCCCAGGTTTTTTCGAATATGGAAAAAGTTATCGACGAGGATGGGATTCGAACCCACGCGTGCAGAGCACAATGGATTAGATCGCCAGCTGCCGCTGAATCGTCCGGGGAAATGTTGAACAATGTTGGAATATGGGCCAATCGCGGGCCTCCCTTTCCAACATTCTCCCCCAATCATCCTCGACTCCTCAACATTCCCCGCCAATCAATCTCCCCCCCCTTCCAAACTGTCGAACTTTTGACCAATCAGCTGCGATCTTAACCGTGCCTAGAAATTGTCCGCAGTTTCATACGTTTCATTCTTTGATTCCTTAAAATTGTGCGTATTCAGACATTAACGGCAGTGTTATATGACGTCCGCTGATGTGTAAACACAGCCTTTCTTTGTCTGTCACGTTGTCATTGTGATATTATTCAGCTAGCTTCTGTGGCTCTTTTATTTGACTCAGAATTCGGCTAATTCAGTAGTTTTGGACGTTAACGTATTTCAACAGTGCCCTCTCGCATAAGCGCATATATTGTGTGTATGAAATCTGTCGAATTAAGATGTTTTCCCCGATTCATTCATTCATTCATTCATTCATTTCACTACGTAATTTACCGTGTATTTTGCTGTAATGCCGTTTTCTCTATTCCATCGATTTATTTAGTTATTGGAAAAGGCTTCGATTTATATGCCAACCTAGACTTAAAACACAGACTGTAAACAGTACAACAGTTGACCTATTTTTCTATAGTATAACACAATCAGTTGTAGTTGAATATTAAATCCTCTTCTAACATATTGCTCTTAAGATAGGGTAATTATGTAAATGGTGTTGTAAGTGAATGTTAAACTCTCATTTAAGTTCTTTGTAAGCCTGTAAATGTTATACATTTTTACATAATTTAAGTTCTTAATTAAAGTTTATATCTATGTTGTGTGTTCAGTTTGCATGAATAATCTCTTTTTATTAAATATTTAAAACTTTTCTCTTGCACACTTTTTATTTTTTGCCACCACTAAACATGGCTTTTGTACATTTGGCTGCTTATATTAAGCTATTACATTGATAATATTAAGTTAATGTTTATTTACAATCAGACTCACTTCCCCATTTCGTTCACCACCTACTAGAGTCGCCGGTTCGAATCCCGGTCTAGTCTTAAAAATTACCGTAACTTTAATAAAAACTGCTCTTTCTTGAGCTAATAAATCAATGAAAGTGAGTGACAAGGGCGTATGTTTTCTCTTCTCTCCTCTTTTCTCTCTTTTTTCCTTTTTTTCTCCTTCCTCCCTCCTTTTCTCTTCTCCCCCCTTCTCCCCCTTTCTTCCCCATCTAATATGGCCGATTGTTCCCCAGCTTGCAGTCCATCGCCTTAACCACTCGGCCACCTCGTCGCATGTTTTGCACGTCTCCAGATGCAGGTACACGAAACCGTACACTCTAGCCGATATGTTTCCATAAATTAAAGCTTATAATTTTTTACCATCTTTCAGAATTCACTTTGTATGGGACTGTCGTTGCGTTACCATTCTTTATTCCGCTAGCAAAACCGAAAAGTAAATCAGAACGAAAAGTCCCGTTCAGCAGCTGTGTGATTGGTCAATGTGTATATCAAGCATAAAATACTGCCTGTGATTGGTTAAGGGGTGGTTCCCGTTCTGAATGAACACAGGAAGTGAACAGCGTGAGACTGCACTTTGACGTTCGCCTGAGAACTTCTAACAGATTATAGGTAACCAATTGCTCAGTTTATTTTCACCTATATATACAGGTATAAATATATTTACTTTCACCTATATATGGAGTTTTAAATAGAAGTTCATACATAAAATTGCTAGCACTGTAACTGAAATCTAAGCCTAGCTCACAGCCACAGTGTGCACCACGCACTCTGGAGCCGTTAGCATGAACGCTAGAAGCTATTGTTACAGAATGAACATTAACTTGAACACACATTTTACCTCTAGACTGATAGTATGCTGCTGATTTGAAAACCGATAGCAAATGCGAACATTGTTAACACAGGAGCCTGACATACAAATACGTTTGTAGTCGCAACAAAAAGCGAAACCGATAAATGAGCCTCCACACAATCAGCGCTTTTTACTGAATGTCTGGCAGGGTTTAAGGTATTGTATCCTCCAGTCATTTAATCTAGGTCATTGTTTTTTAAACCCTTTCTCATTTATTTTTTGAGCATTTTCTAAGATCCCTGCATTAACAGAGTCTGTTTGTGTGTGTGTTTATGTTTTTCAAAGGCAGACGATAAAGACAGAGGGGCTTATATTTAAACACAAAGCAATTCAGTTCTTTCGTTTTATAGTGGGGTGACCAAACGTCCTCTTTTGCCCGGACACGTCCACTTTTTGCATCCTGTCCGGGGGGGATTATAAATTCATGAAAATGTCAGATTTTCATTGTTTTTCCTGGGACCATAGTTGTATGCTCAAATCGACTGGCGCTTTGCACAGAATATTACGGTACTTTGTTGCCCGACGTAATTCTCCAGGGACAGCCTTGTGGCAGGGTCTAACACACACACACAGAGAGAGACACACACACACACACAGGGAGCAGAGCAACCGGCATTGGAGACAGAATTCCCAAACGAGAGTGCAGCTTCTCAGACGAACTGCAAAAAAAACAAGTGGGCAAATATGTTTCCGTGTCTAATAAAGGTGCTGGAGATCTCCAAGCTCACATGGACACTTAGAAAAATGTTTTAATACAGAAGAGGTTATAACATTATTTGATTTGATTTATGTACATTAAAAGAGAGCTATAATTTTGTTACTGGTTGTTGCAGATTGTGTTTTTACCACCGAAGTTATTTATGTACCATTGAGGTATAATAAAATATGCTCATTGCCATCTGAGAAGCCTGTCTGAGTCCGTCTCGAGGCTGGGCAGTGTCCTCCTTTTTGGAAATCAAAATATGGTCACCCTCATTTATAGGCTAACTAGCTGATGATAACACAATGGCTTAAAAATACACTATCCAGCTTTGTTGGGGGGAATTACCATTGTAAATATACATAGATGTGTGTGTGTTGAATTTCTAACAGAGAAACTCTTAGACACGAGCTTGTTACATTAAAATGCCAATCAATTTCTCACTTAGCAATTTATACCCCCCCCCTCACCCCCAACACATGGTGTTTGGCTAATATCGTGCGCTGGTAAAATCACACTGCATGCCTCTGGTTAGCCCGTGACAATGCTACCTGACTTTGTACTTCCACTTGAGTTCACTTCAGATGTTTTTGACGACTCTCTTCTGTTTACAGTTTTTCTTCTTCTTTGGTTTAAGTACCAGTAGCATCCTAATTCAAAGTCTAAGATAAATTAATCCTAGCAGGAGTGACCGTGGTGACGGGTTTTTCTAGCAAACGGTGCTGCGCACGCGCAGTATAGCCAATTTGCGTAATGACGTAATTAAGAAAAGTTCAGTTAAGCTATTAGTGTCAAGCTACTGTGAAATAATAATTCAAAGCAAGCAACTTTTCACTGTTTTGGAAGAGCACATCTGTCAAATTGGTAGGCTACATGGACATGAAACTAGTTCTTCTCTGCTCAACCTTCCCAAAGCAAACGGGTGTATAAATACCTCCAGGAGCCCACAGTTGGGGAAAGAAAATACAAAAAAAGGCAAAAATGATTAAATCTTTAAATGTCTGTTCTATTTTTAGTCGACCTTTTTCTTACAGCATTAGTGTTATGTCCTGGTACTTTTGACCATAACCCTAACTCTTCACTTTTTGCTTTTGTCCTAACCCACTTTACCTCCTCTTAGTACATTAGCGTTGACCTTCAAAGCCAAGATGGTGGACTCACAGTACTACCTCCCAAATGACATTGGCATCTCTGCACTCGACTGCGGTGAAGCCTTTCGTCTGTTATCCTCTCAGGAGAAGATGTACGCCCACTACCTGTCAAGAGCTGCTTGGTATGTTGCTAACCTCAGGATGTAGCAGGTTAACAGTGCCCACAAACACCAAAACAGGCAAATCCACCAAGTGTAAAAAGAACTGTAATAGATGGGTTTTAGGTGTGAAATACTGAGAGTCCCTCTATAAACAAAAAGACTTGGCATCTTTTTATTTGTCTTAGGTACGGTGGCCTGGCAGTGCTGCTGCAGACGTCTCCAGAGTCTGCCAACATCTTTGTCCTGCTACAGAGAATCTTCAGGAAACAAACACCTGCCCAGCTGGAGCAGGTCGCTACAAAAGTTGGACTAAGCTCTGAGGAGTACAAGGTACACTTTCTTACACCTTTTTGTGATTTACCATGCTTTCCTTGAACAGTTGTGACAAATATTTGTTTATTTGTTCCATTCAGGCCTTCCTGGTATATGCTGCTGGTCTATATGCAAACATGGGCAACTACAAGTCTTTTGGAGACACAAAATTCATTCCAAATCTGCCAAAGGTAATTAAGACCTCAATACGCTGGAGGTAAATCCAATTTTTCTGCTTTTTAAACAGTTTACCAGGATAATGACAGGTATATAAAGTAGCGTAGTCCTATAACTACAGCAAAATTGAAGATTGCTGCATTTTGTGGTGTGTCTATCCAGGAAAAGCTGGAAGCTCTGGTTAGAGCCAGTCAAGCCTTTCAGGACCAGCCGGCTGACATGGAGGCTCTTTGGAAAAGCTGCTCATGTCCCCTCTATTCTCTGGAGGACAGACAGAAACAGCTAGGATTGGGTGACAAGGTGTTTGTTTGTTTTTTTTCATTGTTCCACAAGTATCCTATTCCCAGCTAAGATTATTTTGTGTAAACATCACAAACCCCACTGCTCATTGAGTTAATTCAATGCTACACTGTACAGACCACCCAACAGTTTATCTTTTGTGAGATATATTGTGATGTTTTCTGTAACTAAACACAAGCAGGTATCAGTGAACCTTCTTCTATCTGCAGGGAATCACCACCTATTTCTCAGGAAACTGCTGCCTGGAGGATGCTGAGCTTGCGCAGAGGTTCCTCGACTCAAAAGTAAGAAAGATTACCCCTTAAAGGAAATATCCCCTACTTAAATGTTTACTGTCTCATAACATCCCATCTGTGACATTCTCTCTGCCATCCTCTCATTTCAACATTTCATTTAGTTAACTGTGTTTAGTCTTTCCTCCTCAGCTGTGTGACAGGATGACGTAACTCTGTTTGACCGAGCTCATTTTTACGCTTTTTTCCTCAGAAACTGTCTGCCTACAACACTCGCCTGTTCAAGAAGGACAATGGAGGGAAAGCCTGCTATGAAGTGCGCTTGGCCTCCGCTGTGCTGAAAGGTCAGATCATGATGACAGATTCAATATGGGAAATCTAAGCCGTCTATTCGACTTCACTATTGTAGCCTGTTAGCATTGTGGTGACTGACAAACAAGATTTGGGCTGATTTTGGTATATGTTGCTTAATGAAGACTAAAGAAAGAACAACAACACACACTTGTGCTTTGCAGACTGTGCGGTGGATGGAGAATGCGAGTCCTGCTGTGGCAACTTCAGCTTTGAAGACAAAGAGTTTGTTGTGAAGAGGGGAGACTACAGTCCTCTAATGGAGAAAGTCTCTTATAACCTGCAACAAGCTGAGGTGAGACATTTGGACATGAAGCCAATGCTAAATCTTTTTTTAATTTTTTTTATAATTTTCTGAGCAGAATTAGGAACAAACGTTTGAAGTTGCTTCTCTTTAAAACCTCTAGCTCAGACTAGTTTAATATATTTTATGCATCCTAGAATTTATATGTAGATCAGTTATAGTTTTGAAGAAGAAATTGCTAAACTAAATGGGTAAGAAAGAATTGTTTGTTGTTGTTTTTGGAGTTTAACTGTTTTGTTTACTTATGTCTTACAGACTTATGCTGCTAACGAGAACCAGAAGAAAATGCTGAAAGAGTACCAGCGCAGCTTCACCTTAGGATCGATTGATGCCCACAAAGAGGGTTCACGTTACTGGATCAAAGACAAGGGACCAATTGTAGAGAGGTGAGGCACGGCCCGTGAACAGAGCATATTTAACGATTAACATTAATTAATATTAACGATTTGTGTGTGATTATTAAAAAACAGGTCAATCTTAAATTAATGTGCATGACAAACTTGTTGTTTTGGCCCAATTGGGAAACTCGTGTTTTTGTCTCTGTACATACTTGTATATCATGTTCCAATCCTGTTTATTATTTTTTTCAATCTTTATTAAGTTCAGACATTTGCTCTCAGTGCTGCACTTATTTATCTCTGACACCTTTCTCTCTCTCTCTCTCTCTGCTCTTTACCCCCATCATTTACTCTCTTGTCTCATCTATTCCAGTTATATAGGTTTCATCGAGAGCTACAGAGACCCATTTGGCTCCAGAGGAGAGTTTGAAGGTAATTGCCATGCTGATCAAGAACAGCGAGATTGTTTATTGGGATTCAAGCTGTGATCCCACGAGCCTCTTTAGTTTTTATTGCCCTGAGCTGAAAGCTCGGTCTGGCTGCTGGAAACTGTTACTCGCACAGATATTTTCCTTCTTTTTAGAACACAGAGTAAAATGTAAATGACAAAATGCTACCAATTAAACCCTGTTTTATTATCCATGGCACAGAACCATACCACATAATGTGAAGACTAAGACTTTATTATTAGTTTATTTGAAAAATGAATTAAGTATTAGCAGCAATATTCAAGGTAATAGTTGTTAGAAGAAAAAGATTTTACAACAACACACTTATAAGGAAAGTTTGAGAAAAAGGTTTCCCCATGCAAATTCTCCATGTTATATTGTAGTGTTGAATGGCTGTGAAGAATTTTAAAAAAATTAATTAGAAACTTCAGCTCACTAAACAAAAAGCTTTGCGTTTATTAGAGAATAAATCGGTCAATCTGGTTATCTTTCTCAATGACCAAACATGTGTGAATGTGGAGTGGTAAATAATCATTTGAAAGGGGCCCCGGGTTCTCATGTTTAGGACCAGTTTCGCAATAACTGATATTATCCATCAGTGTTTCAGCCCAAAACCCTGAAGAAAGTGCAGTTTATGGCTTGTATTAATAATTATTTGTGGCATCAAGTGTAAAGGAAAAGATCTACATCAGTCTTTGACATCCTTAAGAAGTGTGTAAACCACTCCACCTCTAGGTTTTGTCGCTGTGGTGAACAAGGCGATGAGCGAGCGTTTCGCCAAGCTGGTGGGCTCAGCGGAAGTGCTGCTTCCCGAGTTACCTTGGCCCCGGGAGTTTGAGAAGGACACCTTCCTCAAACCGGACTTCACCTCGCTGGACGTTCTCACCTTCGCTGGAAGCGGAATCCCAGCTGGCATCAACATCCCCAACTGTACGATCCTGACGCCGAGAAACTCCAATAAGCACGGCTTCTAATTCACTCCCTTTTTTTCCTTAGTTTTCACAATTAAATTGATATCGATCGGGTTTTTATCCCCAGATGATGACATCAGACAGTCGGAGGGCTTTAAAAATGTTTCGCTGGGAAACGTGCTGGCCGTGGCGTACGCTACGAAGAAAGAAAAACTCACTTTCCTCGAAGAAAAAGACAAGGTAAGAAAAGCAGCCTCCTGGCTTCAGATTCACATGATTATACCTCCTCCTCACAACGACTGTGCGGTTTGTTTGTCAGGATCTCTTCATCAAATGGAAGGGTCCGTCGTTCGAGGTGCAGGTTGGACTTCACGAGCTGCTGGGCCATGGAAGTGGCAAGCTGTTTGTGCAGGTGAGGCCGCACGCCCACACCAGCCCCTGAGTGGACTGAGCCGGTGGCGTTGGAAGGATATAGAAGTAGATCAATCCCCTCCTTGTTTCCTCTCCGTTTTGATTCGCTCAGGATGACGATGGCAAGTTCAACTTCGACCGGAGTAAGGTGATCAACCCAGAAACCAAAGAAAAGGTGAGCTTCCCTCTGTGTGGGGAAAGGACAAGACCACTTTGAAGTCTGTGTTTTGACCGACCAAAGAAACGAGACGACTAAAAGGCCCGACTTTGCCTCAGGTGTCCAGTTGGTACCGAGGCAGCGAGACGTGGGACAGTAAATTCTCTACCATCGCTTCTTCATACGAGGAGTGCCGAGCTGAATGCGTGGGCCTCTATTTGTGTCTAAGCAAGCAAGTGCTCAGGTATTGCACGTCATGTGAAGTGGAATGCAAAACATACATGCTTTTCATATTTGAACTACTGACCCAAACAAGACTTATTGGGAAGAATTTTAGAAAGTACAGTGTAGAGATAAAGATGACTCTGAAATACAAGTCCTGTTTGACTGACGCTGGGGAGATACTTTATACCATTTTAGGTGCCATAAAAAAATAAAATAAAAAATAATTAAATGCAAATTCAGGAAAGAAGGGGAAAAAATAAGAAAAAATCTTGTCATTAGCAGCAGATGTGTACTTGGAGCCATTTTTGAACAGAGAATTAGCTAGATTAGTTTTACTGTTTTAGCCTAAAGGAGGTTAACTGGTTTGTATTCCCTTGTCTGTCCCAGTATTTTTGGCCACGAAGGACAGGATGGAGACGATGTGGTGTACATCAACTGGCTGAGCATGGTTAGAGCGGGACTGTTGGGTCTGGAGTTCTACACTCCTGAGAGTAAGAGCTGGAGACAGGTAATTAATTGGCTTCAAGTGTGAGTGGACTAAGCTGCACTGAGCTGATACATACCATTAGATGCTTTTCATACAAGCTGACATGATTAGTTGCATGTGTCTGTTCTGCTTCACGGCTCAGACTGTAGCAAGCGTTCGTCTGCGTTTATATAAGCAGCCTGAGACAGACGCAGTCCTTCACAGATGTCTGTGCATGTCAGGCTCACATGCAGGCTCGCTTCGTGATCCTGCGTGTCCTGCTGGAGGCCGGGGAGGGCCTGGTGGGCCTGGAGGAAGTGACCGGGGAGGACGGCAAGCCAGACGCTCGGATCACGCTGGACCGCAGCAAGATCCACACTGTGGGCAAGGACGCCATCCACAGGTTCCTCTGCAAACTGCAGGTATGTGCACCAAAACACACCAGGGGGGGGAAATGTCCACTGGAAAAAAAGCTTTCACTGGAAACAGAGAGCATGTTCAATAAATGCCATTTGATCCCATCGCAATGCAAATAAGAAATTGCAAATTGATTAAAACGCGAGCAAAGTTGTAGAAAACTTTTATTGCATAGCTCACGTGTGGAAGCTGTGAAATATGTCTATTTAAACAAGACCGTACTCAAACAAAACCAGTGGAAGAAGTACTTCCCGGGTTGTGCAGCCATCCACTGATGTACACTATTAAAACATACAACTATTGAAAAGCATGAAAGGCAGTGATTTGGCCATCATGCTTGAAGCCTGAACTTGTCCAGAGCATGGAGCTAAGCGGTTACTCTGCATCCTCCTGTTGGCAGGTCCTGAAGTCGACGGCTGATGTGGAAGGAGGCAGAGCTCTCTACGAAGGTTTCTCCACCGTCAGCGACAGCGGCGCTCACAACTTCATGCGTCTGCGAGAGACCGTGCTGCTGAGGAAGGAAGCCCGCAAGATGTTTGTTCAGGCCAACACCACAGTCAACGGTATGCGGCCCATATTTTCTGTCTTATCAGGCAACACTAAGAATCGGGTTCAGATTTTGAACGTTTTCGGTTCAAAGGTTAGCCAAAGGTGGAGGCATTTAAAGCTTGGCTTTTGGAGAAACTTTTTTTCCTCATAGAGTTCTCAATTAAGCCTGTGCCGTTTGCAGGGGACAGCGTGGAACTGGTGGAATACGAAGGCAGCGTGGCAGGTTTGATCCGCTCCTTCACCGAGCGCTTCCAAGGCGACGCCGAGCAGCTGGAGGCCAGCCTGTTGGATCTGAGCAAAAGAGACGCACCCTGCTGGTGTTGTTGATGGACATGAAGACGACAAACTCCACAGCTTCCCCGACACACCAACTGCTGACATCAGTTTGTTTTTCTTGTTGTTTTTTCTACGTGAAAGCAGACTGACTCAGAATTAAGAACAAAAGCTAAATTCCTTTCTTCATTAAAACCAATGCGATTTTAAGAAACCAACAGTATTTTTTCCAGAAACAATTCAACAGTGAAGGACAGAATCTGTGTAACAGAACTGATTTAGAGACGAACAAATGAGCTGATTTACAAAATGATTTTTTTTTTTTTTTCATGGAAGCTTATTTCCAATAAGAAATAACAAAAACGATCCAGCCAAACAAAATCTCTGGGCATAAACTTTAAGAACGCACACCTGATTATTTACAGACCAGAATTATTTTTTTTCCTAGTTTCCTCTTGCTGGTTATTTGTCCCTCAAATGAATAGAATGAAATGTTTGAATCTTTGAAAGGTTAGATTCTTAATTTGTTGCTTTGGCAGTTATAACCATAAGGAAAGATAGGATTTATACTTTTTTGGCAGATCTGGCATGAAAATGGATACTTCCACTTAAATGTTAACCCTTTTGGGAGAAAAGTATGTGGTGGCAAAACAAATAAACTGTGTTTGATAAGATCTTCTTGGTGTTTGTTTTTCACTGGATCCATGAGATTGTGTTTTGATTTAATGAATTCTATGCTGCTATGTTGGGTTTGAGTACATTTTAATAAGAAGTGAAGCTCTAGCCCATCCTAGCTGTCACAAGGTGAGAGGCAGGGTACATCCCGGACAGGCCGCCAGCCCATCCTACTCGCTGTCTTTTGGTAATCGGCTCAATCACTGATCCTCATAATTGTATTACATGTGTTATATTGCTTAAACTATGAATTGAGAAATAAACCCCAGCTTACTTTGGCGAGACGACCGAATTAAGTGAAATTTATACTATCTAAATTTAATCTTTTCATTTCAAATAAAACAGGCTTATGATCAGATTTCTTTATTGTATTTTAAAAAGAAAAAACTTATTACAAGAAATATTTAAATTAATTTCCAGTCCAAGGTTGTTTTTTTTTCTTCTATCGACTTGTTCCAGCGGCCCGTGTAGAGAGTGAATCAGGTGCTGATTCCTCAGGATTACTGACAGAACTGCAGCTCTCTACTTCCCTGTCGGTTTGCAAATCTTCGCTTTCTCCATCCTTGCTCATATTTTCATCCCGGTCCGATACCTCCCCGTCACCCCCGCCCTCTGACCCCTGCAGTTCTGTCCCTGGGGGGGCGCCGGGCGCACGGCTGGCCTGCTCCACCAACGGACAAAGCAAAGGGGAAACGGAGAAGGAGCTGTCAGGGGAAGGGGATGACGAATGGGTGGGGGAATCCTGCGGTGAGAGGGAAAAGGGAACTTTTGGAGATAAAGATGGGGACTGGTAAGGCGAGAGGGAGGGAGAACCGGCCGGAGAGTCGCGAGGAGAAAGGGACGGATACATTTTGGGGAAAAGAGGGGGTGCCATGGGAGAAACAGATGGTGACTGGTAAGGAGAGAGCGAGGGGGAGGTGGGAAAATTGATCACTAGAGAAGGCTTCGAGTAATCAGTCTGAAGATGCTCCATTAATGCAGGCAGCTGAGCTGCGGCCTTCTGCCCAGTCCCCCTGGCTTTGACTCGACTTGTTTCCCTCTCGGCGGACCCGTGTTCCTGCTTCTCAGCCTGAACGGGAGGAGTTTCTGACGGAGGCTGCGCCTGCTCCTCACCCGGAGCCTCCTGTGTCCGGGGCTGACGGGCGGTTTGACAGGCTTCGGCTTCTTTAGCTGGAACCTCCGGCCCTTGCCGACCCTTCTGGGCTTTGCATCTCCCTTTGGTTTTGGGCATGAGGGGCGGGGGAGGAGGTGGAGCGAGGGGCGGCGACAGCATGGTGGAGGTCTCGGTGGAAACCCGAATCTTGAGGCTGCGCTTGAACATCCGCCGTCTGGACAGAGCGTTCTGGGACTGCAGGAACAGAGGGTTGATGAAACACAGGGCTCCCAGGCCCGAGCCGCAGTCCAGCTCTCTGGGGCTGCGCGTGGTTATCCGGCAAAACTCGTCAAACAAAGTGGGATTGGGGTCCGGCTGTTTGGCGGCGGGCTCGGACTCGGGCGGGGCGTTGAGCAGGCGTTCCGAGCTGGGGTGAGGAGCAGAAGCGGGCTGGGTGCCAGAGCTGGGCTGCCGAGCAGCAGGTGGGCCTGATGCCGCAGCATCTGGCCCCTTCTCCTCGTCCCTCCTCGGCTTAGGGGCCTCCCGAGGCCCTCGGACGTTTACGTGGGAACACCAGAATTCTATGAAACAGTGAAGCTGCAGTTACGACCATGGCATTTTCTCTTTTTTTAAAATCCAATTAAGGGATTTCAGGGATTTCAGCGTGGGTGAAACACCTGTGGACGTCTGCCACGGCTCAAACGACTTCCACTGGTTTCTCTACAGCTTTTGTCGATCAGTGAAAAGGTCACTTAAGTTAAACAGGCCTTCGCATATTTATCCCAGCCTCAGGGAAGTCGTTTCTGCATGCGCTTCGCTGAAGTCTAAAGCCAGAGGTTTCAGCTGTTAAGAGTTCTAAAATCTGCTACGGAGAAACAAGTGATTTACCAACCTACACCCATGTGTGAGATGGACTCGAGCTCCTTGTGTGACGTTGCCCTTGCGATGGCTTCGGGAAGCTCCAGAGGGAAAGGTAACACGTCCCTGACACACATAAACAACATATGATACAAACACCGACGCTGGTTGTAGCTGATTATCTGATAGAGGAAAGTGACTGAGGGCATAAGATAAAATATTTGAGGAAAGCATTTGTAAAGTAAAGCTGCAGAAGTGAAGAAACGGAGATATGGAGGATGTGTCTTAACCTGCTGACACAGTAAAAGGAAATCAATCTTGGGAGATCTGGAAAGCTGATGGCTGAAGTCTCCAGAGACAAAGCTGGTGAATAAAAACATGTTTAATTTATGTAATATACAAATAGAAAAATGTAGCGATCAGCATATGTCACCTACTCCTTGTCAGTATATGATATGAAACATTTTCTAGACAGTTTAAATAAGACTTTCAGGAAAGCTATACTAAATCTTAGCCTTCACTGAGTGAGTGGAAGAGCCTGAGTTCTGAATGAACCACATCTTAAATCATTTCCCTCTGGGATTATTAAAGTATTTCTGATTCTGATTGGTGTATTCATTTCGACAGCTGGGTGTCCATTCCATCACAATCCCCCTGAGTCAAGCCTGCTGTCTTAACGCGTGAACAAACTGCTCAGAAACTGGGAAGAGATCCACATGAGAGAAGGATGATGAATAATGGTATAATGCTCTTACTGGACTGATCCTCCCTGATGCCAAACTGCTGAACGAAGGACGGCAAGCTGTCGTCGGCCAGACGGACACAGAGCACGTTTCGCTGGGACGTGCGGGACCTTCTCACCAAGAATGTCTGCGGAGGGACGCGGACAAGAGACGAGCGTGAGCCAGGGGGCTCGGACAGGCAGAGCGAAGAGGTCGAACCCCCCCCCCCCCCCGCCGGCGTGAACACGGATCTGTGTGCTGTCTGCGTGTCTCAGACCCCGGGAGGCTCCCTCTGCAGTATGTGCAGGGCAGTGGCGGGGTTGATGGACAGCTGGAGCCAGACGGGAACGGTGAGGAGGAGACGGTCCAGCACGCTGATGCTCCTCAGGGAGCCCCGTCCCCTTTGGTGCCACAGCTGCTTGCGCCCCGGTGCCTGGGTGGGCTCCGGGAAGTCGTACAGGGGGTCCTCTTTCTGTGCCATCTGAACAAACGCACACCAAACCAAATACAAATACAGGGTAAGTAGCGGCCCCCTCAAATGATCAGGCGGTCCCATAACAGTCATGCAAGTGCTTGGAAATGTGTGTCTGTGAAGCAGCATCAGATGGAAGTAGAACTGCTGCATATTCAGAGGTGCACACCACCGTAATAAAGCTGCCTGGGCTGGGACAGCAAGCCCAGACTTGGTAAAGTGCGGCTCAGACAGAGCTTAAATGAAATAACAACCTTTAGGTGACGAAGCTTTAAATTATGGGCACACCTACACCACAAAACGATTAGTTAGATGACAGGATACATGCAAAATACACAGATAAGCTTCCTGTTCTGCCTTTTATCTACCTTTTTAAGATTCAAAATTTAACATCTCCAAATAAAGTGTAGCCGATTGCAGCCTCCATGCCAATATGTAGTAAGATTTGACTAGTTGCATGCATTCCTGTCAAATGTTTCCTGGTCAAACCAAGTCGCTCACTGGTTTACAGTAACACAACTTCTCCTACTCGTGTCGTTCTCCCAGCGCAGGTCTGACTTTTACCTTGTTCAGCCTCGATCCTTCTTACTTTATGCCCTCCAGTTACACATTACAATGGCATTCGGCGTTCGTCCTCCAAGTTTGACTACCATAAAAAAAAACTTTCTCTCTCTCCAGCGCTCTTTTTTCCTCAGCCTGTCGTGGCGTGCGCGCACAGATATACAGACGTCGTTCGCTCCTCCTCCCTCACCACCTGACCTCACCTGGAGGCAAATGTACTCACGCAGTTTTAAAACTCTTAACTAGGAGAAGTGGAAAAACGGAACATATATGGAACAAACACACTTTTATATATATATATGTGTGTGTGCAAAAAAAAACGTATTGGTGGAGCTAAAGTTTATTTGACGTGGCTCATTACGCAAACTGCGTAAGTCTTTCCAACTCTGGAACTTGCCGTGCGAGTAGTGGTGATGCCCGTAACGGTGAAACAGCGCCCCCTCTGGCCGCCACAGCAACGCAAGAAACCGGAGCCGGATATGATGTTTGAAATACATCAGCTCCAGGACCGCGTTGGGTAAGCCGTTAATGTGTTATGTTGGTTTAATGAAAGCTTTCTCAGGTCACTTCAAAGATTTAATATCGCTACGAGATTGTTTGATATGATCCACGATCGGTCACGGCAGTGAAACGGCTTCTGATTAAACAAATGTTTGCAGCTGTAACGATTGAGCCACTACGTTAGCCTTAGTGAGCTAAGCTAGCGCTACACCGTTAACGTTGCCATTAAACAAGATGGCCAAGAGTTTTTAGTTAGCTTATAGCTAGTGTGTTTGTGGTTACATCATAACTGTACAGACTCAGTCGTGTTATCTTTTGTGTACAATCTGTCTGGCATTAGCTAACGACGCGGGGTTTTAGTCGGCTTTTAAGTTTGATGAATCGATTTCGCCCCGTCAGGCAGCGGTTTTGTTAGCTTAGCTGGTGGAACGTCAGTACGCTGCATGGCAACACTGAAATGCAGTTTATATAAAATGACTGAATGTGCTCGAATATCGCCATTTTGGGATAGCAAAGGCAAATGATAAAACGTCCAACAGAATCAATACTATCCAGCTGGACGTTCGGCATTCACTTAACATTAACTTGCGTGCTAGTTCGCTGACTTTACTGGAACGCTTTGCTTAACTGCCTTTTTGCGCTTTCCCAGATGCCTGGTTGATACAGAGATGAGCGGTGAGAACGTGAAGCTGTTCGTTGGGAACCTTCCTATAGATGCATCTCAGGAAGAACTAACTAAGCTCTTTAGTCCGTATGGAGAGATCAACACCTGTTCGTTGCTTAGACAGTACGCCTTCGTAACCCTAAAGGGAGAGGGGGCAGCAGACAGGTATGCAACAGCCTATTCAAATTATTTTACTCTGTTGACATCACGTGTACCAAAACAAGCTGAATATAAACAAACATCTATTTCAGCTCATTCCTACATGGATGCTTGTTTCCTTTTAAATTAAAAAGAGTGATATGACTTAGATGGAGGTGTATCTTCAACACAAGTTACCCACATTGAAAGAAATTCTTATTGGAAACGCTAAATAAATGTTTCATTCAAGACCTTTGTTGCTTTGTATATGACAGTATCACGTGTCTATAGGTGTTATTTATTTAATAGTTTAGTAACCCAATAATTGTATAAAATTCTAGTCCCTCAAATCAATTCAACTAGTTGGTTGATTATTACGGGTATGATCATTGTTATAATCAATTTTTCTCACTCCCACAGGGCCATTAGGCATCTGGATGGCAAAGAATACAGAGGTAGACCCTTGGTGGTCGAAGAGTCGCGTGCACGCCCACCGAACTCCACTAAAGTGTTTGTTGGGAACATCAGTGCAACATGTTCGGCAGATGACTTACACGGCCTGTTCTCAACCTTTGGAAGAGTTCTAGACTGCGATAAAGTCAAAGGTAAAGCGGAAAGCCTATTGCCAACAGATAATTATGTTTTTTATTTGCACTTGCACTAAAAGACAAAGACCACCGAAGCTGCAACCTTTTACATTTGTGAAATTTGTTAAAAAGAGCCAGGGAGGGAATTTTTGAATAGTGATGCTTTATGAATCTCATGCATTTAGTTAGTTAACAATGTCCTCTCCACCCTGCAGCCAGATTATGCTCGAATGTCGGCTATGCGTTTGTACATATGGAGAGAAAGGAGGAGGCCCTGGCAGCAATTGATGCACTTAATGGGACCATGTTCAAGGGACGTCAGTTGGCTGTAGAGCTCTCTAAAGCCCAGCCCTTAATCAACCAGATGGCATCAGGAGGAAATTCGGGTTCCCCTGCAGGTACTTTAACTGGAGCTATAAGAAAACGTTATTATTAAAGAATGTGTATGAAATACAGTGACTTAAACCATATATACAGCCTATGAAACAGCCTGTCTTACCTTTATTCTCTCCTCCTTTTTCTTGAAGGTGACAGAGAGGGTCTTCTTCCCCGACCTCCACCCTCATTAGAGCATCATCAAAGTCAGGCAGCTGTACTGGCTGCGGCTGCGGCCGCCGCCGCCGGACTGCCCATTCAAGTAAGTTTATTCCGCCCCATTGTCTTTGGACAAAAAGCCAGTGATGGTTAAATGAAATGGCTCACAACATCGCGTCCCATTTATTCACATCTGTTTTTATGTAGCTCTTTTAGAACGCTCATCCTGACACTCGCAGACTCGTGCTGTTACTGCTGCTGTCAGCTCAGTTCAGTTCCTTTATGATGACCTTTTTCTGTGCTCATCTTTCCTCGCAGGTTCAACAAAGCGTTCACAACTCGTTTTACAACACAACATCCTTTGACCCCACGTACGCTGCTCTGAAAGGCATCACCAGTGCTAAAGGCGCAGACGGGGTCATATATGGTGCGCTCGCCAGCCAAGTGTACGGCTCCGTGGCCGACCAGGTGTATCAAGAGATGGCCAATCACAACACGGCTGCTTCGGTGGAAGAGCCGGAACCACAGGCCGCGCCAGATCCGACGACACTGTTCGAGGCGGCAAGAGCCAAGTTCTTTCAGGAAGGACAGAAGGTCCGTTACGGTTGCACAGAACCTGTGACACGTGGAATCGGGGCGACTCGTCTCGGTTTAAACGCCTACTCTGAATTGCAGGTTCTGGCCGAGCAGCAGGCGGGGAGAAAGGCGGCGACCGCCGAGAATGAGCGAGACCGCAGCCCGATACGAGGAAACAGAGCCCCCCTCCTCCCCGACCCCGTTCCAGGCTCCTTCGCTCAGATACGACCCAAACGGCGCGCCCTCCTGCCAACACCGCCAGGAGCACCCGACGAGGCCACAACTGCCACCACAACGTCTGACGGGTCAGATCCTGTTGCTAGGTACACTCAGTACATACCTACTTGGGCGTGGGACCAGAGCTGGGGGGTGTGGCCTAAGAGTAAATCATAGGTGTTTTCACCCCCAAGACGAAGAAAATTCAGACACAAAATTTTCCTCTTATTTTACCAAAAGTGGAATTTAATACATTTGAAAAGTGTTGTTAATTTTTGCATCACATCAGTAGAAGTTCTGCCTGCTACAGTCACAGCTTTGGCCGAGCGGTCACATTTCGCAGAGCAACAGTCGAAGAGGCACAACTGAATCACCTCTGGTGAGGGTTTACCAATCGATACCAACGCCCTACACACTTTGGCATGACTCGGAAATCCGTTATGTCCTGACATACCCTGCTTCGAATAGGTACCAATGGAGAACTTTAGGGCCTCCAGTAGCGCTGGGCCTGCCAGCAACATATTTGTTGGTCTAGATGAATTGTTAAAAAAGCTGAAGTGCGGTAAGTAAGATGAGCTTTATCACAATGGTCCGCCATAGACGTTAGTGGGAGATGTTATTTTTTACAAAATCTTAGCAGATTTTTCCCTCGTGTTTGTTGGGGGTTAAAGCAGAAGGGAGGAAGGAGGCCTGAACTACAGTGGGCCAGAAGGAACAGAAACACATGGATGGGGAGGATAATCAAATGGCTTAAAACACATTCTCCAGACAATTCAAATCAATTTAAAGCTGTGATATCAGGCCCAGTCTGAGATAAGCTGGTTTAAAAACGTATTTCAACACAATTGTTATGTAAAACACTGACAATCAAATCATTAATGGTTACTTTATAAACCAGTAGACACAGAAATGCTCCATTTATTCCATTATTTCATTTGAGGCGAGACTTTCAGGCTAACTTTGAATTTATTTGCTCTTTCTGCGCTTCTCTTTTCCCTATCCCCAACGTCAATGTGCCCTCTAGGTCTTACAGCGAGTACTACCAGCAAATGCACCAGTACCAACAGTATCAGCAGTACCAGCAACAGTACCAGTACCTCCAGTATGCCTACACCAATCCCCCTCCCCCACCCCCTCCTCCACCGGCCACCACCCAGGCACAGGCCTCCACCACAGCCCCAGCGCCACCAGGAACTTACACGGCCCCCCCGACCTATGCCACGTCCGAAGCCTATGCCGCGCCGGGAACTTATGACACTTCGGGAAACTATGACACCACGTCGGGAAGCTACGACAGCTCCTCCAGGAATTACGATGCCTCCTCGGGAAGCTACGACACCTCGGCAGGCTATGACACCTCTGGCGGCTACGGGGCATCAGGCGCATATGATTCATCCGGAGCTTACGCAGCAGCTGGAAGCTACTCCACATCCACACCGTATGAGCAGACACCCGCACACGGGCAACCCACGCCCCAGCGTCATGATTACCCTTACCACACGCCAGAACCCCCTTACCGATAGTCCCACCCCCACACACTCCTTACACACTGCCTACGTGTGTGTGTGCATGCATGCATATTCCATAAGGGACAGTTTAAAGAGGAAAATTGGAGAGGACGGGAGGTCGTCATTCAAATTAGTTTTTTTTTAATCGAGAACAGTTGCCCCTCATCTCTATCTTGGCTCAATCGTCGCTAGTTGGCAAGGTGTTTAAGCATGCAGGGATGATGGTGGCAGCCAATCTCAGAATATTGTCACCATTCATATTTCCTGTTAGACGTCGTAGAGGCACAGCTGGCTCGCTGAATGTTAAAGCTTAAGTGTTGTCTTGGCAAAGCCGGAGTCAGAGGCCATGGTTGGAGTTCCGCAGCGGCGCCGGTCCGCAGTCCTTAATGTGCTCTACATCATTTTCTTCCTTTGCACACCGAAGCATCAGAAAATAACAAAGCACCGACGGAAGATTCTAATTATTTCTTTCTCCCGTTAGTGGGCTACTCGGCAACAAACGGGTATCCAGTAAATGCCGTGCAGGTCGACACAAATTAGAGCTTCCAGAAAAGATCCTTTTGGTGGTTCACTATCTTCTTGAGTCAGTAGTTGTTGTTTTGTTTGTTTGTTTGTTCTGTGGCGTTTAGCCGTTTGTAACTGATGATTGTGCCTATGCAAGGGTTTGAGTAGAGTATGTAACGGTTCTGACAGGAAGCCAGTTACCGTGACTTACCTGACACTGGTCCGGTACCCGGTACAAATAATACATCTACATAAAAAGACAATACCTGCGTGGGTGAACCTGTTTTTCTTTTTTTACAGAACAAGTTGTAGATGGTTCCAGGTAGCCTCGTGCATGTGTTTGTTTTCCACAGTTTTAGAGCTATCGAGCATTTAAGTGCAACAATAGTGGGATATGTTTGTGCCCCGCTGGTCCTGTCGGTCATGGACTTCTCCTGATGTGGCTCCGACCAAAACCATTGGCCTCAGATCACAGCACAGTCCTCTCGGTCCTGTAAAAGTGTTCTTAAGCGCCCCTGTTGAATTCAGGGTGAGAAGACTGACTTTTGTAGTGAATTCTATCTACCTGTCCAGATCGCTTTGACATCGATTCCCTTGTCTTTTTTTTCCGGATTTGACAGTGTGCTATTTAAACATGTGCAAGGTTCGATAGATATGACACCGCTTGCACAGCTTTGATGAAAGAAGTGACGATTCCGAACTTGTGTATTTAAATTCCCATTTGTGATTGGCTGTTACCATGGTGGGATTTCCCAAAATATTCCTTGCTTCTTCAATACTTAGTCCGGACTTGGTGTGTGTTTCTCAAAGTCAACTGAGAGACAGATGGGTCGTTTTGCCTCTGAAATGTGGAAACACACTCTTGTGGGTACATCACTCAAGAGTCCGGTATTGCGGTGTTGTTTATTGGAACATTCTTTGAGAAAAACTCCCTACGTTTACTTTCATCCTATAATTTGGGGATGTACTCAGTTGAGTAGTTTCAATTTGATGCTATTGTACATTAGAGAATTTATATGAGTGAGGAGAAACGTCAGCAGGTGACGAGGCCAATGATGTTAATAGTTAATGGAGCTTGACAGATACTTCAATTTCCTTTCTCTTTACTTTACTTTTCAGCTATTTTTTTTTTTTTGTGCTTTTTTTTCCTTGCATAATCTGTCTCTTGGAGCTAGGAATGTGGAGCTAGTTCTCACACCAGAACATCTTTTCACTTTGATACCCATGTAAATACTCGGACCCTCGTTTGAATCCGAACCAACATTTGGTTGAAAATACTGACTGTTAAAAGTTGAAGTGATTGTATTTCATTAGCAGTTGTTGACCTGAAGAAGTTGACGTTGAGTTGGCCTTTCCATACCTGGAGGAAGAGGCCACCCAGTGTGCTTGTAGTGAGTGGTGTCCTCCATTTCTCACTCTGAAGCTAAAGGTGGCTTTAAAGGGCACATGGTGTGTCACTGATGAGCAAATTGGGGGGGCTTTCTGATTGGACGGATGTGTGGCGACAGCTTTGGTGTTGCAGGTCGTGCAAAGTTTGTTTTGGGGACATAAAGGCTGCAGGTTTGTTTGTTTGTTTTTCTTCTCCCCTTTTCCCTGAGCAGCAGTGAGAGGGCTGATGACCTTTCCCTTTCTCTCGTTTGATCTCACCGAAGCGCACCTCATTTTGGCTCACGGCTAGAATTGTTAGCTTTCTTGGCGTTGGTGACACAGCTAGGCAGCCTGCGGTCTCCCCTCTTACACCTCGAGTCGCTCCAAGTGGATTCATAGCTTCTTTTTTTTATTTCTCTTCACACTCTTGTACAGCTTGACCACATGTGCAGCTGATATCAATGCACACCTGACCTTACCTGAATCTCGTCTCACTGTAGCTGCTCTCATTGTACACATTGCTCATCTTGTCTCTTTCCGGGCGCCTGAACCCATAGTGCTGTGTTAGGGCTCAGTGACACACCACGACTCTACATTTCCACACTGTTCCACCTTCTCCATGTGAACTGTTAGTTGCATGCCTTGTTGTTGCTGCTGCTCCAGCCACCTTCTTCCTCTTGCTGATTATTGCAGCTAGAGTGGGAGGGAGCCAAACTGAGCCCTTGCCCTGGACGTACGCCACACGCAGCTGTAGAGTGGGAAGGGGAAAACAGCAGCGTTAGGCCTGAAACTGCTGTGGACGATGGGGGGTCCCCCCACTAAGGTAAACACTCAGACCACACACTCCTGCCCCTCCCGGAAACACGCGTACATCAACACAAGCACGCAAATTACACCTTTACACAAACTTATTATTCTTTACCCGTTTTCAGGAGTATCTGTAAAAGGATTTCAGATTTCTGGAAATGGATCTCCCGTTTTTCTTTTGGTTTTGTAAGTGGAGATTACCCTATTCGCATATATTCCTCCAAGCGTACTCTGCTCATACATTCCCACGCCCAACTTGACACGTACAATCCCCTTGAGGACGTCCACGCCGCCTTTAGCCTAAATCTGAAAGCTTTCGGCAGACATGTTGTTAAAACAGCCTGAAGAGTACCAGCCAGCAGCCGGATTTGGGACATTTAGGTAGGATGGGTTGTTTTTAGCTTTCGTAAATGCGACCCCGTGGCCACTTTCGGGGTTAAGTGCCTTGCTGAAGAGCGCATTGGTAGGCCCTCCATTTCAGAGCTGAATCACTTGCCTCAGGATCGGTTGCTGATTTGACACTCGACTTCGTTTTCTCCCCCCCCCCCAAAAAAGATTTCTGATGCCACATTCAACCTGGATGAATGACAGTGAACACGAATATGACCATGTTGTTTTAATTTACATTTTGTCTTTTGTTCTTTGAACTGTTTAATTATCAATAAATGAATTTCATCTGAACTCTTCTGTGTGTGTGTGAATGTGTTTGAATCGGCCGGCCTCATCCTGTCAAATGGAAATGTCTGTTCTCCAAACAGTCCTCGGAGCTCAGCATCAGATCACGTTTTGAAACTCATTTTCCTCCCATAAACATCAGTCTGTGCCTTTTGAATAAAAACCATTTATTTGATAACAATCCAAACCTGATGATAATTCAATCGCTTTAAGATACAAAAAAAGAAAGTGAGAAGAAATTCAAAGTGTTGGACTTAACTCCCCAGCTGAGAAGAGTTTATCATGGACACTGCTGAGTTTCATGCCCTCAACAACAATAAACAGTTCACGGGTTGACACTAGAGTACTGAGGGAGTGTAGCGAATGCAGTTTACACAAATATACTGATGTGATGCTGAGGTAATAAGATGAGCGGGTCTTTGTACGTGGATGGACAAAGTATAAAACTGCGACATCATGCGCCATTCGCTGGCTTAATGACATGGAAATGCAGCAGTCGACTCCGGTAACGCAAGCCTGGTTTCCCGCAGCCAGATTAGTCTCTAAAGTGTTTGTGGTGGCCAGTGGAGAGGGGGGGGGGAATCATGACGAGCCACAGACCGCCAGACTCCCCGTTTGTCGCCTGGTCTAATTCCTTTTCCATTTGCCCTCACATTGTTCTTTTCTTCACTTCTATGGAAAACGTTTGGCAAGAGAAGATGTTCTTTCAAACTAGCAAATGTGGGGAAACTGCATAAACCTTACTTTCTTTGACAGTCTTCACTTTTCCTTTTTAGTGTATTCCTCCTCAACTTTGACTACAGTCTAATTGAATGATGACATTTAGATGGGATTCCCAAAGCTATAGAATTTCACCCTCCTGACGTTATCCAATGGGGTTAGGGTTAGGGTTAGGTTTAGTTGCATCAAAGAAGGGGGGGGGGGTCTCAAAGTTTTATCTGATTTGTTTTTTAAGAAGGAAACCAGTCTGCGCTTCGGAGGATGAGAACTGGAACCTGATCGTAGTCGATGGCTGGAGACAAGACTGGGCAAACACATTAAAACACACCACACAGTGTGGACCAGACCAAACACAGAGTACAGTACTTTGAATCACAACCTCGCATGATGCTGCTGGCTTATCATGAAAAAGGAGCGAGCATTCAAACACACGTATTGAAAATAGCAACGCTTTAATCAATAAAGAGCGGGGTTTGTTTTTGTTTTTTTTTGTTTGTTTGTTTTTGTTTTTTACAAGACTGCAATGTCTAGCTAGCTAGGTGATGACCGGCATTGACATCCATGGTGTTTTACAGAGATGCAGCTATGGTAACTGAGTTTGAAGTAGGATGGATTGCTTGCAAGTTGCACTTCTCCATGCGAGGCAGCCTTCAAACAGTTACAGATCCCACATTGTAAAACAGTCGACGATGAATGTCAATGGACGCTGGCGTCGTAAGAGGTAAGTAAAAAAACAAGAACTTTAAAAAAAAAAAAACAAATCTCATGGAGAAATTTCCTTAACATTTTCCAAACACGCCGGTAAGAGAGAGTTCACACTATGGTCATGCTTTTACCGGGCACACGAGCCAATAAAAAGACGACACTTAATCATGCAAAAGAGACAGTTTCTTTGTTTAGAAAAACAAAAACCAGAAAGGGAAAAACAAAAACCAAACTTCTTGAAGTTCTGATATCATCCATCCTTAGTGACCTTGAATAAGAAGAAGCTGCGCTTTGATGATGACTTTGGTGCAAAAAAATGTTCCTGTTTTTGAAGAGGGCAGACCCTGTCCTGTCCGCTTCCTTGATGAAGACACTCTTGGTATAGACCAGTTGTGATAGTTTACCCCATAACCCAAACCCCCACCCTCCTGACCCCGCCCACTTCCTCCTTGTGATGGACACAAACATCACGAACATCGAACACCCCCCCCCCCCAAACACTTCCCACCCGCCCGCCCGCCCGCCCGTCCCTGGATGATGACACCTTCAAAGTACAACCATTCAAACACAGATACAGCAATAAAGTGTCCCACGCACGGTGGGTCATCCGATGGGGGCTTAGATCAAATTTACAGAGAGAGCACGTCTAAAAACACATGAACAGCATTACCTATTTACAGAAGGGACACAGTAACAGTCAGAGGTTGGCCCGGGGGGGGGGGGGGGGGGGGTGGAGCGAGTCCTGGTGGATGGGGGCCGACGTGCTTGGCGAGGAAAAAGCATTCAGCTGACAAAGACAAAACGCCGGGACGGGGGGGAATAATGGAGAAGGGGGGAGACTGCAGCTGACCTCGGGAGTGGACGCCCGTTGAAAGATGACACAGCAGAGGAGGTGTGACAGCTCGGTGACGGTGGTTTCTGACACAGGCCTCTCAGATGAGAGGAGAGACTGGCACTTGCATACCACCGGTTAACCAGCTCAGCAGTGAACGGCAACAGCAGACCAACGTCCAGTTGCCATTCTCGGACAATTCTGTTAAGACCCTCAGATGCTTTGTTTGACTCCCTCCCCTGGATCCTCAAGCCACCTTAAATCGATGTGTTGTACAGACTCAGACACGGTCACAAAACATTATGCTAGGTTAGTACACGCCACCTACTCGCTCAGAGAACTTCCAATCTCGAACCGAGGAACAGGACCCTGTTTATCTCTATGCGAAGGCGCGCACACACAAACACACACACAGTACGTGTACATAGAACAGACACAGTCAATAGAAAACAACTTCATCCCCAGTCGATTATTGCCCCTTTCCACTATACATCCCAGCAATGATTTTAGGTTTTGTGCAGCAGAGCATTGTCCCCTCTTTGAAGGTTTGTGCTATATATATATATGTGTGTCTATATATATATATTTATATATAATCAACGGACTGTGGGTCTGATTTGACCTTGGATCTGCTAGAAAATTCACATTAACATTTAATGCCTCATTAAAGCCTCCCCGTCTCCGGTAGTCGAGAGTGACTCCACGCTGTCACCGCAGGCATTACTTGAGGCGTGATCGAAAAAGAAATTACCATTGATTGCTTTCCGATGGTCTGACGTTTACTAGACTACTCTCGATGACCTTTAGCTTTCTCGTCCATACGCGCTAGGACGGGCTGTACACATACAAGCGTTTTAAAGTCCTCCAGTTTTCGGTTGGACGTGTGCTGTGGTGATCACACTAATGCATTCTTTTTTTTTTCTGAGCCAAAACTAAATTACTTCGGACAGGACAAATGCTCAGGGCAGGAAGAAAATGACTCCACCTCTGATTGGTTAGACCAAGAATCACCTTCCTGCCATCCTGTCTGGCTCCAAGTGCATTTTGTCTCTAGTTCTAGAGCAGGTTGGACAGAACAAAAAAAGGTTATAAAGCGACAACGTAATAAAAAATTAAAAGTTAAAAGAAGCCTTCTGTGCAGAAAACCTAAGTGGACACCCAGAAAGCACGACACTACAGCGGAGATTGGTTCTGAACAGGCTACAGGCGTCTGAGAAAAGAGGAGTCGTGAGATTGCACAAGTCTGCGCAGCTGGAAGTGAGGAAAAAACCGAAAGATACACAAAGCAGCAAAGTCCCAAAGTAGCGGAGCTAGTGCGAGAGGTTTGTTTACATCCAAATGCGAAAATAAACTGGGTCTGGCTCAGTGCTTTCGTCAGTTAGATCCAGTGCAGCAACGCATTGGCGCCTGGCAACACAGTAATGACATCAGGTACCCAAAGAAAAAACCCACTTCACACCCCTGACAGCTACGTCCACCTAAGGTCACACAAGCATGCCCACACATCATTTTACACCTCGAGGGGGAGACCAGAATGTGGATGCGGCACGCTGCCGTGTAGAAAAAAGGGGCACGCAAGCATTCCAATCCTTACATTTTGGGACGTTAGATGGAGGACGACACACAACCGGGAACCGATCTGAACAAGTGCTAAAATCAGCTACGCAGGTACACACCCTTGGCAAAGTTCACATTGAGTAAAGTGCCAGCGAATGATCCAATCAGAGAAAGAGACGTGTGTCCTCTCAAGTCTGATTCCGATGCGGGGTGGACAGGGACGGGGGGTAAGCCTTTATACAGGAAATGATCAGGACGGTGGAGGGCGGGAAGGAGGGCGGGAAGGAGATGTTAGAATTGCTTCAAAAAGTCCACACAGCTGTCAGTCTCTGTAGCTTCCGCCACAGCTTGTAGTTGCCATTTAAGGTGGCAAATCAAATATAGGAGAGATCGGTGGCCACCAGAAGAGAGGAGAGGAGATTAGAGGATTGGCTGACAATGCGCCGACATCAGCAGCTCATCTCGTATCCATCCTCTGGTCCTCTCCTCCCTTTCCCCTCTCTGCCCTCTTCTTTCTTCCTCCCACTTTGGATTTGGTTCTGGATTTGTGTTTGCCATCGACTGTTTCTCTCCACCGCTTTCTCTGGCCTCTTTTTTCCTCTTAGCTTGGCTGCCATGGTAACGGCATCACCCCTACATGAAGTGCATCTGCAGAAGAGGTGGGAAGAATCCAGAGTCATTTAGTACAACAAAACACCTCATCATGTGTTCAGGCATCTAATGACCAGCGTATTGCATGCCGCCGTGCCAGGGAAACAACTCGCCCTGTCCAAATATGTGTTTGTTCGTCAGAAAATGGGAGCCGTAGCAGCTGCTAGCGGCTATTTGCGCTCAAATACTTTTCACACACTTTAAAAACCTGTTTCGAAGGACATGGAGCAAAAAGAAGTCCAGTCCTTCATCATTTCAAGTGTCTGAGGGGCTGCTTTGAATGGGCATAATTTCTTTTCTGACACTTCAGCGATTTTCTCAAAAGGTATTTCATAACTTCGTCTCAGGCTGTTAGGCCCTACATGGGTCTGATTTATGCAAGGCATCCTATTTCTTTGGTAATATAAAGGAAAAGGAAAAAATGCTTAGTAAACACGTTTTTCTGCTATTTCTATTCATGTGTTATCTTTTATCCAATTTGGTTTTAATAATCTCCTAACAGCTCTGGCAACAACGGCAAACCTATTTAGTACTGCACATCACAAACATGGCACTTCAAGATGCCACATATGCCCTCAGATTTCAAAATTTCACAACAGCAAATACACAGAAAGATTGAATTTCTAGCATCTGGAAATTGTCCGAGACTGCAGCTACAGAATGTTTTTTTCTTTATTCTTGAATCTACTGAACTGCACTATGACTGTTGCAACACCGTTCAACGGATATTCTGTTCTGTCTTCTGTAACTCAATACAAATAAATAAAATATACTGGTTATTAAAAGGTATGTTATGTGGAGGAAATGTGATAACTCGCTTCATTGCTTGGACTTACAGAAGACTCGTTTCACTTCTATAATTGATTCTGTGACTGTGTGTGTAAGGCTGCAGCTGGAAGCCTCCTGCCTTAGCCTGATGTGATAGTAGAAAGTAATCTAAAAGTACATCAGAAACCTGATGATGTCCTGCCCTCTCTGCCAGTTCCTGGCCTGCATGCTAAGTAACACCTCCTGGTCCACGCGCGCCCAGACATTGCAGGTACTTTAATAAATGTATGTCTTTTTTTTTCTTTTTTTTTACCTGTGTTCCTGGGATGGGTCCAAAAGGATTGGTGGGTCTCAGGACAGGCTGGTTGTACATGACAGGCTGTGGGGGCATCATGGGAACACCCCCCATCTGATGACTCATCTGAGGAGGGAGCTGATCACAACAGAGGTGAGCGCAGGGGGACAAGGTGGGGAGAGAATGAGACAGTGTGGATCAGAGCCATTTTTCATGGGAGGATGAATAAAAATAGATGGCGTATTACTGAGCGAGACTAAAATGGAAATTCTTTTTTACCATTCCATAAACAGGCACTTGGGCTGTCGTCATAGGAAAAGCCACTGGTGCTGGAGCCTATGGAGAAAAACAAAATCATCAAAATCAGTTACAAACAGTCCTAATAAAGACACAAATGTTTTCATTCTTAAAAACATTAAGCATATCTAAAAGTTTTTTTTTTTTAAAACAGGCATGGCATTTATTAAAGTGGATTTTAAGTGGATCTTTGATTGCCGGTGGTGGTAGCCACAAAGGTATAAATTGTAATGAGCAGCAATAATCAGGATTCAGATGATGAAACTTACATATCCAGTATAGATCATCCCATTCTGCAGAAAGTTGGAAAAAAAGGGGAAGACAAATGTGAGTAATATCAATTAATCCTGCAAAAAAGAACGCTCACGTCATTCCTTCACTCAGAATGATCAGAGAGGATAAACCAGACCTTCGTCCATTCGTCACGACTGAACCACTTCTACTCACTATTCATGTCATGCCTCTGGTTTTCCGAACCATTTGCTGATAAAATGAGCAGCGTGAGCTGATAGGCTATTCACTGCAAAATTCAGATGAAACCAGATTGAATGGAAGAGACATGCAGATAATCACTGTGAGGAGAAAGGGCACAGATGGAGATGCAGAAATAACGTTGTCCATTATGTTTCCTTCAAACTGTGCCATGAATTGACCGCGGTAAAGGTCGCAAAGATGCACTCGTGAGCATGGACTGATAGGAATGTTGAGTGTGTGTCATTGATTAGAGATTTAGCTCTTGGCTAATAGACTTTCCAATGCAAAGAAGTGAAAAATACATTTGCAAAGAAAGGGAAAAAAAAAGATTTGCGAAGAAATGAAAAATACATTTGCAAAGTGCAGCATGTGTCCCTGGAATGTTTATCTTTTCTTGCAATACATTTATTTCCGATTCTTCTCCTCAAGCACACCATATCTGCGGATGACTCATCCTGCATCCTGGCAAAGTTACATCTAAAAGCAAGCATAATTACAATGACAGGCCAACAGGGCTGTTATATAAAACCTGACTTTTAATAAGAGGATTGCCAGCAGAGTGTTTATCAGGGTCGTGTCTGCTTTGTTTTAATTTGTCAAACCTTCAGATTCTGCAGCACAGAGAGGATGTGAGGCCTCTCATCCTCTGGCTGACTGCAGCATTTTGTTTTCTTCCCTCTCCTCATTTAAGTCCACTCATTGGTTTACATGTTTTGGGATTATATCACATCTGAAGGATTTTACCTTTAAGTAACTTTTCCCAATTGGTGACATTATGTTGATATGCTGCTCTTAAACTATACTGCCAGGATATTCCCTACTCAAACAGACCATCTTTTTAAAAAAAATGAGCCCTCCTCTGAGGAAACGTCCTGAAATTTTACACCCACTTGAAGGTAGTCTCATTCCGCTGAAGTGACAGGAGGAGCATGGAAATTGTCGTGAAGCACAGCTTTTTACATCCACTTTCCAACAGATTATGTGAAAGTGTGCATGTGGGGGTCACTAAAGCACATCGGGATGTCTTTTGGACTTGATGACACTGGCTTTTACAATCTACTGGCACATAACAGAAAAATGAAGCTTCAATTTTTACCATCTGAGGGACCGGCATCGGAGCAGGCGCCATGGGATGGGTGGTGTGACTCCAGTTGGTGCTGGCGCACATGGTCTTCGACTGCCACCCACTTCCACCCGTGGGCTTCTTCTCCACCAGCTGGCTCCACTGGAGCTCCGGCCTCACGTAGAAAAAGACACGCATTGTCAACATGATTGTCAAACTACGCATCTTTTCCAAGGTGAGACGATGTTGGACGCCGCGTCCGTTTTTGATCACATTCGAGCCCACTCACTTTTTAGCTGGCGTCCCCCCGAACTGCAGGTCTGAGAGATGAGATAAAATGAAATAGTTAAAAAAAGAATTTAAATAGCGTAACAGAAGTACCCTAAACAGGACATTAATGGCTTAATGAGCTGCAGAGAAACACTGTGTACTCACTGCCGACCAGGTTTGCTAATGAAGAGTCCAAATCGCTGGGCAGCATTTTCCCAGAATGCAACGGGACTCCCGGGCTGTGAATCTGAGTTGGCGGGGACGGCTTTAGCAGGTCACCTTATGTGCAAAGGTAGCCATGGTAACGTGAAAGGAGAGAGGAGGGCAATGAGTCACATGTTGATCACGGTTTGAGCTCGTCCAGCTCTTGGCGTGTGCTCGTGAGTAAGTGGGAATTTGTTTGCGTGCTCTATCACGTTTCCCGGCGTTGTGTGTGTGTCTGATCATGTGTGCACTCCTACCTCCCCAAGCATTGTTGTTGTTGGGCACAGTGTGTGTGGTCTGGATGGGGGTGAAGTTAGGCTGCAGGGTGAACAGCTCACTGGTCAGGTTTGGCACACTGCAGGAGAGAAAGGGAAGATTTATTTCTCTAATTCGTCCCTCTTCGATCTTATGTTTTAAAATGTTATTTGTCATTGCTGCCGGTTGAAATGTAACCTGCTGAAGAACCGAACAGAGGGTTCAGCACACTGTTTTTTTTATTCTTTATTGTTATGACATGGGATGATGGACTCACTGGTTGTTGATGGGTACTATGGGTGAGTTGGAGAAGAGATCTGTGGCCCCTCCACTGCTGTTGGCACTGCCCACTGATTGGATGCTGGGTGAAACGTTGGGCGTCTGGATGTCGATCACCTTATGACCGTCCTCCTGCATGGAAAAACACCATCAGAATATAATAGATTTTTTCCCCCCCATCTTTATTCCACATGTAAAAATGTTCAAACAACCTTTTTGTTACAATCAGGCCAGTCATGGATCTTTTGTTCAAAGAAAGGCCCTTCTGAGAAGAGCCGCATTTCGATTTTCAGTTCATTTCCCTTCCCTGTTCTGCTCTTTGCACTTTTGGCCGGCAGCCACGGGCAGACAGAGTATTTCACTGTGGGCTGCTTAATTAATGCATAAGTCTATTTACATTCATCAACAGTGTGGCACACATATGGATTTGGGTGTATTTCCGATTAAAAAAGAAGAACAAAAGAAGAAAACAAGCAATGAAAACAAATCACTTTGCAGCACTGTTTGCATATCAGCTGCCTAAACCTGTTCAGGGTCTGTATATGTATATTTGAAAGTGCACTGCGACTGTCCTGCCTTGTGTTGCTGCAGCCTGTTGTCCTCAGTTTTGTCGTCCATGCGGCTGAGTGAGATCCCCGTGCTGGAGAGAGATGACACCGCACTTGATAAGGTGCTGGATCTGAGAGTGAGACACAAGTACTTTAGAATAATTGTTTTGCCCTGCGCCGCTTTTTGAAAATTGTGCCTAACAATGCTCACTATCACGTCATAAAAAGATCTTCATCAGATTTCATCTGCAGACAGACTAACACTTGGCAGCTGTTAGGAAAGCCGAGCTGTGTGCCAGGTTCAGGTTTTGCAAACAGATTTAAGTAAAGCAGAGTTTCGCATGTAATAATAATCTGTGGACTACAACAACAACGTCGAACCAAATTTCAAAGTAGTTCATTCAACCAAATGTGAGATATTTGGGGACGGTGGTGAGAGAAATGGACATCTCGGAACAGCTTCAGTCATAAAAGCGACTGAAGGGCAGCCGATTAATCAGCACAATTATTTGCCAGTTTGATATGATTGGCGTAGACTGCTGATTGTTTCACAATGCCAGTAAACAATTGAGCGTCTTATATTGCCAATTAGCCATTATTGGGATTAGCCATGACAAAATCTTGATTGAAGCAACCACTAACTTCAGATTTATTTCCATTCGGAGCCATGCTGGGCCATTCACAGCACTTTAATCACGGCAGATTTTATAATGTGAGACAGAGGCGTTCTTGATTTTAAGTCGGTCCAGCTGAGGGGCCTTTTTTGGTTTGCATTCATTTTCAATCAACCTTGACAATCAAAAGTTAATTGAACAGTTTTAAATTGTGCATTCGTCTGTCTATCCCAGGAAGACATTGCTTTGGGGGTGGCATGTCTTTGGCCTATCCCAGCTGTCGGTGAGCAAGATGCAAGGAAATACACACAGAGCAGGTCGTCAGTCCCACAGACACCAATTAACCTGACATGAATGTTTCTGGACAGTTGGAGGAAGCGGCGGTACCCTGAAGCAAAAGCTAAAATAGGAGTAATACTTTATATGGAACATTAAGTGGCAGTTTCAGTAGATCTGAGTTGCTCATCCACTTCTGAGCCTACCTGCTGGCGGTGGACAGGTCCTTGAGTTTCCTGCCCTCGAGAGAAGCTAAATGCTGCTCCAGAGCCTCCAAGAGAGAGCTGGGAGCCTGAGTGGGGCAAGGGGAGGAAGGGGGGGGTACATGGAGTAAAAGAGGAAATGTTAGCTGTCCACCCAAGCAGAAGTAAATGGGGCACATAGCTCTCTTTCACCCCAACTCTCCTCATTTCTCATTTCACGTACACACAAAAAAAAGCAGGCGCCAAATTAAGACATCACCCTTGGATCCGCTATCTACTCTACGCAGCTCTTTTGTTCTGATTTTGCATTTGATTTCATCAGGTTTGGTTGAACAACATGCACACGTTAGCCTTGGGTCATGCAAGCGAATCCGCAGCAGGACTGACGGATCAGGATGGAGCAGAGCATTGTCACTGAAGAGCTCCAGAGTAGAACACAACAAACACATCTCTGAACCATCTAATGAGCCCATGCAGAGGCCAGCAGTCCACAGACGCTCTCAGAAGCACACACGCGCCTACACAGAAATAAAACTACCATCCAAAGAGTTAACTTATGGGTTCCACTCTAGCTCTAACAGCCAGACTGCGTTGCTGGTCGGATTGTTGTTTGGATATTTCTCAGCAGCCAGTAAAAGGATCTCAGCAAGGTTTCCTACTGGAAGCCAAGTAAGTTAACTCAGTCAAATGTAAACATCTGGTGAAAAACCAGGTATGCACATTGAGAAGCTGGCCATTTTTAGGAAACGAAAAGGATGGATGGGTTCGTTTAGACCACATGTGATGCCTTGGTTTTCGCCCAGAGCTTTACATTTCAGTGTCAGGAAGGACAATGCAAACACAACAGGCAAAGAAAAGATTTCGCATATACTTATTTTAAGGGGGAAAGAGAGTAAAATGCGAATTCTGGATATCCATCCTCAGAGAAATCTAGAATATGCTACAAGTTTAAAAGTAAAACAGACACAAATCTAGAGCTGAGTAAAGGCATGGGTCACTGTGTCGTTGAATAAGGGTATATAAGGCCTTCATAAGCACTACAAACATGACATCAGTTTTTAAGTCTCCTCTTTTCAGTCCTTTATATGATTTTGTCGCAATGTAAATATCCAATTATGCTTCGACTGAAAGGGATAAGCTGTACTAAAGGCTTTAGAATGATATGCAGTACTAATGATGGCATTATATGCACCTACCCAAGGCATATTTGCAGAAACCTAGTCAATAAAAACCATTCGCTGCTCTCCCCACAGCTAATGCAAAGGGTCATAAACTTTAAGAATATATATCTGAACACTGCTTATATGGGCAAACCTAGTTCATACAGTTGTTATGACTTGTCTGTATGATAAGCCATTGAGTAAACAGACAGGTCTTGGTATTTACATTGGGAAAATGCCAGAAGGAGGGCTGGAAAAATTCAGTCAGATACTCAGCCCCAGGTATGAACTTCTAAAGCGAATGTGCAAAGAACGGGCTAAAAACTTGTGTTACCCAGCTGCTGAATACTGCTTTAAGAATCTTACCTTAGAGTAAAATTTGTTCTGCAATGAATCAGATAAGGATAAACATGGCATTCCTCAAGTAAAGCTTAATACTTGTGGGAAGTCAAGACTAAATGCAGGTCTTCGTTTATTGTTTCCTCTCTATTCTAAACTCTGTTCCAACAGAAAAAGGAGACAAAGGCAAAGGAGTTAAGGAGAGTGAAGAAGAGAGGAGGAAGACAGGGCAGCTGCAGTGTGGGCAGGTCTGTAGGGTGAGTAGGGAACGGGAGCGTTTAGAATGAAGCATTATGGGACTGACTTGGCGGATTTATTAACTGGTTGACTGGTTGATTGACTGATTATGATGAGATGTAGACTGACCTGTGTGAGATCGGGGCTGTCGCCCTGATCTATCCCAACTCGCTGTGTCACAAAAAAGGAAGGAGGGGTAGGGGAGGGAGGAGGAAGGCAAAATAAAAATAAACCAAATGTAGTTTTTTTTTTAAAAACAACAACAAACAAACAAACAAAACCAAAACAAAACAAGTAATAAACCAAAAAACCCAAAAAGACCACAGAGTTAAAAAAAGGGGGAGAGGCACGTGAAGGAAGAAGAGGAGGAGGAGGAGGAGGAGGGAGAAAGAAGAATCAAATCCAAGCATTCATTACTTCATGCAGTGACTGGAAAGCAAAACAAATAAAAGACAACAGAGGGGGAAGGGAGGAGGGCACATGCACACACGTACAGAACAGCTATATATACAGAGTATATGCCCACGCACTCACACTAATAAATACACACACACACTGAAATCTGGAGACTGGTTGGAAATGAATGCTGAGCACATCGACTGATTGAACAGGCAGGGCAGAGAGGGCAGACAACAGGTCACGTGACTGCGAGGAAGAAAACATCCAAAAGGAAGACACTCAACTAATGTTGACTTTGAACAGAAGGAGAAGGGAGGGACACAGATGACACACAAAACAGACAAACACATTTTGTTAGACAGGTAAAATGAATGGGTCCTTAAAGTCAACGTTAGTCTGCTCTGGTTTTTTTTTTTTTTTTTTCTTCTTCTTTTTTCACTCTTTGGATCAAGCGGCTGCACCCCAAACCTTCTTCCAAATATGAAAGAAACCAAGCAGTGAGAAAGCCTTTGAAGATGGCGCATGGGAAAGTGCTGTGCAGTCTACAGAGGATAAAGCTATTTATATTCACTGTGAAGCCTTGTAAGAACTCCAACTGTTCATTGGATAACAGCCATTAGACACATCAGTATGTTTTTCTTAAGGAAAGGGAAGAAAAAATAAACTGGAGGAGAAGGGGACAGAGATAGTGATAGAGAGAGAGCTTGCTTGGGCATGCAGTGCAGGCATGTAAACAGGCAACGCACGAGGGGACCCTCGACTGGAAGCTACACATAAGTGGCTGTCTGATTTTTAGCCAAAAATAGTTGTATTGATGATCCGCGCCCCCCGCCCGCCCTCCCCAGATCAGGTCGAGAGAGGGGCAGAAACACGGAGAATATCTAGATGCAAAAAAGAGACTTGGGAGATCAAGGAGAAGAAGCCCTGGATGCTGGTCTGCGGTCAGTTTGGGTATGGAAATATTGACCGTAAATCAGTACCCCAGGGTATGGAGCGAATCTCAACAGGTTGAAGGGAGGGTTTTGTTCAGGCTAAATTCTTCTGAGCGACAGGAGGAAAATGAGAAAAAGTAGGCTTAATTTCTCTGCGACACCAGATAAGAGATGGCCGATGAGATTCACTCCAGACAGATACTGCCATCCTGTCCACGGAGGTTTTACTCTGTGCTTCCTCTTTGGAGGACAGAGCGGGACAAACAGACATTACCTCTGCCACTTTGAGAAACTCAGACAATTTGGTCATCCGGTTGAGGAAGGTCTTGTAGATCTCCAAAGCTTCTTTGCACTGGTTCTTCTTCATGTCAAAGTATTTCTCTGTGCAGTGGAAGATAAAGAGCAGCGACAAAAGGGGGCACCATTATTAAATATTTTTTTCATTAAGTGATTTACAAAGCCAGCATCTTCTCTAAGAATAAAGCCCTCTAAAACCCATTTTGTACTTCTCCACCATAAAAGGAACTACAAAATTTGAAATAAACCCTATTTGAGGGGTTAAACCTACTGCTTTTACCGACTTTGCTTTTATGTCTAAACATAACGAGGTTAGTCATAAAATCCCATTAGGGTGACCACGGAAAGAAATCACAGTAGACATTGGAAGAACAGAATAACAATGACTTGAGCAACTCTTTTTCTGGCCATAAAACCTGACTAAGTCGTTTGAGTTGATAAACTAGAGACTATAATTAAACAAACATGAATCAATAATCGAGCAGCCACCATTATTAGATTTCTCTTTCAAATTTCTTTCCCTGGGCTGAGGTACAGGTGGACTGAAATACTCTACAAAAGTGCTCTCAGTATATAAATATAGCTGGTAGAGGTAATTGTAAAACTTTTACAGTAAAAAATCGTCTGGACTGAAAAAAGACCCTGATGCCTGATTGGTTTAATAATTATTTGAAGATAAGGAGGTGATCATTCTAGTCCTGAGTTGGACTTTGAGAGACGGTGACAGGGGAAAAATAGACTGGAGTGGAGTTAAAGGACATGGTACTCTGATCTTACCACACAGAGACCCTGAATCTGCTTTGTCGTGTGTATGATTTACCCAACATGTTGATCACCCCCTCGTTGTAGGCGGCGAACAACCGTATGGAGTCTTTAAACAGCAACATGAAAGCCGTGTTGATCACCCCGTTGGTCAGCTCGTTGGAGTTGGGCTGCGGGACACACGAGCAGAGCCGTGGCGTCAGCGCGTGGCTCCGCCTCTGCCACTGACCTGAGGGGCTTCTGCCGGGCCTACCTGGAAGTCCAGCAGGGCGTCCAGCTGGTTCTGAATGATGGGCAGCGTCTTGATCAGCTTCTCGGTGTTCATGGTGCGCATCACGCCTTCAGCCCTGAAACACACCAGAGCACACGTGGCATCTCACAGAACCTGGGGAGTTTTCTATCTACAGCTCTGGAGGATGGGGTTATCTATGTGCACCGTGCGTGGCATCAGTGTCGTTGACAGCGTTACCCTCTCTTCATCTTGGTGAAGTCCACGGCCGCTAGCCTGTAGGACATGGCTTTCTCGTTCAGGTAGCGGCTGTAGCGTCTGATGAAGGTTGACATGTTATATCCTGGAGGGAAAGAGAGGTGGCACTGTTGTTAGAGCCCCATCAATTTGGCTTATTTCCAAACGGCATGATCCTTTTTGAGTTTTTTTCCTCCCATAGTTTATTGTCTTTGTGAGAGTGCGCCTTTCCTTATGTGTGAAACCACCCCTAGTGCTTCATGACTTTTAAATTTATGTATTTAGTTTTTTCTGAGTACACACTGAGCACAGTTTCAATTTCCAGCCTCATTCGGCAGCTTCTTGTAGCAAACAAAGAGCCCCGTTTTCAGTAGCTTTTTCGATCCTGAACCCTTTGAAACAGCCTCTGAATAGTGGTTTATCGATGGTTATACAGAGCCCCAGAGAGTCCGACAGAAAGTCATTTTGTTAGACTTACAGCACTGCTGAGTCTACAAACAGCCAAGTGGCATTAAATCACCTTGTAATGCAGCCTTATCTAGAAAGTTGTTGAGGTTGAAGAGCGTGTTTCTGGAGGCAAGGTACTGCATCAATCTCTGAGGGGAAAAACAGGACAAAAGTTAGCAATTGACCTCCCCCCGACAAGATCAAGTCCTGCCAACAGTCACACATGGACAATGTGTTTGTAAACTGTATTCGCATAAATACTGAATTAATAGAGGATGAACTTATCGTGATCCTTCGTCTGTGTGTGTGCAGTCACCCGTCACCATATTGATTGGGAACCATTAAGACTGTGAGCTCTAGCAGCTAACACAAAGACCCTTAGTGGGAGGTTGAAGGGATGGCGGTGGTCTAAATCATGAGATCAGCCAACCTAGGTTCCACTCCAAAGTGTGGCCAGATAAAGGACATTTGACTGTTCTGATTCAGAAATGCAGACATGACTCGTACAATAATAATAAAGAGCGTGAATGTTTGACTGTGGCTGACACTCTCACTCGTCTAGTCTTCAAATACGATGGTCAGCGTTTTTGGGACAAACGATCAAAAAGCTATTCTCAAAAGTCATGGAGGCAAAAGAGGGCTTTTGGGATTTGTTCCGACCTGGTGATCAACAAAGATGGAGCATGTTGCAGTCATCACTTAGTTGCTAAAATGAGGGAAATCTGTGACGTCATCACTGGCCTTTCTGCTAGTTCCTACACTGGAAGTCATCCTCTGGTAATGGCATAATCACTCAAACATTGTAAATAAAGCAACTGACTCATGCTGCCTACTCTTCATTAACAAAAAAAAGATGACATCACAATAAAGAAGCATCAGAGCCAAGTCGTTTGTCTCTAACCTCAAAGGTGGCTGCACGTAGAAACCTATGAAAAAATATACATAGCCCATTTAAGCCTCTCTGACAAATTTTCAAAACACGTCACTCTTCCAGCCTCTAAGTGCGCCGCTGTTTGCCCGCTTTCAGAGGGTTGTCATCCCCGCTGCGGCCTTTCTTTACAGCCGGAGCCGCTCATCATTCAAACACGTTTGATCCGTGCCGTGTTGATCTTGTAGGATGAGCGGTCGAGCGAGACGATTTGTTATGCCGGCCATTGAAATGTCAGCGGGGCCCTTCATCAATCCGCGTTGGACACGTGGAAAAACACGGCTTCAAAGAGGTCTCACTGCGAGAGAGTCGCACACAAACTGCTGCAACCTGGTGAGCAGCGTGTCAGGGCTTCCTCTGGGCAGATCAATAACTGGGGTTGGCTGACTGGCAAACTTCTTGTGCTTGCTTCTGTGAATAGCACTCGGTTGTAAAGGAAAAGGGCGTGCTTTACGTCTCCCGTCCTCTGACAAATTGTGCACATTGAATTGGTTCTCTTGATAGTGCGGCCCACCTCGTGTTTCTCCAGTTGCATTCAACTAACTGTAAAAAGCCAGATTCATGGATTTCTGACTAAAATATACTCCAGATTGAAATATCTGGTATACAATTTTGCTCATTTATCAAAAATATTAGTTGCTCTACCTTTCATCATTTTCCAGTTATGAAAAGTGTCCTTTATACTTTGACCTGTGTTTTTACCAAAATAAGGATAACTTGGGCCGCAGCCGTAGCCTAATGGCTAGAGCGGGCGGCCCATATACAGAGCCTGTGCTCGTAAGCGGGTGGCCGTGGGTTCGAATCCGGCCCACGGCCCTTTCCCGCAGGTCTCCCCCTCTCTATCTCTGCCCCCTTTCCTGTCAACCTACTGTCATTAAAGGCCACTAGAGCCAAAAAAAAAATCTAAAAAATAAAAAAAAAATAAGGATAACTTGCTGTTTTAGGGCACGTGTTCTCAAGCTTGCTAAATTCTTTCCCGTTATTCTAAGATTATAAAGAATTCACTGATGGGTTTTGCTCACCTCGTTGCCGTACATCATGAGGTGGTGTGTGGTGATGAGCGCTTTGAAAACCACAATCCAGCTGTTGCTCGCTGTGCGCTCCAGCAGCGTGTCTGCCAGGTGGGGGATGCTGACGTTCAGCTCATTGGTGCAGTGGATCAGGTCTAGAGGACGCACAGAAATCCAGCATGGAACATTGCAGGACAGAAGGAAAGAATACGCGCAGCAGAAACAGGTTCGAGTCCCCCGTCCAATCTGGAATCTTGTCGGTTCACTCACCACAGTGAGCTGTAAGAAGATGCATCTGCTATGTGACCAAAAAGACGTTGTTATGCGTAGAGAGCATGCAAGTCAACTCATTCTGCATTAACGACTGAGGTCAGACATACTGCATTCTTATAAACTGACTCCCTGCATCTCAAAAACATCATTTATCTGTACTTCAGCAGTCCAGCCCCTTCATCTACTCAAAAAAATGGAAAAGGACATGTTTTGTTTCAACACAATCAACAGACGCATATTTAACAAATGATGAATAATGGATCTTTCTTCTGAAGCAACATTGTTGGTTTACTTAAGATAACCCCAACGCTTATTCATCCCGAGTACAAATTATCCACTCAAGGAAAATGTGGAACATATTTCAAAAGGAAAATAGCTGTGTTTTGTGTTTGGTTTCAGATAAAAATGTCTGACAAACAGCAAGCTGAGTGCGGGTGAATGAGTACTGGAGCAAGTTAACACAGAAACAGGGTCTTTTTAAATCTAGAAAATGGATGCCTTATCATTACTACTAAAGCAGTTGCACCTAGGAAATCAAATGAGGAGGTTCTAGTTAAAGCTCCAGATGAGAACTATGTATGTCATCTATTGAATCTCAAAGATTCACTGAATCTTTGTAAAAACTAAAAAAAAGCCCACGCATGCTCTCTCTTATACAGTATGCCTATACTCTGCATGCGGTGCTGTATACTGCAAAACCTGGCTGTGATTCTAAAAGCCCTGCCGGTCGTGTTGATTGTATAAACCGATCATGCGCCATATTACAGCAGCTCTGACATGTTGCACTAGAGAAAATATATACATTATGTAGCTTCTGTGACTTAAAATTCACAAAAATGACAGAACGAGGCTGGTCGGACTGTCGGTAATGCAGCCGGTGAGCGTTGCTGATCCTAGGATAGATAGCAATCTTATTTACTGTAGGAACATTTGGGATAAAAGCAATGCAATGTAACGAGGAATGAAATATAACGTAAGAACAAACTATATGAAAGTATACCCGAACGAAGCAAAAATCGGAGGCCTGAAACTTGACTTTAATAACAGAATAAAGAGCTGCACAAAAACTAAAGGATGAGAGAAAGGCATTAAGTGTACAAAAACAGAACACGTGAGACTGTGTGGGCTGAGTTTCTTCACTTTCTGTGGAAATGACCAAGGGGAGTTTGTACCTCCAAATCCCAGGTCGTCACCTAATAAAGATGACCAATGACCTCTTCGCACACCCGGATACCGAAAAAAAAAAAATCCCGGTTGTTCAAACAGTGACATGCTTGTTTGGAATCAACAGTGCTCAAAGCTCCGGCCTCAGTTCTTTTCAGCTAGACTTTATTTACCCTGCTTTGGAGTGGAAAAGCCTCAGCAGGACCACCGCGGTCAATAACAACTATAACAATATTGATTTTAGTTTGCTGTCACTTTCAACTCCGCTGGCCAGAAGAGAAAAAAAAAAGCAAAGTAGAATAAAATAAAAAACCCGGACTGTCCCATTACAGCTCTGCTGCACTGATGTCATGACATCTGCCCCCCGCTCGAATAATAAGGGCAACATCTGGATGCACACAGCCACTAACGTTTTGTTTTGTTTTTTTGTCTCCCTTCGCCGGTTCACCCTCAGTGCTATTCTACCGCTAACAGCACGCAGATGTTTGCAGTAAAGAAGCCAGCACGCACAACCTGCCGCTCTCAGCCAGCTGTTGAGGGGAAGGTGGCGGCTAAAAAGGGAAACGTTCCCACCAGTACCAACAGAGAAAGGAGAGTCAATCACCGGGCATCCACACAAAAACTATTCCAACCCAATCACACTGTTAATTTGTCAACTAATGTTCCTACTGCGTGTGAGTGGTTGTATTCTAAGCTTTCAGCTAAATATTTCTAAACCCCTCACCTCTGCTTAAAATCTAACGACATAGAACTGAAAAAAGACTTTTGCAGTCAGACATTTACAGATAAAACGCCACCTGAGATGTGACCATGTACGTGTGGCTGTGCAGATAGCCAGATGGATGAGAGGGAGCATCAATTATATGGTACCCAACTGGAACTGATGATAACCTGCTCTCCGCATTGGAAATGATCTCAATCAATAACTTGATTAGCAGTTAGATTTATGATATCGGCGTCACAGGGCTCGGCGTTATCAAGTTAATTTCAAGACGTGTTTAAAGCTGGTTAGGATGAAATAGAAGGTCCGGTGTCTGACAATGTGTGCGACTGTGCGTTTCTGCTCATAAAGAGACTTAGAGTAAGAAGCCATAAAAAAAAAAAAACTTAATTCACTCTGTTTTAAGAGCTTGGCTTCAGATGAAATGGGAATTATTGAGGGCATGAAATTGTATTGCGAGATGAGGTCGTTAAACGACACATATGTGGGGGTAAGTGGTTTGCCTTCAAGTACGTTAGCGTTGTGTCAGACTGCCAGCGGGGCAGGGCTTCGTCACCCCGCGTATTTTTTGCCCGTTTCTCATCACCTTTTGGGTAAAAACAAGGGGGCTAAAAGGATGGTGCAAAAAAAAAAGCAAACGGCATCTCACTGCTGAAGTCGTTGCTTTTTGGAAAAAGCAGAAAACACACCAAGGTCAGCGCTGTGACACACACCCACCGACGTCACGAACTGAGTGATGCATCTGAGTGTGCTCTGAAACGAGAAGGTCACTTCTGAGCTGATTACGCTTCTATTATTGCATTTCTTTGTCTGCTCTGCATGCCATATGGCATTAGTAGTAAATTATCATCAACATCACCACCAGACTGTTTAAAGGAGGAGGGGGGGGGTGGAATCTGACCTGGCTTAGCTCCCTCTGAATACCTTCAGTGAGCGGCTTTACATTTCTAATGCACGGCGCATGAAGAAATGACCCAGAAAATGAATCTTTGCTTTGTGCTAAATAGCAAACTTGTGGGATTAGGCGCACGCATTCAGACTTGTGGTCCCAGTGACAGTCTCTCTCTCTTCGATCTAAACCGATCAAAGGGCGCTGGATTTGTTCCAAGGTTTAACTTTAAATCCACTAGATATGCGAGGCCAAGACGTCTCGTTCCGTTGCTCTGAGGCCATTGTTTGAACGCTGATCAGCAGTAAATCAAAACGAATGAAAAGCTGAATTGTTTCAGACAAAAGATGACGTTGTCTGAGAGTGATTTAATAAAACGTAGCCCGTTATTTCTGCTCCACACACTAGTAAACCTGCGCCTGCAAATTTAGCTCAAATGGGATTGGTCAGTCCTGTCTGGATTAAAAACAGAGAGCGGAAAGTATAAAAAATCGTTTTATCCTCCTTAAAGAAGTTTTTTTCATATCACTTTCCTCCTAAATGGATTAACCAAACACCATTCTTTCACAAATGTAAAAAATCTGACTAGAATTTGATTTAATCAGCTGTCTGTCCTGCTGACCGCCTTCAGAATTCCTCCATTTCCCTGGGTCTTTGGGACTCTGTTTCCTTGGCGACACTGGTCTCACATATGTGAAAGACCTGAGCTTGCTCACGGCTGACTCACCTGAAGCTCCTCGGGAGCACTTGTTTTCTTTATTCACTTCCTGGCCGAGGCCTTCCCAGCCCGTTGCTAAACGAGCCCCACTGACCTCCTGACCACAGAAACACGACCTGCTGGCCTCCTCGCCCCTTCTGAACACTGCACCCTGTGTACATTACATCCGGCCCAAGACGAGGGGGGGTCTCCCTGTGACAGCTATAGTTGGATCTCTTAGAACAGCATCATCTAGCACGACACATATTTAGCTTAAAAAAAAAGCTATTTGAAGCTATTACACTAAAAGTGAAACCCAGTTCAGCAATAAAGACCGTCTCAACTCATCTCAACCAGAATAAACCGACCCTTTTCCTGAAGTAACTTATTTGTCCTTGGGAGTTGTTGTATAAAATCCATTAGACGACTGGAAATATGCTGTGTCGAAGTTCCGGTTCTATTTTCAGAAGATCTGCTTTCAGCTCTGAGTTAAGAGACGTTTACGCGTTTGTCAGATAACCTACTTGCACTCACGGCTGTCGCTGGGCAGCCTTCAACCATGTAATATCAGCATCGCTACACTGATCTGAATAATTAACCAGTAATGGTGCAAATCACTTCATGCACTTTATCTGATTTTCTTCTTTTTCAGCACTTAAAGTAATACCTTTTTATGTCATTCCATCTCATTTATCTGATGAAATCACAGCCTGCGTACCACAGAAACCATCCAGCTTCTCACTCTGACAACAAATCTGCAGAACAATAACCTTAAAAAGGGACAACTCACTTAGGCTACATCGCTTAGAGAATCGCAGATAAACTTTTGGTGGCTCCTGTTTAAAGTCAAAGCGGCAGGTCGGTGCTTAAGGTCCACTACGGCTTTGATTCTGGTGCCTTTCCACCGCATTGCTGACTTTCTGAGAAGGGCAAAGCAGCACAGGCCTGTTTAGTTGTCTTCTGTTGGTGGCACATCCCACAATCCCCACTGCCCCCTCCCCTGTGGACATGACTGAGTAATCTACTGCCAAACTTGCCGGCTGAATGGCCGGGCCGTGCAGCTGGATGACTGACTCGCAGGCTGTTTGGCTACTTGCCTTGTAGTGTTTTTCTCAGAGTGATTTATCCAAATTTCCTTCGGATTAGTCCGGCCTTTTGTCTGTCTGTCTGTGTGTGTCTGTTTGTCTGTCTGTCTGTGTGTGTCTGTCTGTGTGTGTGAGTGTGTGTGTGTATGCATGTGTGTGTGAGTATCTTACTGTCTGGCTGGACCTGATGCCCCTCATTGATCAGCCGTGCTTCTCCATGGATCATGTCAAGTGATCGTGGAGGAAGCAGAGAAGCTGCCTCTAACCCCCAAAACGTCCTAATAATCATCTAATAATAATCTGCGCGCGAGGGGGGGGGGCGGGGGGAAGGGCACCCCCGTACAGGTACACGCTGTACGCGCGCGGGTCATCACCAGAATGTGGAGATAAAGAAAGCAGCATCGCTGCGCTTTGACGCCTCGCTGTAACGCCCACCAGCAGAGGGACAGCTCTCTTTCTCACACACACACACACACATACACACATACACACGGTAAACCAGTATTTCCCCAGGTCTGAGAGCAGGGTGCGCGTTAATGGTGACAGTTGAACCTGAACGCGCCTGTGGTGTAAAATGAAGAAAAAACGCTGGCGATGCCGCACAGTTACGCACATCCCGTCCGGAGGTGTCTCCAGGGGTTGTGCGGCTGCTGATAGTGGCGTTAATAATGGATAGGCCTGCACTATAAAGCAGCTGGATGCGATGTGATTAGCCCGAGCCGGAGTGGCCTATTTCCCCTGAATGACATGCCCAACGCTCGTCGCCCCCCGTCTGAAAAAAAAAAACGAACTGAACACCACCGGTGCTCGCACTCATTGTTGTGCGTTTACGCTTCCCGGCGTATAAAAAAAAAAAAGAAAGAAAGAAAAAAAAAACCCACACCAAAATGTGAGGGAATGTAATGGTGACTATACGTTTAAACGGGCTGGCAAACGTTATAACCGGGGCCGGATGAGAGAGGAGGGGAGCGCGGCAGATGCTGTTTATACAAGCTGTCCTTTGTGAGGAGAGATGCATGCAGGCTATCTTGTTGTGAGAGCAGTGATGGTATGCTTAACCTACAGTCAAGGTGTTTCTTCTTGGGTCCGCTGACTTCGTGCGTCGTGGCCTTGCACACGGCTTTGCTGATGGCAGACCCGGTCATGCTGTGCTGAGCCGCGGCGATCCGGTCCGTCAAAGACTGTCCCGACATGTTACGGTGGAGGAGGAGGAGGAGGAGGAGGAGGTGGTGGTGGAGGAGGTGGTGGAGGAGACGGGGGAGGAGGAGGAGGAGGAGGAGAAGGTGGCGGTGGACGGGAAGGCAGGCGGAGTGATGCCCGGGTGGGGGGAACCGGGGAGGACGATCAAAATGTCTTTAACGTCAGGGAGGAGGGTAGTGCCCTCTGAGAGAATCGGCCGGAGGAGGAGGAGGAGGAGGAAGAGGATGGGGAGGAGGAAGGGGGGGGCAGAGGCAGCGTACACCGACCGGGATCCGGTGGGAGAATTCATACGGTGGCCAAAAATAAAAAGAAAGAAAAACCCCCAGAGGTCCGTCACATCCAGAATACAGAAAGGCTTTTCGAATTAAGCCCAAAGGGGATCAGAAAGCTGTGGCAATGAATCCCAACAGGAGCGTAAAAATCAGCGCAAAGCCCAGTTAGAGCGGCCTACACCACCAAAAAAAAAACCAACAAAAAAAGGGGAAAAAAGCCGGTCTCTACTTGAATGTAAGACAATGCGCGGTGCGCTCTGGTGCGTGTCCCTGAAATAAATGCTGCCAAAGGCGGAGAAGCCGGCGGCGCAGCGCGTCCCGAGCGGGGAGGAGGAGGAGGAGGAGGAAGGTGGTGGTGGTGGTGGTGGTGGGTGGTGGGGGGGGGGGGGGGGGGTCCGGAAAACGGTGACAAAGACCCTGAACGACGGAACGGACGGTTCCGAAACGCGCGCGGTCTCCGCTAGGACCGGGGACTCATTGGTCAGAAACGGTGGAAAACAGCATCGTCCTTTCCTCCTTCTCCTCCTCTGCGGCCGGTTTCTCCTCTGAACGCGTGCAGAGCGGTCCGGCAGCGGGCTCCTCAGTGGTCCTCACAGCTCCACACGCCGGCAGCATCCAACCCCACCGCTCCGATTTCTATCCCCTTGTCTCTCTTTGTTCAAATAATAATCGCACAAAAGAGAGTATTTCCTCTTTGAGGCTGTCGATAGGAGAAATTCCGAAAGCTCCCGTTTTTTTTTTCTCCTCCGTTTTTTTTTCTCTCTCCCCTGAATTTTGTCAGTCAAAACTTGTGTGTAAAATGGCAGCACATGAATCAGGTGACTGAGAAAGGAGGGCGATTGGGCAACCTCTCGGGTACGGGGAGGGCATCTTAAAGCAGAAGGCTGCCCCCCCCCCCCCCCAGCATCAGCTGGCTCATCACCTCGGCGAACGTGGTCGGTTTGGAACGTGTTCCGTACCGACTCCTCTCGATTATCTCCTGTCCAATGAAAGGCAGACACATGGCGAAGAGAAACACCAGATCCGAGCAGCAGCACAGAGATGTTTGATGCCCTCCGCAGCGTCTCACCTGCCCCCCCCACGGGAGATTTACAACCACATTTCTTACACATTAAAATGTGAATAGCTTTGCATGTATGACCAAACACATTTGACCTTTTAAAAATCCCCAAACTCACCGTTTGGATTCATTTCTCCATTATGGGTCTGTTAAGTCATTGTTTAAGTAAAGACAAATGGAAGTTATGCAGATACTGTACAAAAGCTACTGTATTAAAAAAATATAGATTTGAAAAAAGATATTTTCATGTATGGCAATTCAAGAGAACAATCCAGAAATGAATACATATAGGTTGCTGTTCTATTAAATGAAAATTCTGCCTTTCTTTTCATCATTCAGATTGACAGCTTGATACTTTGTACATAAATGTTGCTCTGTCAGCAGTCCAAAGAGTAGTTTTTTTTTTTAATTATGTCAAATGAGCAGAATGCATCTGATCTTCTTGTTTTCCCATTTCCTCTGTTTTTGTTGTAGATATGAATCCAATATTTTTCAAAATGATTAATCTAATAGTTTAGACAATATTCATGGGGTGTCCAGATACGTTTATCCTTAGGCTTAAACTCATATTCCAATGTATTCACCTACAAAATGCAATTTTCAACACTGAAATAACCTAGATAAAAAAACTCAGTGAGATTTACAAAGATGACGTCGCTGTTCTTTTAGTCATCTTCCATTAAATTGACTTTTAAAAAGTCCTTGTTTGTTGAAGACTGAGCTGAATATGACCTAGAACTTTACACACACATCAAAATGTGATCAGAGAGAAGAGCTACCCTGAGGGCCCCAAGCAGTTCATCAGATTCATATCTCAGTAGAATACCAAAAGTATTTAATCAGGAACTCATCAAGATGAGTAATTAGTTTAGCAAAATGATCTCTCTATATTAATTAAACAACTTAGAATCCCTCTGGTATTTGATCAGGAGGTAATGACCAATGATTAATGACAAATAAAGAGCCCATATCATGCTTATTAAAGGTGTCACAGTGTTAGATTGATGGTCTGTTAGAGGACACATACACGCACAACTATTTCAAAATGGAATATTTCTCTCACACTGGGTTTTTTTTGTCAGTGATTTGGAAAAATGATAAAATGCATCCAGCTGCTTATTGTTTGCGCTAAGCTAGCTGGTGTGAAGCGGAAGCCTATGTTGCAGAAGAGTATTAGAGGACGCCTCTAAACTGCAAATGTCTTCTATTCACAACCAAACACCTGAATAGAAAGTCAAGGAAAGTATTCCCAAAACCAGAATACAATCATCTGCAGCAGTTCAGGGATATTTCATTTACAATATAACACTGTAAAACCTATCAGACGTTGAAAGTAAACCCATGCATTAATTATTCTGACAGGATCGGGTATTTTGCAGTGAGCCACGAGGAGCCAAAGGCAAGTTGCACACAGAAATATCTTCCTGTGAAGTCCTGATGAAATTTGTTCTGTGATCATTTAGAGTATTTGACAATTTTATGTTGAGAAACATTATTTTTGCTGGTTGTGTTTTCCTTTGTTCCCAGTCATCTAAATAATCTGTTACCAATCTACCCATCTTTTTCTACACACACCCTTCCATCTTTTTAGTCTGTAGTTGGACTTGACTTTTTTCAGACCGAAGCCAAGAGGAGCTGACGTTTGTAATAGATTAGCAAGATGTCTCACTTTCAGCATTTTACATGCTTTTTTTGTTATGCTCTCTGGCTCTGTACTTCCAACACAGAATCTCATCCTTATTTGGAATTTATCTTGCATATATGTACATTTTTCTTAACATCTTTTCACACATTCTTATGACAATATGTTGAAAACAACAAAAATTATTTGAATTATTATTACTACTATGCAGGATAGAGTCCCACCCATTACGGGATATAAATACAAATAGTTTAGATCATCAGACCAAATCTCACAGCTCTCCATGTTTTGGAAACACTGGGTGTTAAAGAGATGCTCAAACTGACAAAGGCTTGTCTTAATCCCTGTACATACAGTACGCATATACCCAGCCTGGCCTACCATAGGTCAGGCAGTCCTGATCGTGGAAGATCCCCAAAGGGGAGCTGCTCTACCCGGTACCGGCCTATAACCTGAATCTGGGTCACATGGGAGCTCCTTTCAGGCGTCATTGTGGAAAAGATGAGGGAGTAAACACAAGAGCAAAAAGCATAGGGAAGGACTGGGAGAAACACCAGAGGAGTTCCACGCCAGCTGCAGACTGACAGGGCTGTAAGTCGTGATTTACGAGGCTGTGCACTGCCTGATCCGACAAAAAGAAAGCCTACGACTCAATGGCCCACCCATGGAAACTGGGATGTTTGGAGATGCTATTCTCCCCAGTCATTCGGAAAATTTGGAACAGTGAGTCCAAATGTTTGACTGGTACTCTATAATAAAACTATTGTCTCTGGATCCATGTTAGAACCCAGAAAATGCTTTGGAGCAGACAGGAAGGATGTATCTTTTTTGAAGGAAAGGATTATGTTTTTGTCGCATGTTGTTTGGTTCACGCGTACAAGCTCCAGCTATCACACGTCAAACTTTTGGAAGTAAAATATGAAGGAGACCCTGAATTGGAATTTCAAATTGCACTTCTGAGGCAGACTCAATAAAAGCTGCTGCGTCCTTGGCACCACGCAGAGAAAGGTTGTGCGGAGCATCAGTTTGACTGACAAAGAATTGATTTTGGGCCGGAAGAAAAATGCCTCACAACCACAATAAAGCCCTTAAGTCTGAGAAAAATGTTGTTTTGGTATTTTCTTTCTGAATATTTTCAATTCAACATTCACCTTTCGAGGATGTTTACTCTCATGGTGCAACTGGAATGTCAGACTGAGACAAAAGCTCCGTTTGTACGAGTCTGGAGGTCCAACTTTTTCGGATTAAAACAGAGTAGGACCAATGCAGCGTATGGGGAAATAAACTAAGTCTGTTTCTCCTCTTTAGGTCTGATCAGATAACTATATGCCATCCCGTCTGCATTTTAGCCTCCACGTTTATGTTTCCCTCTGACAAGAAATCCCTTTTGTGTGCTTTTCTCAGCTGTGTGGGCTGAGGAAACATTTTACACATTAAGGGGACAGTTATGGCAAAGCTATGGCAGCCATTCTGACTCAGCAGAAATCTGCTCTCCGTTATGACAGGTCTTTCAAAGGAAGAAAAGGTCTCAGGTAAAATGGTCAACTCTGGGCTGTATGCATTCTTTCTCCTCTTGAGGGACCTTTAATAACAAAGAAAATGAATTTTGGAGTCTTCCAAGTTTAGATGGCCTAACCTAAATATAGCATCCAGACTGAAAAGGTGTCAGAGGTTTTCTTGGCTGAGCGTGCAGAACACTTAGAGAGAGTGTGGGAACTGCTCCGAACCAAAGGAAGTCCAACAAATCACACACTTTATAACATCAGCACCTCGGAAAAGCTGGTGGACGTCTGCCCGCATCCCAATCTGATGCTAATTCACCAGCGAAGGCTCAAATCCGACGCCAAAGCCACAGAGTGCATTGTACGTTGTAGCAACAATTCCAATTTTGAAACGTCACATTGAGTTATTTTGAGAGAGCAGCTCATGGAAAACATCACCTGTTGATTGATTGATTAATTGGAAACTAAAACTCAGGAGTGAAAAAAAACAATCACAGGCTTTTGTGAGTGTGTGATGCGAAATGTACGGTGTACACAAAAACCTGCTTTTTATATCACTTATTTTCAGTATTTTTTTTGCGTGCAGAGGGGACAAAAGTGTGAGAGCAGTTTCAGGCAAAAAGGAATGTTTTAATGTGGTTGCTCACCAGCACTGGGTCCTGTTCTGTTACCAACTGGGCTAAACTCAAAAGCATTCAGAGCCAGCTGTGCACTACTGCAGACACCATTCTTATTCTAGTTCTATTTTCTCCTTCTTTTTTCTGTTTCGACCAGCTTTTTAGTGCAGAATTCCTGCAAAACATTAAATGCCTTGCAAAAGCAAAACAGCAGCAGACCCAGAAAAAAAAACATGATGTCATCACTGGATGACTTCAAAAGGTATTTTCTAAAAAAAGAGACACGAATGGCCTAAAATAGACTCACATCTGATCCTTTTGTTTTTTTCCCAGGTTCTGGGGCAGCTGCAGGTTGACCGTTGTTAGCTTTCTGACAGGTCAAGAATCACAATTTCACACATGACAAGCACTTTAAGTGATTTTTGGAGCTGGTGGAGTATCCGGACAGGATGAGGGAGCCAGGCTCGTGCTCAATCAGTGGACTCTCCTCGTTGAGAAGGATGTGTTCTACCAAACAGCGCGCCGCCTCCTCGATGTTTGTGTTGTCCTAAAAGAGGGAACACAATGACAGATAGAAAAAGAAAAAAGCTGAAAAAATAATGGCTAATACGGTGGGCACATGTGTTCACAGCCAGTTTGTTGGTTTAATTAAGGTATAAAAAAGGAAAAGAAACTCACAAAACTTGTCAAGAGTGACTCAACGCACTGATTTGTTATTCTTTGTTTTTAAAGGAAAACTGTGCTGAATTTGCCGTGTTTGATCCATCAGGAGTCTATGCAGACTTTGAGTGTGTGTTGTTTCAGATGTGGTTGGACGGCTTTTTGCCTTTCATCTTTTTCAAGATACACAACGATCCCTTTTTTAAATATGGATTAAAATGTGAGAGACAGAGCTTAAACCTCTCAGATTTATTTCCCAGTTGTTTTTTTCAGAGGATAAGAGTTTGTAGTTTTAGCAGGCAGGGCTCCTCAGAATGCCCCACAGTAACAGGAATATTTGTTTCTGCTCTGTTAATAGTTCACTTCATATCAATGACCTGTTGCTCGCTCACCTAATCAGATGAAAAATGTGCAAAAAGTTATCTGGATCTGCACCCAGATGAACTGGTTACTTCTCTTAACGTTGCTCCAAATGATGATTACGCTTTCTGACTTTCTCTCTTAAAATCTTAAACAGACAAGAAACTATTAGAAACTTTTTTTAACCTCTGGGACATTTTTTGTTTCTCATTCCATCACCCACTTCTGTCCACAGTCTGTCTGACTGTGTTTTCCCGTTCTCAACATCACTGTCTCCTTTTGTCTTTTTTGTGCAGAAGCTAGTCGAAATGCATGAATAATGTTTCAAACTTTTAGCCTCAAGTCAGTGCTTTGGAACACAAAACTAATATAATTATTTTCTGACTTCATTTTTGCGTTGATCAAAAAGCTGTTTATGAGCCTGGTACATATTTGCATAGAAATCAGTGGTATATTAGATGATCAAAGCCAAAAGTTCCCAGCATCCTGATGTAACACTGACTCCCTCAGAAAGCTGCGATAATTGCCTTCAGAGTCTTCCCCACCCACTCCTACCTTTGCAGAGGTCTCAAACCAGCCCACAAACCCGTTCTCCCTGCAGAAAGAGTCCAGTTTGGGCATCTGAGAAGCCATCTGGTCTGACTTGTTGGCTAAGAGGACTGCTGGAACTGGTCTGCCATGGTTCAGAGTTACCTTGACAAAGAGAAATATGTCTCCCATGACGACCACAGTCATTTTCCAAACATATCACGTGCAGTTTTGGTCAAATGCAGAGAATTAGGATGTCTTTCAGTATCTCAGCTTTAGAAGTGTCTCAGATAATTATTAATAGAAGGACTCGTAAAACATCTGAAGACAGAGGTACTAGAGTCACAGTGTTTGTACGAAGGAGGATAATGACACACATCCATCCATAGTCATATAGTTCACTTTATTAAGAAAATAAGGGATCTAATAATCCTAAATCACTCATTTGTTCAATCATTCTTTTCCTAATATGGAAATCTGAATTTGTTTTCTTTCTTTCCTTTGAACTATTCTGATGTCAGAAAGTCCAATCTCCCTTTAGTACCTGCACCATCAGTTCAGCCCCAGTTAGCAGCTTCTGGTACAGACACAAAGAGTTAAGGCATTTACCATTTAAGCAACTGCTCTTGGTGGTAGGGGCTTATAAAGTGAAGACAAATGAGAAACCGCGAAGCCCAGAGTTTATGGAGCCGATATGTGATGGAAGAATTCAAACAGGAGCTCTGGATGGTCTCTGCTCCATTGGCAATGGCCGGACTGCAGATGAGGGGAAACGGGACCATTTGTGTGTAAAATGGTGAGTGTGTATGAATGTGTGTGTGTGGTCTGGGCCCTCGGGTTATTGGCTGTATGGTTTCTCATTTTGTAATAACATGCCCTAGAGGTTATTGGGTGTTAAATATCTGAGGCTGATCCAAAGGAGGAAAGCGGTGGAGCAGTGATAAGCGAATCACTGCACAACCCCAAATGATCCATTTGAACACAGGTGTAAACAAACAGGAGAAAACGCAGTTGCTGCTTCTGTGTTACTTGCCTAGAATATGTCCCTGACATTAAATCCAGACACTGATCTTGAGGGGCAAAAAGTGCAGAATGTCTCCTTTACCAGATTTGTTTGACAGTGAAGTTAAACTGTAAGCACTGATTGGAACCTTTGTTTTTTTTACTGTCGGAAAGGATGGTTAATACTTTAACCAATCAATGCCATATGTATCATATTTGATACATAAAATTCTGAGATCTATTGCAACACCATATGGTCAACACCGTGGCAAAAAAATTCATGTTACGTGGAATCTTTTCATTTCAGTTCATAGTAAAAATAATAATGTCTGTTTAGCATTTCTATATTTTCTTGCATACTCGAGATCTCAAGAAAGCCCACAACCACAAAGTGACACAGATGCATCAGCTCTGTTTGCAGTCTCTCTGATAGTTAGGAGGTTTGCGTCAGTGCCTGGGGAGCTTACCCTCTCATAACTCCTCTGTGAGGAGCAGACACAGATTGGGGAAAATAATGTGTACGGATCGTTTTTCTCATTTAGCCTTATCAGCAGCTTTGTGAAGGTAAGCTCAGAGGATAGTTTGCTATGGTGCGTGGCAGGTATTATAGGAATTGCGACAGGATTAGAAACAACAAGATCTCAGTTTGTGCCACCTTGGAGTCCAGGTCATCTTTCCACTTCAGTACGGCGTTGAAGGTGGACGCCCTGGTCACGTCAAACACCACCAGCGCTCCCACCGCCTCCCGGTAGTAGACTCGAGTCATGTTCCCATAGCGCTCCTGCCCTGGGACACAAGGATAGCTCTCAGACACACACACATATATATATATATTTATGTAACAACTAAAGAATGAGTCCATCAATGCTTTCACAGCTTAACACGCACACACATAAATATATACGTATGTGTGTGTGGGTGTGCGTGTGTGTTTATTCAAGCCACCATCATGTGACTGACATTACTCTGCATGGGATCACTTGAGTCAGAGCCAGACACAAGACATTCCTCAACTAGGCATCACATACAGGGAGGGGACAGGCATGCGGTGGACAGTAACACACTCAGAGGGAGAGGATCTGTATTTTCTATCAGTTGCTGAGTTTTTTTTAGAGAACTAAACACAAATCTGTTTGATTTGTACATGCTAAACCTGCATTCTTGTATGAGTGGGGTGAATCTTTGTGAAGTTGTTTTACATGTCTTAACCTAAGGAGGTCATATGCATGCTAAAAATAATGGATTTTGCGTCCAAATCACCCCCAAACACCCAAAATGCTCATATCTTTTGACGTTTTACAGACCTGCAATATCCCACAGCTGCAGCCGGACGACAGTGTCACTGTCCCACTGCAGCACCTTCAGGGCAAAGTCCACCCCGATGGTGGCCCTGTAGTGCTGGGAGAAGATCTGATGGACATACCGCTTTATGATGGACGTCTTACCGACTCCCAGGTCCCCTATGACCAGAATCTTGAAGAGAAGCTCCTGCTGCATGGCTGCAGCTGGGCGAGAGGACATGCATACAATAACAAAAGGAATGTAAAAGTCTTGGAAATGGAGCAGTGACCATCCCCTGAGGTATTTTCTTCCATCAATGTCACAACAAAAACAAACAAAGAAAAGCACAACGGTGCTTTTTCAAGGAAAAAAGCAGATAAACTCACCCCCAGTCACAGGAGCCCACCCTTCATGACCTGAATCCATTCCAACTATCAGCTCGCAGAAGTCAGTAGCTTGCGATGCGTTCATGAATCCCTGTAAATGTGAGTTTCAGACTGAATGCATGAATTGTGTGTTAAAATGCAGGATTACAAAAGTGGATTGGAGTTGTTTTCCTCGGCATTGCTTTTTTGATCAGTTCGATAGAAGACTACGTCAACATTTCACACATTTTTAACCATATGTTTTCAAACATAGTTTTATAACCCATGCATTATCTAATTCTTGTTGCTTACCTCGCCAAAGCAGGGAATCATTAATAAATCGATTGACAGTATCATTGACTGGTTAACTAAGGACACCTGTCATCAAATGAATTGTGAATATCATAAACAAAAGACATCAACAGGAAAAAACACGATTCGATTTACGCTCGATGAGTGTTTTTCCCACGGTCAGCGAACACAGCTGCAGGTCGCAGAATTATTGGCGCGCCGCTGTTCGTGCAGTTACGGTACTGGTGCTGATGAGGGCGAGGAAGAGGTGCGTGTGATGCCGCCGCCGCCGCCGCCGCGTCCCGCTGCCATTTCCCCGACCCATCACCGCGGAAACACCAGCAGAGACCCGGAGTTCTCACCCAGCGGCCCGATTTAGAAGGCCGATTTAAATCTCGGGTCCCGGAGTGAATGACGTCCTCCCCCCCGATAAGGGCCGATTCCTAAAAGCTGCAGCAGCACGGCTACCGCTGGGTTGGAGGTTCCTTTTTTTCAGAAGACACAGTCGCCAACATGGGGCTTGTTTTTTACAGGTTCTGAGCTCCGGTCGTGAGGTAAGCCTGTTTTTCCACGGCTTTTTAAGTCAACGCGTGCCCTGCACGCGCGATACGGAAGAATCCTCCTCTGGGGGGTGAGACACGGGCCTTAAGAACAAACAGCAAACCAGCGATCGGTTTTGTAGTAGGAGTCACCGGAGGCCTTCTAAAAAGCATCTTAACATCAATAATCACTCATATTCAGCATCGATCTGGTCCCAAAACCTCCATGTGACCGCTCATTGTTCGCTATTGCTGCTCAGAGGCCGCTCTCCAGTCCACATGGGGGCTGATATAGTACTGTTTATCGAGCCGGAGAGGAGTGGCCTGCTGCCTCATCCCTCTTAAATTAGATCACCCAACTGTGAATCACATGGATGTGGCCAAGATGCTTTGAGCCTATTATTCCCTCTTTATAATCTGAGAATTATCCATCTGATCATCCCAGTCTGTGGATTCCATCTAACGCCTCTAAGACAGACGCCGGCGGTCATATTTTACTTTCCGGGTTGTTTGTGGAGTGTCTCCAGACCACTAGAGTGCCTGAATCTGAATGTGTGACTGAGGCTTTTAATATATTGATATACGCATGTGTGAGAGTGTGTGGGTGTACATATATATGTATATCTACACATATATGTACATATGATGTCTCACAAATCAGAAGAATTATGCAATTTTAGAACTGTTTACTGATCAGTTAATGAAAACAAAATCAGAAACAGGTAATAAGATCATGCATTTCTCTCAAATTCATGTGTCTTAGTCCATGAATGGGCTCAATTGTTATCAAAAGGTCAGATGTGTAAATTAGAAAGTGAAAAGGGTTTTGAATATCTACAGTAAATGTTGAAATACATATATAAACACAAAAAACATACTGAGAGTCATTTCAAGAAGAAATGTGTTCTATTATTTAAAGGAGGTTGTCAGCAAGAATTTTTTATAATCTACTTTTTTTTTTTTTAAACTGCATTTTAACAGTATTTCTCTGTGACAGATAACATTTTGGGTGAGACATGGAAACGATATGGCTCTACCAGTTTCGCCTGATTGTCATTGGAGACTCCACGGTGGGGAAGTCCTGCCTGATCCGCCGCTTCACCGAGGGCCGCTTCGCCCAGGTGTCGGACCCCACCGTGGGGGTGGACTTCTTCTCCCGCCTGGTGGAGATTGAGCCGGGAAAAAGGATCAAACTTCAGATCTGGGACACTGCGGGACAAGAGAGGTTCAGGTACCGTCCATCCTCTGTGAACAGTTTCCAGTTTTTTTGGAGCAAACATTTAAACCCTTGAATGCATTCAGACTGGTTACATCAGTTGCAAGAGTTTTTGATATTTATGATTTTCTTCTTCTTCCATTTTAATTCAGATCAGTGGGAAAATGTTAATTTCTGAGAGGTTCACAACACGCCAAAATCTGGGAGAAACAGCTGTAATGTGCAAAAGGTAGTCACCATGCGGTTTAGAGACAACTGTTGGGTCTTGTGTCCATCCAGGTCCATCACCAGAGCGTACTACCGGAACTCGGTGGGCGGCCTCTTGCTCTTCGACATCACCAACCGGCGCTCCTTCCAGAACGTCCACAACTGGCTGGAGGAGGCGCGGAGCCACGTCCAGCCGCACAGCATCGTCTTCCTGCTGGTCGGCCACAAGTGCGACCTGGAGCCGCAGCGCCAGGTGACCCAGCACGAGGCCGAGAAGCTGGCCGGCGCCTACGGGATGCGTTACGTCGAGACATCGGCCAGGGACGCCATCAACGTGGAGAAGGTTCCCCATGCTGTTTTACTGTGTGTCCCTCCTATTGAGAAATGTTTAGTTTGATTATGAAGTTGGAGACATTAACCTCCAAAGTTTCATATTTGCATTTTGCCAAAACAGTGATGCAATTTTGTATACAGTTGTAGAAGTGATCCGATTTATGTATATGTGTGCAAATAAATATATATATTTCAGAATCAGATTCACTCCAGATACACTCCAGATACACACTCCAGATATACAAAAACAACAACATACAGAAAAAAATAGAGTGATAATAATAACATACATATATATATATTTTTTTTATATACACACTCGTACTTGTATAAGAGATCAGATTTACGACAACAGTCTTGAGGGGAAGTTTGTTCTTACGTGGAATAGTCATCAGTCCCTGGGTCTGCCAGGCTAATTCGGAGAAAAATACAGAAAGTGCTTTTTCTGTTCGTTTCAGGCCTTTGTGGATCTGACCAGGGACATCTTTGAGCTGGTGCGGAGTGGGGACATCAAGATCCAGGATGGCTGGGAGGGCGTCAAGAGCGGCTTTGTTCCCAACATCGTCCACTCGTCCGAGGAGGTCACCAAAGGCAGCCGGCAGTGCTTCTGCTGATGGAGCCGCCCGCCACCCTGCCTGGGCCCTCAGTTGGCCTCACCCGAGTGGACCTGAGTTCTGTCCCTGCTCTCGCTGCTCTCAGATCAGCTTTTGGGACTCATAATGTTTCGGCTAAACACTTTACTCCGTATGTAAGACGCTCATTTATCGTTCGGGCACCTGTTTGTTGCTCTGTTCAAATTCCTAACAGGCCTAGAAGCACAAAGAGCATCCCGACCCTTCACTTTTCTGTCTGCATGTGTGTGTGTGTGCGTGTGTGTGTGTGTGTGCGTGAGTGCGCGTGTGTGTGTTTACGTGTGTATCTTTGTAGCTGTTATCAACACTTTAGCTTTATGCCACTCTCGGCCTTTCCTGTGTGCACAGTGATACTCCAGAGGCCGGTCATAGTTTTGGCCACTGGTGGTCAGCTTAACGTCGTTCTCGTCCGTCAACGCGAACTTCCGTTCCCATCAGGCCCGGCGGCGTCATGACTCTGAACACACGGCAGCCTCGCGTGGACACGAGCGAGAAGGAAGCGAAACCCTCCCCGACTGTACATATGAGCCCCTCACCTCTGACCGGCATGGACAGAGAACGTGAACTCTGCCGGTTGAGGTGCTCCAGCGGGTGTGAAGGGGGCGGCCGGAGAACGGGTCCGAGCCGTGGAAACGTTCACCGTCACGTTGGCTGTCTGCCAGAAGAGAACGCCTGCATTGGTCCCCACTGAGTTGAACAAAAGGAGAGACTTTTAACCGCTGGGTAGGTTCCTGATTCGTGTTTACCTCTGTCAGTTTATGGGTGAGAGCGCGTGAGACACAATTTTGCTTGTGGGGAACCCCAAAGTGTTTCATTCAGGTTTGGTATGTGACTAAAACAATCTTACGATACCTTATTATAGGTTTGAGGTAATGAACGTGAGCCTCCTGCTTCAATTCATCAGAGATGCACCAAAAACATGAAAACTTCCCTTTTTTTTAAGAACAATCATTTCAAAGGTTATTACAATTATGTGATCAATGTGTAAGGAGATGAACCCATTACCATCATGATTCAAGGCAAAAACCCCATGGATCACAATGATAAAAGAGAAATTAAATTACTGCGGTAGAAAATCATAAATGGTCCTTATATACAGTTATTTCATTTATTGGGCAGGAGGGATCTTGTGTACTTTTTTTTGTTTCAAGGAAGCTGAATCAGCCTCTGGATGAACACATGGGTCAAGTCAGCTATATTGACTTAATAATAATAATAATAACAATAACAATAAAAATAATAATACACAGTTACATGCAATGGCTGATGAAAATAAACTATTAAGAGCCTGAACACCTGCCTACAACTCTTTCACTGTACTATTTGACTGGTTTTAAAAGATGATTTAATGCTCTGAAAGACAAAAGGGATTTTTTCTTCCGCATTGAGTACTTTTTGATATTCCATGATGAGAATTTGGTCTTAAACACTGCTTTGTTTGTTTGGTCTGAGCTCATTTTCTTAAAACTTAAGTGAACTCTTATTTTCCTGCTGCCTAGTACAGAAAATATATGAAAATAATAGAGACAAAATGTCTGAAAAGCACAAATGGAACAACAAAATGTGATTTTTTTTTCTTTTGCAAACTGTTCTTTTCTCCTGACGATGCTGCACACTCCAGTGTCAGCCGATTTTCAAAAGCTATTTCCAATTGTTTTGAACCGAGGTTTTGTCTGTAAGCATCTACTTGGAGTTCTTTTACTATCTGATTGAATCTTAGAGTCAAATATTCATTAAAAATCTCATACCTGGTTGGTAGCAGTGTTCAGAATGACTGATACACAAAAGTAAATTGAAATAATTTCATTCTGAGGTCATTACAAATGTATTGTTTGGTATTTACGTCTTCACGTCTTCATGTCATTAAATGTCTTACAGTGAGGGTTTTTTGGGCATCTGGAAACACTTTGGGGCTCCACACGTCAGAAAACAACACACAACTGGTAACAATCTCTCCTCGAGCGTACGCCTACAATCTATTCATGCCTGAATCATATCCACATCTGAATTCAAAGCATGTCTCAATCCTCACTCAAAGGGTCCAAAGAAAGAAAAACGGCTCTTGCTTTTTTGCAGAACCTTAGCGATCGCGTGGCCAGGCCCCAGAAATAAGTTCAGAAAGGGACGAACGGACTGAGTGTTACATCTGGAAATATTGCAATACTGCACACTAACGAAAAGAGGGATTAGTTTAAGCAAACGCCACAGATTCCAACTCATTCTCCAACTCATCACACATATTAAACTCAACCATGAAACAGCCTTGGATGAGTGAATTCACATTACTTAGAAAGAAGAAGTGTCTCTTTTGAGTGCCTTTTGCAGGAAACAAGTCCAAGCACATGCAGCCAGCCAGCTGTTTATTGATAAAAAAAACAAACAAAAAAGCTCAGTTTTCATCCTGTGAATGTCGACATCTGAACGATAGGTGGTGGTGGTGGTGGGGAGGAAAACATCTCGATATCACATGACACAAGGTGTAAATAATGTATTTGAAACCAAACCCTGACAAGGTTGACTGTTTGATGTTGTTGTGACTCTGGGATTATTACAGCACAAGTGTCATCTATATAACAATACTGGAAACCAATAATAAAGACTGCTCGTCGAAAAAAAAAAAAGACAAAAACTAACAGGGTGTCTCTGTTGTTTGAGAGTCGCTCAGTTCTGGTTCTGGTTCTGGTTCTGGTTCTGGGTTGGTCCTGCTTTGAACGCGTTGGTGTGATGCTGTGTGCTGCCACTAGAGGGCAGCCTTAGCGTGCGGAGAGGGGAAACACTTCAGTGACAGAGAAACCTCAATAAAAATGAACAAAAAGTAGAGAAAAGCTACGGGAAAGTGCACAAATGCATATATAGATACGCAAATAGACACAAAAAGTCGCTTTAAGGTCTTGTGACTTCTATGTGACTGAAAAGAAGGCCGATCCAGCAATCAGCACAGAGGCTTTGAGCTACTAGAAAACAGGTTCTGGACTACAGAAAATAAAACATGGATCTGCCCACAGGATGCAGGCTATGCAAAGAGGCCTTTGAGGCCGTCTGCCATCAGCCTGGTTGTACCAAAGTAACAAACCAGTAGAAGTCCCTCTTGTAAAAAAAAAACAAAAAAAACAGCTGCGTCTGGATTTAGGGACCTGCTGCCCTGAGAGCTGTGACTGGTGCATTCTATGACTGTTCTGTTTTAAGATGCTCTTTGATAGAGTTTTAAAAAAGGCATTGACAGATTTAAACTGCATTCAAAGGGGCTTCATCTGCATGACAATTTTTAAAAAAAAATCAAACTCTAAACAGTAACTCAGTCTACAGTAACTGGGTGTTGTCATTAAACAAAGTGGTGAGATGGTGAGGGATTAAACTTCAGAAGCAAACGCGTTTTTCTTCTGGTAGCAGTTCAGCTTTACAGCCTCACGTCCAGCTCCCATGATTTCACATTCACCACTTCAGGGCCGGAGGTATCGTCCACTTCTCCAGTGGTTTGATCAGTTGGGCGAGTATCGGGTCAAACACCTTCAACCATGTTGGTCCTGTAAAAACATTCAGAAATGACATCGAACTGAAGTCGGGTTGAACAAGAACTAACAGGATGAGGATTAGCTCATGAATAGAACTTGGCACCAGTTACTAAAATTGGACCAGAGGTAACTGAGCTGGTATGCCAAAGTACAACAGAAGTTGTAGAACTCTGACTGAGAGCAGTCTTTACCCATGCTCTGAATTACACTTGAATCTAATCAATTTAATAAAAACTAAACTAAAAAAAAAACTTCTCAGCAACAGAAGGAAGTTAATGTGAAACCAGAATGAGTTCCTGGCATTTTGAACTTGTGTTCCTGCTTTATTACTCAGCTGTGAAGAGAGAGGAGACATTTAAGCCACAGAGGCGACATTTCTCTCACTGCCAAGTGATGAATCCATGACTCACTGCAAAACTGGAAAGACTTCTGGCGTGAAGCAGAAAAGTAAGAAAAACTTTTTAAAAAATAAGATTCAAATAACCAACACTGGCATAGGCTTCAATCACAGTTTTATTACAAAAAATTAAAACACAGCTCTGTTTTCTTTACACGATGGCCATATGTACAAGATATGAAACTATTCATGGATTCTGTAGGTCAGAAATCATAGGCTGCAGGTGACCAGCCTCTGGATGCCTTTGGATAAAAAAACAAAAACAAAAAAGACAAAAGCTGAGTGGTGGACTTCAGAGATCCACACATTCATTTTTTTGTAGAGGGATTTAGAGGGGCGTAAGCGTTCGTCTGAGGTTTGAAGGTCTGGGAGCGGATGGACGGGTCTTTTTCTTCCCCGGCCGCAGAGCCACAGACAGATGATTCTGCAGGCACCCATTTGTATTCAAATCATCTAGAAAACGGGCTGAACCGCAAAGCTACCCTGGTCTCTCTTGTCCTCGGCTTCTTTGGGAGATACGTTCTTCCTCCGTTTTGGCAGAGAGCATTTCATTTTTAAAAAACTGATTTGGGGATTTTTACATTGAGGTTAAAGCAGCATTGATGCTTTCAAGTGTAATTTACAAAAAAAAAAAAATCAGATTAAATTTAAGGTAATACTTTAAGGAACCAGATATTTGTATAATTTACAGTATTATACAAACAGACTTGTTTTTTAACAAATACTGTACACTCTACAGTAAAGCACTTTACTAAGAACAAACAAAAACAAACAAAAGACAACAAAAAAAAGATCAACAATAAGTTACCGAACTACCTGCAAATACTTGGGTTAAAAATAAGTTTTCACATAATTTACAGAAATATTTTAGTGGTCGTTATTTGCTTCGGACAGCAAAAAAAGTTTCCAAAAATATCATAGAATTTGGTCGGAAAGGATCACAAACGATCACAGTTAAATGACGACACTTTACAGCAGAGTAAACACAAAAAACAAACAAAAAAGAAACGCAAATAAAAAGACAAAAAAGCTCTAAAAACTGTACAGGTGAGGAGGAAAGAGGTTTAAAAAGCAGGTAAATGGACCGAGTCTGATAGGAGAATGTAAAAATGAGAACAGAGATGATAATATTCTACACTATTGACATTTAAATATGAACCGTTCTAAAAGTCTAGCGATGTAAAAAAACAAGAAAAAAAAAGAAAAATGTATGGGATTCTTAACAGGCAAAGCTGCCAAGTTTCTGTGGGGAAAACAGAAGTTCTTTTTCCGCAATGACGTAACAGATCATGACCTGGCGTTGTGGTAGTGGTCAGACGCAGACCTCCACCTGTTCCAGCCCAGGTTTCCCACACTTCTACTTAGAAAAGGAGGCAGACTGTGAAACTGGAATCATTCGTTTAAAACATTTGTTTTTATACGCATATATAAAAAAGGTGGATGGTGTGTAGACTTTAGGACATGGCTTCGATTTCAGGCTGAAACAAAAGGCCACAGAATATCTGCAAATTGAAAGAAGCAGTCTCTACGCGCAGACACTGGAAACAGCGCGGGCCGTTTCTCACCGAGCGAGCCGTTCTCTGGAGAGAGCCGGAGGGGTTGGAAGAGCCGTAGTGTTTGAGCAACTCATCTGGTCCGGCGGAGGCTGCACCGAGCAGCCGGGCTTCGGGTGTGAGGTTTGGCTCGATGATCTTGAGTGTCTTGATAATTGTAAACTGACTGGCTCACGTGGTCATTCGCGGTAATTTAAGCCGAGCGCCTTAATTCTAGTGGCTATGTGGCCCCCGCACGCGGGACGACAATTAATGCACATAAAACAGCTAAAAGAGTAACATTGCTCCGGTGTACAGCTCCAGATAAGCACCACAACGGTTAGTCAAGTCCACTGAAAGCAGGTGTACATGTCTGCTGTGGGCTAAGGCTAAATACAGACTGGTTAAAAACGGAAACATAAGCCAGAAGGGGAAAAATGGCTCTGTCACAGTGTCTAGCCATCAAGTTAAAAAGCCTCTAAAGTAAGAGGTATGACATTTGTGGCGTTCCTTGCCTCTTCTCCCGTTTAACTCGGGGTGGTGCTTTGTGGTGCCCCGCCCCCCCATCGGGCCCCGTCTGGGCCGCTATCAGGGGCTGTCGCCCACTTCCACGTCGCTGTCGGTGGGGGCGCCCCGGTAAATGGGGCTCTTGTTCTGCAGCGAGGACTCGTACTTGCGGGGGGGCGACCGGCCCCCGGCTTCGGTGCTGTTCCAGATGCCGTAGAAGAAGTAGATGGCAAAACCTGGAGCAAGGGGAGAGGAGTCGTGACAGGGTTAGACGGGGGTTATATAGTTGGTGGGGGGGGGGGGGGGCTGAGGCGAAGGAGAAACCAGCGGCGTTGGAACGCACCGATAATCATCCAGACTGTGAAGCGGCACCACGTTCCCCAGTCCAGCTGCATCATGAGGTAGATGTTGACAAAAACACTGAACAGGGGCAGCCAGGGAAGCAGAGGGACCTGCGATGAAAAAAAAAGACACAATCATCAAAAACCCTGAAACAAAAAAACTTCTGCGCGGCAGAAAAAACTAAAACAAAAAAACACACACAAAAAAAAGCCCTCTCTTGTACCTTGAACGTGAGAGCCTCCTTGCTCTCCGGCTGCCTCCAGATGATGACGATGCAGACGCAGCAGAGCAGGGCCAGCACGATGCAGGGCACCACCACGCCGGCGTGGCCCGTCATCAGCTGCGGCAGGCTGTTGGCCAGGACGATGCACAGCACCGTGATGAGGGCAGCTGCAGAGCGAGCGGGAGGGAGGAAGAGCTGCTGTTAGCACAAACGAAAACTGCGGCCGGTGCTGAGGGACGGGGGGGGGGGGCCGGACTTACAGATGACGGCGGTGGTGACGTAGACGATGTTGCCAGACGTGTGTGTGGGGATCTTCTCGCGGGGGAAAAAGAGCTGCTTGAAGGTGAAGGTGCCCTGGAGCGGCCGCTCGTCCGTCTCCATGGACTCGTCGCCGCTGTCCCCCCCGCTGACCGCCACCTTCTCCCCTTCCACCATCTCCACCAGCTTCTCCATCTGACTGGGCGAGTTCAGGGTGCCTGGCTGGTACCTGTGGACGGAGGAGGCCGGCGGTCATTCTGTAGCCGTCCTTTCAAACGGGATCGTCCCCACCGGGGAAACGGTGTGGGGGGCGTTTTAGACGCTCAGAAGTTGGCTTCAGACTTTAAAAAGGGTGCTACTGGAGAATTAAAAGAAAGAAAGAAAAAAAAAAAGCTGCTTACCTGAGGATTAGCACACAGATGGCCACTAAGGAGTACGCCAGCAGAGTTCCAATGGACATGAGATCAACCAGGGCAGCCAGGTCGAAGAGAAAGGCCATCAGAGCTGTGAGGGGGGGGCAGAGTTTAGAAAAAAAGACACACAGAAAGTGGACGGGGTAATGAGCATGCAGGAGGAAAGGAAAAAAGAGACAGCCATCGATCCAGAACTGACAGACTGATGGGCAAACGGTCAGCAGCAGAATGACCCAGCAACCAGAGAATGACACAGCAAAAAAAAAAAAACACAGTCCGCAGTGTACCTGCAACGATGCCCGACACTATGGTGGCCAGGATGGGAGTCTTGGTCCGCGCGTTCATCCGGGACAGAACGCGGAAGAGCAGGCCGTCCTCTGCCATGGCGTAGATGACGCGGGGCATCGGGAACATGGAGCCCAGGAGGCTGAGGGAGACCGCAAAATTAGTTTTTATGTTTAAAACAGACGTGGCAGACAGAACCGAGGACGAGCCAGCTGGCGGGGTTCGCCCCACCCGTCCCCCCACCTGGTGGACAGGGCGCAGAGAGAGCCCACGGCCACGATGTAGCGGGCCGGGTACCAGCCCACGTAGCTGAAGGCCTCGGGCAGCGGGCTCTGCGTGTTGAGCTGGTAGTAGGGCATCATCAGGGTCAGGGCGGCCGACACGCCGAAGTAGGCGAAGAAGCAGATGAGCAGCGAGGCCACGATGCCGATGGGGATGGAGCGCATGGGGTTCTTGGCCTCTTCGCCTGAGGGGGGGGGGCAAGGACAGGGTGAGCGGATCACATGGCGAGCGGGCGACCCCCTGATGGCCCGCAGAACTCATGTTTCACTCAGCGTTGTGTAACAACTTGCATCTTGCCCAATAGTGAACAAAGTCCAGGTGTGTGTGCGTCATGTGAAAAGGGGCTACTAAATGTTACCCCATACCGTTGACTGCTCACTATTATTTGTGAGCTGTGAACGTATGAAAAAACCAAACTCACTTGTTGTGGCGATGCAGTCAAAGCCAACAAAAGCATAGAAGCAAGTGGCGGCGCCAGACAGGACTCCAGTGAGGCCAAACGGGGCAAACCCGCCCACGCCAAACTCTTTCCTGGAAAGCAGAGGAGAAAAAAAACAAAAAACAAAGCTTAGTCCCCCGTGACGCTGACCCGGCCGGCGGGTTGACTCCGACAGGGGGCCGGCGGCGGCCACACTCACGGTAGGGTCTTGTTGATTCTCGCCGTGTCGTTGACGAAGGCGGCGTAGTCGCTCTCGGTCAGGCTCCAGTTGGCCGCGTCGCCCTTGACGAAGCCAGAGATGATGACGAACCCCAGGACCACCAGGTTGATGCCGGTGAAGATCTTGTTCACCAGAGCCGACTCGCTCACGCCGAAGGCCAGGAGCCCTGAGGGGAGGGAGGAGGAGGGGGAAGTCACATAAGTAACGGCGCGTCCTGTGTGGGGGCGGATGCTTCCATGCCTCCAACACGGCCAGAGAACCGTCACTCGGCAACACCGAGTTTTGCCGAGTTAGATCAGTGTGACAACTGCTCTGTTAGGCAGGAAACAGATGGCTAATAAGACAGCGGTGAAACGGGTTCCATTTATACATATACATATTGGCTTTTCACCAAGTACAAATCTAAGAGGGTTGACCACTGAACCACACCTGTGAGCAGCAGCACCAGGATGAGGGCGAACAGGTCGGGGTACTCTGCCAGCACCTTCCCCGGCACCTTCATGGCCATGGAGGCTTTGAAGAAGCCCGATATCTTCTGCTCCACCAGGTTGTCGAAGGTGGAGCTCCAGGCCCGGGCCACGCTGGCCGTGCCTGAAACGGACACCGGACAAAACGGCCGTTAGTAAGGGGAGGGGGTGGCTCGGGGTCCGGCACGGCCGGCCGAAAAAAGCGCCGCTCACCTATGACGTAGGAGAGGATGAGGTTCCAGCCCGTGATGAAGGCCCAGATCTCCCCGACCGTCACGTAGCTGTAGAGGTACGCCGAGCCCGTCTTGGGCACGCGGGCGCCGAACTCGGCGTAGCACAGGCCGGCCAGCATGGAGGACAGGGCGGCGATGAGGAAGCAGAGGACGATGGCCGGGCCCGCCTTCTCCCGGGCCACCTCGCCGGCCAGGACGTAGACGCCGGCGCCCAGCGTGGAGCCCACGCCCAGCGCGATCAGGTCCAGGGTGGACAGGCAGCGGGCGAACGGGGTGTCGTCCCCGGAGCAGTCCAGCGCCCGCCGGCGCAGCAGGATTTTGCCGAAGGTGGTCAGCTTGTTGGCCATGTTTGCTGCGAGGGCCCGCACGTGCGTGTGTGGGCGCCGAGCCTGGCTTTGTGCTGTAAGCGCTTAGTGGCGTGGGGGCGTGATGGACAGCGCTTCAGACGGGACACCTGCGACGCGCTTCACGCTGTGACTGCACAAGTGTCGTGGACAGATGGGGGGGGGGGGGTAAGCAAACCAAGGCAACCCCGGGCAGTTAAGAACCACAGAAGGAGCAGGCAGACGGGGACGTGGCAGGTGTGGGCTCACAGCGATTCGCGGCAGCAGCAGAAGATTAGGACCTGTGAGGAAACACGGGAAGAAAACAACTCAAAACAGGGCCCCATTCAGTCATTACCAAAGCTTACGTCTCTCTGAGCTCTGCGTTTGGATCCGAGCAGCAGGATTATGATATCCTTTCAGACTCAAAAACCTTTCCAGGAAAAAAAATCTAATCTAATCAGTACTGCATCAGGGAGGGCTGAACAAAAGACGCAACATGCATATTTGCAGAATTGTAGTGCATTTGGAGTTATGGCTGATTTTCTTTACATTGGTAAGAGATTTTCAGTCAGCGGGGTTGAATTTCGAAAAAAAAAAAAAAAGAGGAAAAAAAATCTAACAGCATGAGAACCTGTACTTTTACCAGTTACACAACTTCCAGGAATTCATACCTCCACCGTTCTCAGCTTAGTAAGACATCATGAGACACAGTGGGTCACAGAGAGCCTTGTGAAGAGCAAAGTAAAGCCCGCTGCCGTCCTGCCAGGCTTACAGCGATTCTTAATAATGCTTTTACAAATAAACCCGCTTCGGCCCACGCCCCTGTGAAAACACCTATCCCAGCTCCCCGGCTGGCGCGGTGTTTTCTCAGCGGCTGGGGAGAGGCCTGGGAAACCGAGAGGCTGCGAAGGAGCCTGAGTCAAAGCAAGCTAATATCAGCGAGAGAGGACAGCTTGAGCCTGCGGCGTGATAAGGTGGACACGCAGCACCCGGAGGAGGCAGATAAATAAAACTAACAACATGCCATGGAAAAAAAGAAAGACAAAAAGGCCTAAAATGAACCAAACTGAAACACAGAGGGTTTGCTTTGAAAAAAAAAAAAAGGGGGGGCTCAAGGACGACAGCTGTTTTTTGACGTCATTAGCACTGCTTTGCCAAGTTCAGGACAGGTTTGAGCGATAATGGCTGCAGGCCAAGGACACTCGGGAGGGGGAACATCTGGGGTGGGCGGGGGTCAAGCTTTTCTATACAGTTGTTCAAACTCTCAAATGGATCACGAGTACCTGCTCTCTCCCACCAGCTACCTCTGGCCTACATGCTTTGCGAGCCGTGACGCACGCGAGCTTCAACAGGTCGTGCCGGAAGCGGATCCTGTGGATCCCGGTGATGCAGGCGAGGGAGCGTGGAGACGCACCCTCACGCTTAAAACCGGCCGGCCGAGTGAACCCCAGCTTGGAACTTCGCCGTGAAAATGTGAAATCAAAGCTTTGCCAACGACAAGTGCTTGTGTGAACACGCCGGGAGGCGTCAGTCCAGCCTATATCTGATGGCTCCAACGTGCCGTCTTACGGACAGAATGCCTCTTTGTTCGGCTTTTCTGCTGCGGAATCCCAGAAAATGCAACTCCGGCCCACACGTGCGGCGGCCGTGGGATGAGTGGGCCCCGGCTCGCCGTCACCAACAGCAACGCCGCGGCACATGTCACCCGAGCCCTGCAGTGTCAAGGGCACAGCGGGTTTATCTTATCAGCAAAAGCTACACTGTACCAGAACAATTACCAAACAAATGGACCGTGGAGACTGATAAAATGACCCGTTACAAAATAATGCCCTGAAAAAGATAAACATGCGTTGTTGGGTAATTCTTCTTTTTTTTTTTACAGCAACCACAATGTCAGTTGTAAACAGTCCTCCTTTGGGGACCGAGGCTTGTGACAGATTAGAGTAGCAACGGGGAAGATTTTTGCAGTACATAAAATACATAAAAGATAAACAAACAAAAGATTAGATAGAAACTGTAAGACTCCTTCTGATCTACACCGTGTTCCTTCTGGGAATTTGGTTCGTTTTCTTCCAAAAAGGGCAACAGTTGATCTTAGCAAACTTCGGCGGGGCTCCCGAGTGCCGCCGCACATCTGAGGTCACAGATGTCAGGACACTCGAGCCCTTCACATTTCAGGCCGCTCAGTCGCGAAGAGGAGAAGTGAAACCTTAACCCAGCAGCACGGATCTGATCAGACATCCGAGTCAGGTTCTGGATCGCCAAATATCAAAGGATGAGCAAAAATTATGCTTGTTCTTGCCTTTGATTGAGCTTATATCTGTGTTTGAGTTCCGAGCACGCGGGGTCATGCAGGGTCGGCTTTAAAATGAAAGGCTCTCCAGTTCCGTTCTTGCGAAGTTTCAGTTCAACAATCTCAATGGAGGAACAAGACAAAATAAATAAATAAATAAATATCGCTTTCAGCTATGGGCTGTTGGGGTCTAATTTTAGCCATTTTCTTTTTAACACCCAGGGGGGAAAAGGCTCGCACAATGATACAGTACAATGACAACTTTCTATCAATATCGCAAACACAACACAACCCCAATATCAAAGGACTTCCAGTCTGACCATTTCAAAAGACAATATCCTGCTTGGAACAGCAGCGTGTTGCAGACAGTCAAGACAAACAGCGTTAAAACAATGACACTGAAACAACACAGAGAGCTGCCACAATAAACACTGGGCCCTCTGAAGACTGATGGGAAACTGGTATATGGTGGAAATGCCCCCCACTCCCCACCTGTTGTAATGTTACAGCGGCATTTTCCACTCGCACACCAGGAAGTGAGATCTGAAGTGTCTGTGTTGTGTTAATAAACACGGGGGGGTTCACCCAACACCGCGCACGCCGCCGCTGAGGACAAAAGGTGTTTGAGGGCAAAATGAGCGAGCAAAAAAAATCAACCCAAAAACGGAGCCGTTCAGCTACCAAAACTCCATCACATCGGCTAATCCTTTTCTTGTGGTTTTCATGAGGTGGCGGATTGTAGCGGGGCCGGTTTGGTGGGTGTGGTTCACAACGCACATCAATCAGAACCCATGTGTGTCACTCTGTACATTCCTGCTGCCAAAAAGCAAATACTGGGTGCGTGGGTCCCTTTGTTTACAACGGCTCGGTTGTTTACCACCCCCTCCCTCCGGAAAGCTCTTAGTCTTAGCGGGGCAGTAACCCACAACCTGGACCGGCAGAGCTCCGGTTCCAACAGGCTTCGGGGATAATGGTCCAGCTACCTGCGCCAACACTGCTGCTGCATGCTGTAAGAGGATTAAGTTGGAGAAGTAACAAACCTGCTAACCTCATTGTAGCTGGGTGGTGTTACTTGTTCCGTACTCAACGTGGCATGGGTTTGTTTTGACTGCCAGGGCTGATAATGCGTGCTCACTGGGACAAATGTATTTTTTTATTTTTTTAAAAGGACTTACTTACTTACATGTGAGGCAAGAACATGACAAGTCATGTTTTCCACTCAAAAGACCCCGTGAGTCTGTGAGACCGGGCTTTCCGACATATAAGTGTCAAGTTCAGGAATTGAAGACAGTGGCTTGTAAAGATCTCCCGTGGATGCCGCGGGTCTAGGGTGCACGTACTGGAGTGTACTGGCTTGAAGGGGGCGGCAGCTTGTAGGAGACGGGGGTTCATCCCGTCCATCACTGGGATGAGATGCCCAGACAGACAACCAGCCACAGGAACAACTACTGCTAATTAAGAATCATTGATCAACCCGAAGGGCAACTCTCTGAAACATGGGGGAGAAAAACCTCAGGGAGAGCACACAGTTTAAAAATCTCCTCATTAAATGATTCAAAAGGAAGAAAATACAGAAAGTGCACCATCTGTCTTCCAGCAATCACACCAGAGTTTTCCTAAACTCTGGTTTTGCGTGTTGAACTTCAAGTTTTTTTTTTTTAATTAAAAGGTACGCTGCAGTCTCACATGAGGAGGACGTGTGTGTGAATCTGAACAGACTGACCACTGAGACTGAACCCACCGACCTTTTAAGTCACCTGGCAGGACACCACCTCTTCTGCCAAAAAACTGCTCTCCCAGAGAAATGGAATGTGACAAATGAAGAACCTGCTCACTTTCCCATGACCGATTCCAAAGGTACTTACATTTACAGGCCCCGCCATACACACATCAGCAGTATGAAAGAGAACAAGCCGCCTGGCTGCCAAGCCTGCATGTGGAGGTGTGATAAGTAAGGGGCCGGATATGAAAAAAGTTCACAGTTCTTTGACTGTGGTGGAATAAACTTACAATGAGGGCCATACTACACCAGAGCAAATCACTTATAGGGCAGATTACCCACATTGACTTTATATTAGCTGATCACCTTTTACGAGCTTATCCAAACTTAACACATCCTCAAGTGCTGATTTTGTCAAAGTAATGAAGATATTCAACATTTAGTCTAACTTGGGCGATGTATCTATGCAAGCAAAAAACCTGACATGTCAATTCAGTTCAGCCATGTGTTAAAGTAAAGCAAACAACACACTCCATACACTGGAGTTTGAAATGCATTACATTTCAACTATTTGAATAAGTACATGTACAGATTCTTAAGTATTCCAAGGTGGGGAAATTATTGGAAAAAAAACGAATACGCGTATGGAATTTTCTCCAGTTAAATTTGGCCGCGTGCAGGCTACAGGTATGCACAGCTGTCATCTATACCCCATAAAACCAGCTGAGACTCATACCAAGCAGCTTCTAATTATGTGTTAGACAGACCCCAAATCCATCGATTGATTAAAAAAAACAATGATTTCAACAAATTTGTTTCAGTTGGGACTTGGAAGCGGCTGATGCAACACAGGGAGGAGAAAAGCCGGAGTACAAATGCTTTTCCTGATACCGGAAGGATGGCTCACGTTGAGGACACACGACACCGCGAAGGGTCGAAAAACCACTCAACACTTACATGATTCCACGGACCAATATTCTCACTTATAACAGTGCTCGCCATACTGAA